ATTGTTAAAGGAACCCCAAAAAATTACACTTTATGACTTGATGAATGTTCCCCTAAAAGGTTTTGCTTTATCAACATTGAGTCAATAGTGATTTTATTCAATAGACTTTATAATTTTTTTGCTTGTGTAGAACTAGATGTGATGGTAACTGCATATATAGAGCATGCTCTAAGGCGCTGTCTGGTAATGAAGACTTGCAGTCTTTGTTGCTCACAAGCATTGAACTGTTCAGCTACACACAGTTTTATTCATTCCATCCATATTTAAAGGAAAAAGCTGATGTGTTTGAAAGTGATAAAATGGTTTTCTCTGCAGCATCATCTGATATTGCAGTGGGAGATGGTTATGACCGACATGATAAAACCTCTTGATCACAGGTTGTTATTCGCGAAGCTATAAGAAATGCAAGTAACTGTTGCCACTACTCCTTACTATGCATATTTGCTCTTTCATCTGATACTGGTATGAAAGTACGCTCAGTTTACCCTGATACCCTGGGAGAGACATAAATATATATGCAAATATGCAAAATTTTTGAATGGTCAGATTCTTCCTCGAGTTGAGCATACTTTGTTAGTACATGCTGGTGCTAAAAAACACAAGAATTGGTTTTTCTTTCGTCAGCAATTGGTGCATCTCATTTTCCAGGACTGGAAACGTCTTTCAAAGCAAATCATTTTGGCATTTGATACCATTTTATTTAAAAGAATCCGTCGAAGAATTAATAAAATCAAAGGCTCCGAAAAAGCAAGTCAAAATCACTGATGTTTTCACAAGTGGCTCTCAAAACAGATTGTCTTCTTCATCAAGTGCAAATATCAATGATGCTAAACAGTTTCGTCGTGTTACCCCACCTCAAACTTCATGTTTAGGCACAATTAAACGCGAGCGCATTTTGAGGAAGCTCTTACTGGATCGCATAAGTAGAAAAGGCTTGATGTCAGTGAAGTTGATCCATTAGATATTGGCAATTTTGTTGGTCTGGCAAATATTGATAATGACACGAAGCTCAATCTTTTACAACATCATTGGAAGCCTCCGCCATCTTTTGTTTTTCCTTTTCGTGAGTTTGGCTCTGTAACATCAAAGCGTCGTAAGTTCTCGCAACAGTGGCTCCGTCAATGGAAATGGCTGTGCTATTCTAAACTCTAAGATGGTGCATTTTGTCTGCCATGTGTACTGTTTGGAAAAGAAACTGGTAACAATGGTGACAATATCACCAATCTTTTTAAAGAACCGTTGACCTACTGGTAGAGCGCGGTGAAAAGGCTTGAAGATCACGACAGAGCATCTTCCGTTCACCGAGACTCTGTTCTGCGTGCATCTTGTTTTGAAGAAGTAATACTTAGAAAGGCTGATGGTATAAATGAGCAAGTTGATGGTCTCCTCATCAAAAGGATTATGTACAATTGACATATTCTGCGTGCTATGGTTGATACAGTTATTTTATGTGGCAGGCAAAATCTAGCTTTAAGAATTCATCGTGATGATTCTAACCAATATTCATCAAGTAATCCGGGAAATTTTCAAGCCCTCCTTGATTACAGAATTTCTAGTGGAGACAAAGGGCTGGCGGAACATTTTAACTGGCTAAGAAGACTGCAACCTATCGTTCCAAGACCATTCAAAACAAACTTGTCACCAAATGCGGGAAGCAAATTGCTGACAAGATTGTTTCTGCCATTGTTCTACGCTATGTCGATCAGAACAAACAAGTTAACGAACGATTCATTTGCTTTGTTGACTTCAAAAATGGGACGACTGGTCTTGCTTTGGCCGAAATTATCGAACAGACATTAAACAGCGTTGGGCTCCCTCTTATAAATTGGGGAGGTCAGGGGTACGATGGAGATAGTGCAATGTCCAGCTTAAGAAAGGTCGTACGTGGTCGTACACTTGAGAAGAATCCGAAGGCACTATTTCCTCATTGTTCCAGTCATCGGCTAAACTTGGTTGTTTCCAAAGCTTGTTCAAATTTGCCAGTAAAAGACATGTTGGGTCAAGCTCAACAGATAACACCCTTCTTCAGGAGGTCTCCAAAACGTTCACAGTCTCTTAGCGAAAAAATCATGGAATACGGCTTGAAATTCAAAAAGTTGAAGTCGCCATCCACAGCTCGGTCGGTAGAGCGAATAAAATCTCTTGACGGTTTTCTGGATGCATATGCTGTGATTTACAATGCATTGGATTACATGCAGTTTGGTGACAGTGAGTTCAAAGATGCAACCAAGTGATGCACAAGCCCGTTTTTGGAGCATTGGGAGTTTTGAGTTTATTGTTTCTTTCGTCATAACTCAAAATATTTTAGATTATACGTTACCTTTGACTTCTCAGTTACAACAACGGAAAATCGACATTCTCCAGTCAATCAAATTGATTAACCTTTTGAAAGATGAACTTGTCAGGTTACTGCTCTTGAGCAAGCTCGTGAAGAAAAGCTTATCAATCCCGAGTCCATGCCTCGGATATTCAACAGGCAAATGAAAAGAGAAAACTTTAAAGTTACAACACCACGCGATTATTACATATTCAAACTTACTATTTCTCTTCTTGACCATGTCATTGACGAAATTCGATCTCGTTTTCCAACAGAAATGTGTAATCTTTACAATGGCTTTTATACTATCCCTCACAATTTCATTCATTGTGAAGGTGTTAACTGGTAGAACGAGTTCATAAAATTCCTAATTGCCTACAAAGACGATATGCCAAATTTTCGCGCTGTTCACGCAGAGCTAGAGTTGTGGGAGATGAGCTGGAAGAATGGCTATGAAAACATAGAATACGACAACATTGCTGATACTTTTAATAAATTCAATGATACGGCGTTTCCTAATATCTTCGCTGCTCTGAAAATTCTCGCTGTCATTCCTGTTACTACATGTGAATGTGAGCGCACAGTCTCGGCCTTACGTCGAATGAAAACGTGGTTGAGAAGCACTATGTCAAACGAAAGATTGAACGGTCTCGCTATGATGCATATTAACAATGACGTTAGCGTTGATGTGGAAGAGATTATCGACACATTTGCCAGGTAAAGCCCTACCAAGATGCAGTTCGTTAATATTTTTGAAGATAAGTGACCTTAATTCACCAGATTAAAGTTTTCCATATTTTTATACTACGTTATAGTACGTCTGCTCTCCTGCTGCTGGAGGAGTGGTATTATCAATGAAAGAAGAAGAATAACATTTATTATTACTTGTTGCCTGCCTTTAGTACGATGATTACATCGTGAACATTTCTTTGCTATATCTACGTATCTTTTTCTGCTGCTGTTGGACAAGTGGTATCAAGTGTGATTAATGGTCAAAAACTTGTGCTTCATTTGTGAGATATAAAAGGTTTCTTTGCGTTTCACGACAAAAAATATGTCATGTTTCTCCCTTTTCAAAATCACTCGTGGATCGGAATGATATCCTCCTGATTGTAAGTTTTGGAGAAGGTATAAAACTTGATAAATCTGATAATAGCGATGAAAATGTTTAAAGGTTAGTGGAATTTTTGATTTTATATCTTTGAAATTTGCGAAAAGTTTACAAACTAAGTAAAGTCAAGTTCTTTTTAAATTTTGTTGTCAAAACGCAAGAAATCGCATTTCTGAGGGATTAAAATTTAAAAATTTCCGCGGGGCATCCTCCCAGACACCCCTACAGAGCTAGCGCCGTTGGCGCTCGCAGTGGTGCATCAGTCACGAAAATTGCTGGATCCGTCCCAGCAAATAACAAACACATTCTATTTTTCTTTCAATTCGAGCAAATAATTGTTTAACAAAACCAAATGACAGAACTGAAAGTTAATGTGAAAAACGTCGACCCTGAATGTCCTCTCGTCGTAGTCGTTAGGAGTTCTCATGACGAATTGTGTAGCTCTGTAAGCTTCTTTCTCCTGATTATGATAAACTGATAAAGTATAATTCGTTGATCTGCACAAGAAATCCAAACTTGGAAGCTGTCTTGACACCTCAGTCCTCACGACTGAAACATTGACATAATACTATTGCAAATTTCCCTTACGATCGACGAATTTTATGCCCAAACAAAGCCCCAAACATTGGTAAAGACATGCTTTTACTTTGAATATCAATTTGATTCTCTGTTGAGGAATAAAACGACAAAAACTGTTAAACTGTATTTTTATAGATCACTCATCTAACTTAATTTATTTGGTTTGTACTACTGTCAGTGAAACAAATGTGATTTACTGCATTCCTTTGGCTATAGCATTAGAAATAGCGTTGCTACTTGCTACTTTAATTCTCCGTTAAAGAGTTTCCGTTGTAATGTTGTGTTTTTTGTTAAAATTACACACATTATCTTTAATTTGTACGTCCAATTCTTCCGCATTTAGGCAGCTGCTACCCACAAAAACTGTATCTCTCAAATGTAAAAATTATACAGTGAACCCATAGGTGCCCCAATAAGTCACTAAGCTAGCTAAATTGTATAAACAAACGATAACTCGCCCCATTTCATTGTAACAAACCATGCGCCGTAAACTTTGTAATAATTGATTATATTTAAGAAATAAAAGATGTTTAGTGTGTTTGCACAGGCTTATGCAAACCTAGGAGACCTTTGAGAGAACTCGAGAGCAGATCAGTGCAAGCCTGAGACCGAAGGTCGAGGGTTGCACCTGCGTAGTCCATTGTTTGCGGCTTATTTGAAATACAGGCCAAAATTTGTACGATCGAACACGGCCAAGACCACACCCAGAACCGTTTTATACGATTGGCGATCCCATAACATTTTTTCTTAAAACATTCCCCAATCTGTCTGTTTGGGTGCGTGCTGTTGTGAGGTCAAGTGAAGAATTTAAAAACAATCCAGAACTCAAGAACTTTTTCAATGAAAGCGAACCACATCAATAAACAGTTTCGAACAGCAACATATAGTTTGTGAAAAGGCAAGTGGCCATAAAATCAAAGATACCATTGTTCAGGATTTTCTTTTTAGTGAACGTAAAATATAAATATTTTTCTGATTAAGTTGGACAATGGATAAGCACATTTCTGATGAATTTAATGAATACAATGCAATAACTGATCATTTACGTTTTAATTCTGTTAATGACAATAATATATTAATGTAGAAATATACAATACGTTAGTAAGTATGAAAACTAATGTAACAACTCAAATAACTATCACAATTTATAAAAGTATTTTGCAATAGTACATTATGGCATTCTAAATGTTACGTTTGCCATGCTTCTCCATTTGACAGGATAAAGAACATGTTAATTCGAACTATTTCGTTGTAAAAATCGTTTGTGCTATTTTTTGCTGGCCAATATTATGAAACAAGAAAATTACAAAATAAAAATAAAAATTACTGGGAATTCCTGACACTTTACCTCTTGCCCCACGATCTCAAGAGGTTAAATCCGAAATATTTTGTATTTTCCTATAAATCATTTCACTCTATTGTGTTACACCTGATCGAGAGTTCCCACAAACCCCTCCGAGGCTTGCATATTCTCAATTTCTTCATATTCATTTCTGTTCATGAATATACACACTGAACACATTAATGCTACCAGTACAGCAACCAAGAATCTTTTTAAGCAAGAGAAAAAGCTTCTTATTTTTTCAAATCCTTATTCAGTCAATGATGGCGGTGGAGATGGGTCATCAGCTGGGTGATGAAAGAGGTCAGGAAGGTCACCAGCTGATTGATTAGCAGCCGTACTTTGGACGTCGTTTCTGTCCTAAAATTTCAGTGATAATATGAAAAATTGGTAATATATAAAGCTTAATACGAGTTCTTGCTACCATTCTTGCTGGTAGCTGCTGGACAGATGCTCCAGTGGGCGTGGTATGTAGATATATTTAGTGTTTAGTTATGGTCATTTCCAAGTAGCAAAATGTGCTTAATTTAGGGGCTGTTCATATAAGCTGGGCTAACCCGCTTTACCGCGGACTGGCTAGCTTTGCCGAGCCACTTTATTATTTGATTCACATTAGGCGGGGGGCCAGGCAAGTATGGAAACAATTAATGACCCACACGGCATAAACGTCTAAATCCTCATATTTCATGTTACTTTTATAAGCTGAAGGAAATTCAATTAAGTTATGCAATGATCTATGGTCTACGGAAAGTTGTTCTTTTGCTGCCCTCAATTTTGCATCGAATTGAATTTTATGAGAATGCGCATAAGTACGTTTGCCCTTGCAAGCCAGGCTGGCCTGCGTCGTGCATTCACATTAACTCGTTTATGCCGAGCTCCCGGCAAGAGGGGCCAGCAAGAGGTGTCAGTTTTTTAAGTTCTCTTGACGATGTTAATGACTTCAAAGTTATGCACAAATTGCAGGTAAAATCTTTTCATTTTATTTGTGTAAATAGTAAAAGATGCGAGATCTCGCTACTGCCGAGCTTTCCCGGCTCATATGAACAAGAACTTTGACCATTTATGCTGTTGAAAACCATAAAAACGATTGATTATTATAGGAAAACGGCTTTCGTATCATGCAAAACTTGTAGTATCAGGATTTATGAAGTAGTGACCATTTTTAGTTCTCTTGACAATGTCAATGATTTCAAAGCTATTCATAAATTGCCAGTAAAAGTTTTCCATTTTACTTACAATATGTGTCCCAAGTGTCGTAACCACAAGCCAGGAAATACAAAAACAAAGGAACCGGATGAACGTCGTAAAGAGATTGAACTGAGATGGGGGATATATATCAATTAAGGGTCCTCAATTTTTTCTTAGTCTTCAAGCCCAAGAGATATTCAGACCTCAGTCAATGTTATCCGCCTCAGCTTCGCTTCTGCAGATAATATTGACATCGGATTAAGTAATTCTTGATATCATGCTCAACCTCATCCAATAATTGCTTCTTATTTAAGAAATGGAAGATGTTTACTGTGTTTGCACTGGCCTCATGCAAACCGAGGAGACCTTTGGGAGAGCTCGAGAGCAGATCAGTGCAAAACGGAAGGTCGAGGATTGCACATGCTCGAGAGTTCTCACAAACGTCTCGGAGGTTTGCATAAGTTAGTGCGAACGCGAAAATCGTCTTTTATTTCTTTTATAAAATAACAATAATTCGAAATAGACAAACATTTTAATTTTTCCTCTAAAATGTATTCATGATCGATTTGCAAATTCACTTTGACTGATTGATTGTTTAGATTGATTTGATTGGTTGAGGTAAGATGTGTTTTCCACTGGCTAATGCAAACTCCGCTCTAGACCAATCAGCGCACGCGTTTCATTATGTGTATTTTATATTGTAGCGTAACGTACTAAATTTCTATTCTGATGATCATCTAAACATTGTTATACGATAGTTTTGTTTGCAATTGCAATTAGGATCTTGCTTCTGTGTCTTACTGACAATAGTTAAAAAACTTAATTCCTCAAGATGTCATACAAAGGCGAGCTGTGCGAACGATCACAAACATCATTTGTATCTCTTTTAGGAAAAAACATATCAGAAACTTAATGAGCCCTTATCCATTTAGTCCAGCTCAGTACACTCTAAACAACAAAGTAGTTTTGAATTACTACAGTCTTATCGGTGTGAATCAACTCAACGTCATATAATAGGTGCATTCTTACCATGTTAGGTGATGGCCGCCATATTGGTGGTCATGTGTACTCAGTCATACACTCATAATAAAAATCTTATGGACACAGAATGTATTTTTCTTTCGATGTTTTACAATTACTAAAAATTTAAGTGTGGATTGAACTGAATGTGGAAAATGACAATCAATTTGAACACATAACAGGAGCATATTAGGATGCAATGAATGTAATGAAATAATTGCCATGCGTTAAGGCTCTGCGCTCAAAGGCTAATTGTAAATCACATTCTTATGTAATCTTATCATATAAAAGTAGGTACGCAATGCGTATATGGGCACATAATGAAGTAGATTGAGCAAAGTTATAATAAAATTATATTTATTACTGTTTACATCAAAGAATTTACACGATTTGAAAAATCTATTTTATCATTACTGTTTTAGTATAGTAATGCGATCTGCATTAAATCTTCGAACTCTAACTTAGATTGCAAGTCACGTGACGGTGCTCGCCCCTTTTTTCTTTAAATAAAGTGACGCCCTTTCTCATTTTTCGCCATTTTCAAATTTTAATACATCATCATTTTTACTGGACAAGTTGTGTTTGAAATAAAGTTTTTTGATGTCGTTCACATGACCGAAAAATCGATGCGCTTGTGACTTGTATTAATTCACATATATATATGCACATGTAAAATTTATGTATATATGGGTATTATACGTTTGTTGTTTCTTTTTTATTACCAAACTTGAAAAAGTCAATTTCTGCAACGGTTTTGAGTTTATTGCAAACAATGTTTAATCCTTGAAAGCAAACGCTTTGCACATTGCAAGTTATCTTCAGTGTTATGTGTTTTTTCAATGTTGTGTTTTGTAAGCTAAATATACATTCATTTGCTTTTTGGCTTTGATTAATCAACCAACAGATTATTGTCATCAGAGTTAAAAGAGGAATGTATGCAATGCAGTTGATGCTGAACTGCATTGCATACAGACATTGTCTCTGCTTAATACACGAGTTGCTATACGCTTTGCGAGAACACGATATAACTCAGGTTTGTCATAATCAGGGAGCCTGCATTTAAAAAATATCTTGTTATTATACGTTTGTCCAACCAATGAATCGACCTTATGTTTAGTTCCGCTTGAATAGATACAAACAATAGACGACAATATCATTAAATGGGCATTTGGTTGGGGCGTGTATTTTTGTAGTTAATATTTCCTATAATATTTTCACAAGACTTTGTTTTACGACAATCCAGCAAATAAAATGGCAAATCCGTAGCAAAACATTTTGAAACCAGCGATATTTTCCTAAGAAAAAGACAAGCGCACTAAATGGTATTCCTCGTCAATGTTCGTATGTCCCTCTATCTCTCAGGATAACGACAGACACTCAGACGGACACTTTTTTAGTAAAGCCACAGAATAAAGATCTTAACAGAAGGTCCACTCGTGTCGGAACTTTGCTGTAAAGGCTAATTGCCCAATATGTGACAGCACATTTCCCTTCTTCAAAATATGCACATATCAATAGAAAATATAAAGAATTGGCTAAGATTTAGAAAATATATGAGTACTCATATCACATTTCACTCTTTATCGAAGGAACTTGAGAGAATTTCACAACAATGTAAAAATTCATTTTTCTAGCAAACTCCTTGCATCAATGAAATTAAAAGACGGCATTGATAGTGCAAAATCAGTCTTAAAATTTAATTCAAAAGTTATTTTTAAATTTCATAAATTATAATGTGAAATATACAGACCTTATATATTGTGCGTTGACATTAGCTGCAATGTTCATTTTGACTTGAATGGCATTGCATGTTTAATTAAACAAGAATGGATTTCAAATTTAAACAACCAAAAGAATAGTTTGCTTAACACTTTGACTACATATCTTTACGATTTGACAAATTATTTTGGGCGTAACAAATCATAATTTGCGTACTGAACTGATCCTGGTCAGAGTTCACCGTTCACTCAGTTAAAATCAAAACTGTATATCGTTAGCCATAAATAAATTAAAGACAAATATGATATTCACAACCACAGAAAGAGACGGGCTTGTATTTTGAAATTAGCATTAGATCCAAGATTTTTTAGTTGACATCGTTTAGATTTTATATTGCGTTAAACAGAATAATTCACAAAAGGATTGAATATATTTTTCAATTAAAACATTTTTAGAAGACTTACCCTGCACTTGCAAAGAGTAAATGGAAAACAATCTGAATTGATACATTTCATCCTGAAGAAACACATGATACAACTCTGTAAATGTAAACTATAAATTCTGTTTTTATTTGTTTTCTCAGCTGTAATTGTTGAGGGTGCGTCAAAATAATAACTGCAGCTCATGCATTATTATGTATATTAACAATTCCATGTACCTTATAGGGCAACATGATAGGTCACCAGCTGATTGATTAGCAGCCGTTCTTTGGACGTCGTTTCTGTCCTAAAATGTCAGTGATAATTTGAAAAATTGGTAAGATATCAATCTTAATACGAGTTCTTGCTACCATTTTTGCTGGTAGCTGCTGGACAGAGGCTCTAGTGGGCGTGATATGTAGATATATTTAGTGTTTAGTTATGGTCATTTCCAAGTAGCAAAATGTGCTTAATTTAGGGGCTGCTCATATAAGCTGGGCTAGCCCGCTTTACCGCGGACTGGCTAGCTTTGCCGAGCCACTTTATTATTTGATTCACATTAGGCGGGGTGGCCAGGCAAGTATGGAAACAATTAATGACCCACACGGCATAAACGTCTAAATCCTCATATTTCATGTTACTTTTATAAGCTGAAGGAAACTCAATTAAGTTATGCATTGATCTATGGTCTACGGAAAGTTGTTCTTTTGCTGCCCTCTATTTTGCATCGAATTGAATTTTATGAGAATGCGCATAAGTACGATGTTTGCCCTTGCAAGCCAGGCTGGCCTGCGTCGTGCATTCACATTAACTCGTTTATGCCGAGCTCCCGGCAAGAGGGGCCAGCAAGAGGTGTCAGTTTTTTAAGATCTCTTGACGATGTTAATGACTTTAAAGTTATGCACAAATTGCAGGTAAAATCTTTTCATTTTATTTATGTAAATAGTAGAAGATGCGAGATCTCGCTACTGCCGAGCTTGCCCGGCTCATATGAACAAGAACTTTGACCATTTATGCTGTTGAAAACCATAAAAACGATTGATTATTATAGGAAAACGGCTTTCGTATCATGCAAAACTTGTAGTATCAGGATTCATGAAGTAGTGACCTTTTTCAGTTCTCTTGACAATGTCAATGATTTCAAAGCTATTCATAAATTGCCAGTAAAATTTTTCCATTTTACTTACACTATGTGTCCCAAGTGTCGTAAACACAAGCCAGGAAATACAAAAGCAAAGGAACCGGATGAACGTCGTAAAGAGATTGAACTGAGATGGGGGATATATATCAATTAAGGGTCCTCAATTTTTTCTTAGTCTTCAAGCCCAAGAAATATTCAGACCTCAGTCAATGTTATCCGCCTCAGCTTCGCTTCTGCAGATAATATTGACATCGGTTTAAGTAATTCTTGATATCATGCTCAACCTCATCCAATAATTGCTTCTTATTTAAGAAATGGAAGATGTTTACTGTGTTTGCACTGGCCTCATGCAAACCGAGGAGACCTTTGGGAGAGCTCGAGAGCAGATCAGTGCAAAACGGAAGGTCGAGGATTGCACATGCTCGAGAGTTCTCACAAACGTCTCGGAGGTTTGCATAAGTTAGTGCGAACGCGAAAATCATCTTTTATTTCTTTTATAAAATAACAATAATTCGAAATAGACAAACATTTTAATTTTTCCTCTAAAATGTATTCATGATCGATTTGCAAATTCACTTTGACTGATTGATTGTTTAGATTGATTTGATTGGTTGAGGTAAGATGTGTTTTCCACTGGCTAATGCAAACTCCGCTCTAGACCAATCAGCGCACGCGTTTCATTATGTGTATTTTATAATTTATATTGTAGCGTAACGTACTAAATTTCTATTCTGAAGATCATCTAAACATTGTTATACGATCGTTTTGTTTGCAATTGCAATTAGGATCTTGCTTCTGTGTCTTACTGACAATAGTTAAAAAACTTAATTCCTCAAGATGTCATACAAAGGCGAGCTGTGCGAACGATCACAAACATCATTTGTATCTCTTTTAGGAAAAAACATATCAGAAACTTAATGAGCCCTTATCCATTTAGTCCAGCTCAGTACACTCTAAACAACAAAGTAGTTTTGAATTACTACAGTCTTATCGGTGTGAATCAACTCAACGTCATATAATAGGTGCATTCTTACCATGTTAGGTGATGGCCGCCATATTGGTGGTCATGTGTACTCAGTCATACACTCATAATAAAAATCTTATGGACACAGAATGTATTTTTCTTTCGATGTTTTACAATTACTAAAAATTTAAGTGTGGATTGAACTGAATGTGGAAAATGACAATCAATTTGAACACATAACAGGAGCATATTAGGATGCAATGAATGTAATGAAATAATTGCCATGCGTTAAGGCTCTGCGCTCAAAGGCTAATTGTAAATCACATTCTTATGTAATCTTATCATATAAAAGTAGGTACGCAATGCGTATATGGGCACATAATGAAGTAGATTGAGCAAAGTTATAATAAAATTATATTTATTACTGTTTACATCAAAGAATTTACACGATTTGAAAAATCTATTTTATCATTACTGTTTTAGTATAGTAATGCGATCTGCATTAAATCTTCGAACTCTAACTTAGATTGCAAGTCACGTGACGGTGCTCGCCCCTTTTTTCTTTAAATAAAGTGACGCCCTTTCTCATTTTTCGCCATTTTCAAATTTTAATACATCATCATTTTTACTGGACAAGTTGTGTTTGAAATAAAGTTTTTTGATGTCGTTCACATGACCGAAAAATCGATGCGCTTGTGACTTGTATTAATTCACATATATATATGCACATGTAAAATTTATGTATATATGGGTATTATACGTTTGTTGTTTCTTTTTTATTACCAAACTTGAAAAAGTCAATTTCTGCAACGGTTTTGAGTTTATTGCAAACAATGTTTAATCCTTGAAAGCAAACGCTTTGCACATTGCAAGTTATCTTCAGTGTTATGTGTTTTTTCAATGTTGTGTTTTGTAAGCTAAATATACATTCATTTGCTTTTTGGCTTTGATTAATCAACCAACAGACTATTGTGATCAGAGTAAAAAGAGGAATGTATGCAATGCAGTTGATGCTGAACTGCATTACATAGCAGACATTGTCTCTGCTTAATAAACGAGTTGCTATACGCTTTGCGAGAACACGATATAACTCAGGTTTGTCATAATCAGGGAGCCTGCATTTAAAAAATATCTTGTTATTATACGTTTGTCCAACCAATGAATCGACCTTATGTTTAGTTCCGCTTGAATAGATACAAACAATAGACGACAATATCATTAAATGGGCATTTGGTTGGGGCGTGTATTTTTGTAGTTAATATTTCCTATAATATTTTCACAAGACTTTGTTTTACGACAATCCAGCAAATAAAATGGCAAATCCGTAGCAAAACATTTTGAAACCAGCGATATTTTCCTAAGAAAAAGACAAGCGCACTAAATGGTATTCCTCGTCAATGTTCGTATGTCCCTCTATCTCTCAGGAAAACGACAGACACTCAGACGGACACTTTTTTAGTAAAGCCACAGAATAAAGATCTTAACAGAAGGTCCACTCGTGTCGGAACTTTGCTGTAAAGGCTAATTGCCCAATATGTGACAGCACATTTCCCTTCTTCAAAATATGCACATATCAATAGAAAATATAAAGAATTGGCTAAGATTTAGAAAATATATGAGTACTCATATAACATTTCACTCTTTATCGAAGGAACTTGAGAGAATTTCACAACATTGTAAAAATTCATTTTTCTAGCAAACTCCTTGCATCAATGAAATTAAAAGACGGCATTGATAGTGCAAAGATCAGTCTTAAAATTTAATTCAAAAGTTATTTTTAAATTTCATAAATTATAATGTGAAATATACAGACCTTATATATTGTGCGTTGACATTAGCTGCAATGTTCATTTTGACTTGAATGGCATTGCATGTTTAATTAAACAAGAATGGATTTCAAATTTAAACAACCAAAAGAATAGTTTGCTTAACACTTTGACTACATATCTTTACGATTTGACAAATTATTTTGGGCGTAACAAATCATAATTTGCGTACTGAACTGATCCTGGTCAGAGTTCACCGTTCACTCAGTTAAAATCAAAACTGTATATCGTTAGCCATAAATAAATTAAAGACAAATATGATATTCACAACCACAGAAAGAGACGGGCTTGTATTTTGAAATTAGCATTAGATCCAAGATTTTTTAGTTGACATCGTTTAGATTTTATATTGCGTTAAACAGAATAATTCACAAAAGGATTGAATATATTTTTCAATTAAAACATTTTTAGAAGACTTACCCTGCACTTGCAAAGAGTAAATGGAAAACAATCTGAATTGATACATTTCATCCTGAAGAAACACATGATACAACTCTGTAAATGTAAACTATAAATTCTGTTTTTATTTGTTTTCTCAGCTGTAATTGTTGAGGGTGCGTCAAAATAATAACTGCAGCTCATGCATTATTATGTATATTAACAATTCCATATACCTTATAGGGCAACATGATAGGTCACCAGCTGATTGATTAGCAGCCGTTCTTTGGACGTCGTTTCTGTCCTAAAATGTCAGTGATAATATGAAAAATTGGTAAGATATCAATCTTAATACGAGTTCTTGCTACCATTTTTGCTGGTAGCTGCTGGACAGAGGCTCTAGTGGGCGTGGTATGATATTTAGTGTTTAGTTATGGTCATTTCCAAGTAGCAAAATGTGCTTAATTTAGGGGCTGTTCATATAAGCTGGGCTATCCCGCTTTACCGCGGACTGGCTAGCTTTGCCGATTTGATTCACATTAGGCGGGGTGGCCAGGCAAGTATGTAAACAATTAATGACCCACACGGCATAAACGTCATAATCCTCATGTTACTTTTATAAGCTGAAGGAAACTCAATTAAGTTATGCATTGATCTATGGTCTACGGAAAGTTGTTCTTTTGCTGCCCTCTATTTTGCATCGAATTGAATTTTATGAGAATGCGCATAAGTACGATGTTTGCCCTTGCAAGCCAGGCTGGCCTGCGTCGTGCATTCACATTAACTCGTTTATGCCGAGCTCCCGGCAAGAGGTGTCAGTTTTTTAAGTTCTCTTGACGATGTTAATGACTTCAAAGTTATACACAAATTGCAGGTAAAATCTTTTCATTTTATTTGTGTAAATAGTAAAAGATGCGAGATCTCGTAAACTGCCGAGCTTGCCCGGCTCATATGAACAAGAACTTTGACCATTTTTGCTGTTGAAAACCATAAAAACGATTGATTATTATAGGAAAACGGCTTTCGTATCAGGCAAAACTTGTAGTATCAGGATTTATGAAGTAGTGACCTTTTTTAGTTCTCTTGACAATGTCAATGATTTCAAACCTATTCATAAATTGCCAGTAAAAGTTTTCCATTTTACTTACACTATGTGTCCCAAGTGTCGTAAACACAAGCCAGGAAATACAAAAGCAAAGGAACCGGATGAACGTCGTAAAGAGATTGAACTGAGATGGGGGATATATATAAATTAAGGGTCCTCAATTTTTTCTTAGTCTTCAAGCCCAAGAAATATTCATCGTATGTGGGTCAAACCACGCGTCATTTACACACCAGAATATCAGAACACTTGGGAATCTCTCCCTTAACAGGGAAGCCTTCCTTATGTCCACCACCATCTGCAGTTCTTTCTCATATAAGAAATACATCTCACTCTGCCGATTTTAATGATTTCTCAATTCTCTCTTCCTCCTCCGACAATTATGACCTTATGATTCATGAAAGCCTTCTTATATCCAAACTCAAACCCTCTCTTAACACCCAAGGCAACTCAATCCCCCTTCACCTTCTTTAATATACCGCCATTCTCACTTAATTCCGTCATCTAAACTTCCTACTCCCCTCACATGTAATTTAATACCCCGTAATATATGCTTGTATTTAATACCTCGTGTATATAAATTAACTCAATTAATCTGAAGATGTCTTAAGTTAAAGACGAAACGTTATTAATAAATTCTTCTCTATTTTATTATTGTGATGGCTTTTTTAAAAGTCTTATGTTGGGCTATTATGTTCATATTGAAAAGTTCTTTTATGGATATATTCATCGGTGCTAGAGCTGTCTCATGACTTCATACAAAGGAATTTGACATACATTGTACCAAGCCACTTAGTAGAGAAACTACTGAATCCGAATCTGTCGGTTGTCTAAGAGCCACAGCAATTGCTACGCTTCTAATGCAGATTCACAATGCTTCACAATTGCTTTCCAGATTGGCAATGCCTTTAAGTCAGATTTGCGAAGTCTTGTACAGTACAAGGTCCTGACTTTAACTAATAATAAAGTAAATGGAACTTAATAGACATTGTTAGATAATTCAAAACTACACCTTAAAATGCAGTGAAAACTTTAGTATTTACAGTTTTCCAGGTAATCATCATAGCTTGTCCATTGAAACCAAGATGGGTCTCTCCCACAAAAATATTTGGAGTGTATATTTAATATTTGTTTCTCTAAGATATGGTCTTTAGCGTCAGTGAATGAGTGATGCATAATTTTTCGAAGTATAACATTTCATATGATGGTACCAAGTCAATGCTCAAAGGGTTCTTTTGTATGAATTTATTGGTGCTTTCATACGATTGTTTATCTATTTGAGCTTGTTAAGTTTTTGCCCTTTCGACCTACACTCAAGAAATCATTCCAGTGTTTGGCACGTAACTCTGCGAAGTTTCTACATAACACTGTCTAAATGCCAATTCGTAATGCAATTCGAGTATAACTTTCTCCATGATAGTTTTGTTTATGACAAGAATGTAACTGACTGTTTCCACTTAGAAGCAAAATGCGTGAAGTGCGCGTGAACAGTACGAGTTTCACAAGTGTATGCATGCGTAGATAGCACAAAATAATGACATTCCAAATTTATCAAAGCGCGTAAATCCCCAAATTTGAAGGAAGATTTCTCTGGATTGGGCACCTGTTTCCCTTGGGGAGCAACGGGTTATAGTTTAGGAGATTATTATCTATCTACTATTGTAAGAATTATGTAGCCTCGAAGTGGGTGCAACGGAACCGTTTTCTGAGCATCTTTTCGATGCTCATCCTACTGTCTAATATTGTAGTTCTGTATTGTGGTGGTAGATTCAAATTGGTGGAAGAGCATCTCAAATTAAAAAAGAATAAATAATAGAAACGTTTTTAATGTATCACGAATCTTTTCAGCGAATATTAACATAAAATTTCAATGACAATGAATATATTTATGACAAACTTTGTACAATAAATATAATGAAATATTTGAACTCACTTTTAATGTAGGAAGACTAAACATTATTTGTTTTGTGTACAAAATAGTCTGAAATATTTTTTTTTATACTGCTCTTAGAAGAGAGCGAAAAGACGCGGCTCGTTAGACGTTTTATGTAAATCAAAACAAGTCATATCTATGCGTGTTTATTTATCGGTTCAGTGACTTTTAATTATATCTTACACTGAATCACAAAAACTGTTTTAAATGATACATTGTAGGTTGTTGACGACATAGAATTTATGGCAAAAATGGATTTTCCTCGAAACACAAATAAGTTTGTTGTTAAAATTAATTAGAAATCACATTGATTTCACTTTCCATTATTTGATAGGTCATTTGAATGAACAGTGACCACAAAGCACATTTTTGAAATTTCAAACATTTTTATAATTTGGTAGTGGATTTATTAGTATAAAGTTTTATTTGAAATTGTGACTATGTTTATTCATCTACTTTATATCTTGTGCATATATTTGCCAAGAAATCTACATGAAGGCATTGCCTATTTATTTTTTCTTTTGTAATAGCTCAATTATTTAGCAAGGTGATTGCGAATATAACTGCATTATATTATGCTATTATACGAATGTAGCAGTGGTTTGAATGCAAAAAACTGCCTAATTTTTCATGGGATTGGCTACAATTCGTTCTAAAAATATAAATAGCTTTATCATATGATTTTTCGTCGTAGCTTAAGCATGAAATCCTTAAATATTAAATTTCATAATAGACTATATATATAGTGCATTGACATTAGATGCAATGTTCATTTTGACTTGAATGGCATTGCATGTTTAATTAAACAAGAATGGATTTCAAATTTAAACAACCAAAAGAATAGTTTGCTTAACACTTTGACTACTTATCTTTGCGATTTGACAAATTATTTTGGGCGTAACAAATCATAATTTGCGTACTGAACTGATCCTGGTCAGAGTTCACCGTTCACTCAGTTAAAATCAAAACTGTATATCGTTAGCCATAAATAAATTAAAGACAAATATGATATTCACAACCACAGAAAGAGACGGGCTTGTATTTTGAAATTAGCATTAGATCCAAGATTGTTTAGCTGACGTCGTTTAGATTTTATATTGCGTTAAACAGAATAATTCACAAAAGGATTGAAGATATTTTTCAATTAAAACATTTATGGAAGACTTACCCTGTACTTGCAAAGAGTAAATGGACAACAATCTGAATTGATACATTCGATCAAGAAGATACACATAATACAACTCTGTAAATGTAAACTATAAATTCTGTTTTTATTTGTTTGCTCAGCTGTAATTGTTGAGGGTGCGTTAAAATAATAACTGCAGCTCATGCATTATTATGTATATTTACAATTCCATATACCTTATAGGGCAACATGATTGGTGAAATTTTATTCTTTGTAAGTTCATTTTTATTCATTATTATATTACGTCTTTATTATATCAGTGAAGAAGCAAAACAAATTGACTTAGAAAAATAATCTGAAAGACATTTTAATGAACAAAAGTAAGTTAAAAATGATATCATTAAACTCTACAAGATGTACATCATCAAAATATGCCAATTCAAGTACCTCTGTTATCATTAAGCGAAGCAAAGTTTTCAACCAGTTCCTATGTGAACAACTTCAATATCGATGAATATGTTGAAAATATGAATACTTTTGTTCTTATTTTGTTGTAAATCTGTAATTTAAGTATTCATCTTCTAAAAGTGCCTCGCACGGCTGAAATTGTCCTCGTCACCTTCAACATTCAAATTGCCATCTTATTTTTCAGTCGTTACCAAGCCAAAGAAACAAAGCTTTAGAGTTGAAACTCTCTACTGGTCTTCCTCTACATGTCTTAAAAATTTTCCCTTAATCAGAAGTTTTTAAAAGGAATAAAAACGCGAAAACTGTAATTTTGTAATACAAAAGTACAGTAAAGTTGGACCGGTACCCCCATGAAGTCAGTAGCAAATGATCGATGTTCCGGCTTCAATTTTTGCAAGAAATGCGTTATCCAGGGCTAATATACATATCAGTGATCACTTCGTCACGGTGGGGAAAATGTGCATCATTTGGTGCAACTGTCCTGAGTCTCTTTAGCCGAGTGAACCACCTAAACGTCACAAATTTTATTGTTTTTTAGTCTACTTCACGTTGGGAAATTGCTGCTGACTGTCACTATGCCCACGAGCACTAAAATTTCATTCTGAGTGATGCTCTTGAGCCAGGGTTATAAATGTTCAAAGCTTTAAAATTATAATTACATGACTATGGCATTTGGCTTATTTATATCATGAAGTCATCATGGCTGAAAGTAGGCAGATATACGATCTTGGCTCATTGATTCAAGACAGTAAAACCAGCGAAATTTCTTCTGAAGAAAGGATTACGAAGCAAAAGTCTCTGCTGCAATTCCGACTAAAACAGACCTGTTTCGAAAAGGAAAGCTGGCAAAAGATCTTAACGCAGAGTTGCTTATCCCTAACCATATGGGAGATAATTGGCGGGCTTTAAAATAAGTAGCTTGAAGTGCTTACTGCTTAATATGCTTGGCATTGTAATGCATAGCTATAGGTCTATACTTGTATTTATGTAATGCTTATGGCTTACTCGCTTTGATGTTAGGAATATAAGGGGGAGGGGGACAGGGGGTGTTTATTCCCTGTTGAATGTAGTAAAATTTCAAAGCATCCTGACCTGCATCAACCTATTAAATCGAAATTTACTGTATTCTATATTACAATGTCAATTTTCAAACTACACGTCCAATATTGTTGGCTCAATGAAGAAGTCTCTACGTTGTTCCTGGAGAAATCTCCACTCTAAGGGCCTGTTTATATGGAGCCGAGTTACCCGGCTGAGCGAGTTACTCGCCTAGCCGGGTAACTCGGCCCTTATATAAAATGAATGCATTTCCCGGTGAACCGTTTATATGACACATCCGAGTAACTCGCCTTGCCGGGTAACTCGGTTTGTGTAAGCGAGTTACCCGGCTAGGCGGGATGAATTTTCCATATAAACGCATTTGCATCACAAACAGCTTGCACATTTAATGAAAAAAACATCTTATAGCAAAAGTAATCCTGTGAATTCTCCGTCGGCCTTAATATGGGGACATGAGTGCCGTCAATGCATCCAAATGCTTGAGGCATACCAAACTGCACTTCAAATTCAGAAATTTTTTTACGCATTTCATCATAATTCTTTGGTAGTTTCAAGTATTTTGGTCCTAATTTCGAACTTATTACTTCACAAACAAGATGTATTGTTCGGGAGGCAGTTGAAACATGTATCCCAAATGCATTAGCTGTCATTTTAATTGAACCCGTGTCTTTCAAATAATAAAGAGTTATTGCTAGTCGTTTATGAGCCTGAAGTGAACGATAGTTGGGAGAATTTTTTGGAGTGGAAATGTATGGCCTAAGCTCATTTAATAATTGGAAAAACTGGATGCTGGAAAGTCTAAAGTTTTTTTTCCACTCTTCGTCGGGTAAGCTACCGTTTAACATATTTTTCCACCACTGATCCGTTCTGCCTCTTTGGTACCACACAGAACGAGGTCTTCGTGCCACTCTCGACATCCTTCGTTTTTTAAGTCTTTCGGCGTGTACATTTCGCTTTAACAATAGATCTTTCAACAATATATTATTTCTCATGTACACGTAACTTTGCAAAATTAAAGATAAGCCTTGTACTTGCAGCATGATTACAGAAAAACATACGCATATCATAATTTTTAACCTTATATTCACCCATTCCATTTTTGCTGCGAAACTGTGAGGCTTTTTAAAATCTCGCGCCTTCACTCGAAGTTAGCATAGCAAAACTTCATTTAAGATTAATAAACGGAAGTGCTAGCCGAGTTACCCGGTGCCATATAAACAGATCACTTTGTCAAACCCGGCTAGGCGAGTAACTCGCTCAGCCGGGTAACTCGGCTCCATATAAACAGGCCCTAAGTGGCTTCGGACAAGTCTAGCATGTGCATAGTGAGTTAGCCTTTCAGTTGTTGTAGAGTTCATTGGTTAGAGATAGCCGCTCCAGTTATTATAGAACTCAATGGTCTAGACATGTATATTTTGAGTTAGCCTTCCAGTTGTATGTTCATTGGCTCTGAGATCTCCGGAGTTTACTGGTAGCGAGTGGCGTGGCGGCCACTGTTTTCAATATGTCAACTTTATTTACATTGTACGAGTCGACTCCGTCACTGAGAATGAATATTGTTTATACAAGCTCAATATAGGCAGCTTCAAAAGTCAGAAAGAAACTATTTAGTGAGATTTATCATGGGAAACATTGTTCCCCTTGACCGGAACAACTCGTCTTTTTTAAAGGTTGAGGAGAAGTTGCCGGTCTTTTATCAGGATTCAAAAATTATAACCCGGAACGACAATGGACAGGAAACATTTAGACTTTATTACATTTCATTAAACCATTACGAAGCAGTGCTATACCATGCAGAGGAAAGAGCGGATTGTCTAAGTTTATTCAGGATTGAAGATGAGGAAAAAGCAAGAGAAATGTTTGGGTATGTTGAAGTGTAGATATGCGGGTATTGAGTAGATGCACTTTTCAGTTTTCACTTCCCTTTCAAAGTTTTCACTATTAACAAAGTTTTATGTTAAATACCGTAACCCATTCTTTGAGAAATTTTTAGATGATACAAGTTGGCTATTGTCATTTTGTACATTATATACTTTCATACAGTGAAATTGTATTGTATAAATGTTCCAGTAATCAAGTATGTTACTTAATAGTTACGATAGTAAATATTGTACGGTTTTAATTTGAAAATATAAGTTAACACCTTAATGAATCCCCAGGGACCACGGAGCAAATTTTTATACTGAGGGCTTATTAACCCATTAAGTGTCAAAGTTGTGTGCCAGAGGGGTCTAGGAAAAAATTTCAAAATTTCAAAATGGCTGCAAATATCATTGGCCCCTTTTCTGCAGTCCCTGATTCACTACTTAACATCTTATATGTTTAAACTATCAAATATTGATTGACAAAGTCCACGAACTATTGCTTCTGCAAAAGATAATTGTTTCCTTTTTTTAATGAAGCATATTTTTTTGTTTTTTTTTTGTTTTTAATCACAGGAAGCTATGTGAGAAACTCACATCTTTCTATCAATCATCATCAAGGTGTTATGACACTCAGACACTGCAATCCTTGCTCAACTGCCTTGAGGAAAATCCTGGTATGAATCTTTCAGTTGTTGCAAGGAAAACTGGTCTCACAGAATGTCTAAAGCATGAGAAAATTAGAGCAAGTATGGAGATTGTTGATGCCACAGATTCAGGTGATAATGGTGATAAGATTCTCTTGCATTGGGCTAAGGTAATTGTAAATACAAGCCACATGAGCTAAGGGGTTAATTATGTAAATCAAGATGTCCATCCATCTGAGTTAGAATGTCTGCAGCAAGATCAATTGATTACCTATGCTTTATTATACCGATTTTTAACTTGGCTTGTTTGGACAATTTGGTTCACAAAATGAAGTCATCATTCACTAGTGAGATGTGATTATAACAAAATACCATAAATAAAAAAGCATAAATATAAAATTCCTTGGTTGAACATCTTATGTTCTTCAAGGTCTAAGTAAGTAAAGCTCAGCCAAATAAATGTTTTTGTTGTGTTTGGTCTATGTATTCATCATTTCTATTCACAAGCATATTGTTTTGAGTGCTCATTTAAATTTAACACACTCTGACTTTAACTTAATCAACGATTTGTTTCAAAATAATTAAAATGAGAAAAACTTGGCTAATTTAGGCAAATTATCTTTGCAAATATAATATGTACAGCAAATACTATAAAACATTAGATTTCTTCTTTGTTTCACTTAAAGTACATAAGTCACCTGTGGTGGATAATAAAAAGTTCATATATTCTCTCAACTCATAAGACATTATTAAAACATGTTGTTTCAAGGTAGACATTATCGTATGGTAGCCTTAATATTTGTATGTTAAAAATTGCAGATTCTGTCTTTATGCTTGTGTTGATTATTTGTAATACCAGGTATTACCAAGGCTTTTAACACATGTATGTAAAAATTTTTTTGCCACAAGTCACAGGCTTTACTGCCAACAAGTATTAACATCAAAATATTTTGTTTTATAGTTTGGTTTCAAGGGACAGATCGACAACGTTGTGGAAGGAGTAGGCGTAAGCTCACTTACTCAAGAAGATGATAAAGGCAACACAGTTATGCATTATGCTGTAAGCCAACCAGAATTACTTGATAAATTATTGCTTCGAGCAACTGAGCTTGGTAAGTAGTATAGCGCTAAATTGTAGCATTTGTTGTGTGTGAAGGTTTGGAGGTTTCATGTGCTTTTCAATAGAATACATACATACATGAACTTTTTTTATATTCAAAATGAACACAGGCTTCAGCAAACACACTGCATGATGTGGCTTTTTGTTTAAATTTTCCTTCAAGAACATATTTCACACTTACCATAGCAAACCATTAAAATAACAATTTTCATGTATGAGGATCATATTCGTTCATCTATTCTAATGAGGTTCTTATTCTTTTGCAGGTGCTCAGGTAGTGAACAGTGTGAACAGTTCAGAGGAGACACCACTACATTTTGCATGTGTAATTAATAATGCAAAAGGTCTACAGGTATGTATATATACAATTTTATCTATCTCAGATGAACAGAAACCTCAATAATATGTAAGAATGAGAATGTTGAAGTATGGCATTAATTGGCAGTCTGTCTATTTGGTTGTGTTTTATATTATGAAATTGTTCTATAAATGGGCATAGCAGGACAGAAACTTGATGACCAGCTATAGCACTGCATGGGTTGTAAATTCGATAAACCACTGCATAGAATGACTAATGCTTGTAGGATGGCTATCCAACTGCATAACAGGGCTAAAGCATGCAGGCTTGCTAAACCAATGCATAACAGGATAATACAAAGATCATTACTAACATTTGAGGCTTTCTAGTATAATATTGCAAAGCAGGACTGCAATTGGTTTCAGGCTTTACACTTCAAATCATGACTCAAACTTGCTGGCCAGCTGCTGCACTGCATAACAGGACTAAAATTTGTACGTTGGCTATACCGCTGCCTACTATCTTGCTGGCCGAGTATACGAAGAGCAATACTAATGCTTGAGGCTGGCTATACAATTCCAAAGCAATACTCAAACTTGCTTTACCCTTCATTGCAGGGCTACATCTTGTTGGCCTGCTTTACAAATGCATAACTAGACTGAAACCTGCTGACTTTGCTAAAGGAGAAAATATGCATATAGGAAGGTTACTTAGAACCAAACTTATGGCCTGTTTACATGCAGATAGGGCAACACTAGCCGAAGGGATATCCCAGTAAGCGAGTTACCCTACGACAATATATCTCATAAGTAGCGTTTTACATGTGCGCTATGGTAACCCTTGGGGTAGGTTTTCCCTATCAAAATGTTAGCTTTACGTTTACCCTAGCAGTAGGGCTAATGTTCACTTCTCTTCTCCGGAGTATATTCACTTATGTATAGCAACATTGAGGGGAAAAAATCGCTTGCGGAGGATATAATTACACTCTAGGTGAACAACATCACTTAACAGAGTAAGAAATGAGTGGAAAGCGCAGCGGCTAAGGAACTTTTTCCTACGCAGATGCAGACGTTGATCGTTTAAATGTCTTCTCTTTGTTATAAAAAACTAAGTTTAAATGGAATAATATTTTATAAATCCCCCGTATTTCATTACATATACGTCCTAAATGGACGACTCCTGTACCTCCTTAACAACAACTGGCGCATAACTGGCGATCATCCCTCGGACGAAGTTCGTAAAAGGCCGGACTAAAAATGACCATATAATTTGATATAATCACAAAAAAATTGCTGAAATTGCTCCATGTAATCGGCTCCTAAACATCCCTCATCGCTATGAAACAAAAAATGCTACAAAGTCTATGTTTAGCTATCCGACATAAAACAAGAATTATAGAAAACTTGGTTCAACATTTCTCAAGATTCTGTTTAAAGTATTACTAATCGAGAATTCTTTTATAATTTAATAAATGCTGGTTTCTTGCGATTATTTCCTTTGAAAGTCGTCCTGTTTAAAGTAGGTGAATTTTTCTCACAAAGAAATTTTCAAATTGAATTTAGGCATTTTAGCAGAAAATTCTTAACACTATCCATACAAATTTGGCTAGAATTTGTTTAATATTTTTGCTTTAAAGTTTGCTTCAAGCATCGAATAACTGCCATGATATCTACACAAATTACAGTCTTCTATATGCAGTGGCGCATTACTCAGTAGGCTAAGAATGTTGAAGCTACAGGCCCGCCTTTTTGAGAGGCGTTGTATTTAGACATAACTTTTACTTTTGCCATTCCGCATTTGCTGAATGTTTTAAAGTTCCACCATGTATGCTGTTTTAAACTGTACGATCTACTGTTTTAATGCACGATGCACAGAAATCATAACGTAGTGAGTTTACCCCGTTCTAACTTTAAATTTATTTCTTATTGTTCGCACTACGTATACATGAGTTATATACAGAAACCGGTAAAGGCAAAAGCAAAGGAGCATGAGAAACGCAATGTCCTCAACAGACTGAACTTATTTGGGGAAATAAATATCACTTATAGGCCTACAACTTTGTCTTAATCTGCAGTCCCCGTAATTAGTAATCCGCCACTGTCTATTTATCCAAACACCTATAGGTTGTCGGTCTCTCACTTATATACATCAGTTCAAGAATATCTTACCTCACTTTTTTGTTAATTGGTTTACATAAAAACACCAGTTAACGTTCCTTTCTTCTTTATTCTTGTATTTTCTCTCCCGCTCAAATCCTGTAAATTAATATATAAATATAAGGATTCGTCATATAAAAGTCAAACGACATACATGTGAATGTGATGTAATGTTTTTTTACACTTTATGTTGTAATCATGCAGGTATGACCTGAGTCATAATCGAGGACTTCTTTCGCAAGTTTTTGTAATCCAAGTAAAAATAATATAAAATATCCAGATTCCTTAACTTATTGACAAGTTTTTTCATATTTAATGTCGTACAGCAAGCAAGCACATTGAACAGAGCTCTATCCAACGACTGAAACGACTAAGTTGAGACGATTCTATGACAAGTAATCTCGGGCTGCTAAAGTTTTTTATGTTCAGGCTTAATTTTCAAGAATGCACCAACAATGAAGACGACCTTTTCGATTGAATGATTATCCCGAGTCATTGCCTGAATTTTTTTCAAAACTAACAGAAGCGTTGAGGAGACTATAAGGGCTATTTGTTGTTTTTTTTCGTTGGTGTTTCATAAAAGTACAATTGCTGAATGCAACATGTCAAATACGTACCACTGCGTGACGAATTCTAAAATACAACATTAATATTGTGATCATTTAATCTTATGACCTAAAATTTTTGCGTTTAGCATAACAGTGTGTATTAAACTCTTACATGCTTGGCTTGTGGAATATCATGAATTCGAGGAAATTTGCCTACAGTGGAAGGCATTGTCCTTTATTTGAACTGTTATTTTGCTGTTGTGCTTTTAAAAAATTATAAAAACAAACTTAACATTCAAGAACTATTAGATTATCACGTTCTGAAACTCAATTTATCAGCGACTTCTCATGATGCAGCTATCAGACTTTGATAGAAAAATACAAAGTGCAAAAATCAGCTTTCACGTGCATGTCGTTTGAATTTCATATGATTAATCCAGTAATTTTTATCTCACGGCATTTGAGCTGAAGAGAAGATAAAAGAATAAAGAAACAAAAATTAGTGAAGGGTCTCGTGTTCCTAATTAAAGAAAAAAGAAGTAAGGTGAGGTGACTCTTGAAGTGCTGTATAGTAAAACACTGACGAACCTTTAGGTATTTTAATAAATGGCAGACTGTGCGTGTGTTGAAATATCACCGCAGTTATTTGCTGCTTGAAGCAGAATATAAAGCCAAGATGTCAAGTAGATTTTAGTCAAATTTGATTTGATGGTACCAATAACTTTATATTTTTTGTTTTGAAACATTTTTGTGCAAAAAATGAGCACCCACCAGAATTCAGATGCGTGTCGTTTGAGTTTCGTATGATCAATTTTTTCTCATAATTGCACAATGCTTGTACTTTTAAAGGCCAATGATGTGAACCTTTGTAGAGGGATCAAATATGCTCCATTTGTGAAATTCCTTGATGCAATTTTGATTTTTGTGATTTTGTGGTGTAATTTGCATAATTTGGTAAGTTATTTGCTACAGGAAAAACATATTTTTTTAAATTATTACTTACACAAGGCTTCTGCTATTAAAATATTCAAATTCGATTTACAAATTTCTTCAATTGTGAGAAAATTTTACTAGGGTTAATAAGGACAACGTTGAAAGTAACTAATCGCAGGAAATCAGCATTAGTGAAACAATATTAGTATCTCAAATAGTAATACTTCAAACAGAATCTTGAGTTCGTCTACAATATGTGGTATTCTTATGTTAAATTCATTCTTTTTATGACATGTCAACAAAGTGTTAAATCAAGTTTTCAATGTCTATAGCCCTTCTATTATGTATGATAAACATAAGAATTTGTAGCCTGTCTTACTTCATAAGCAAATGTAATACTTTATTTAGGGAAAATGTTTTCATTAACAAACAAAGCACGTTAACACGCAAGTAAATACTTAAATGAAAATGTCAAAATGAGTTTAGTAACCACTGTAGTCTCTAGAGGCGTTATTTTTTGTTCTTTGGCTTAGAAAACAAAAAATGTAGGTAGTGAACTATGTAATTCCTTCCTCCTAATTTCTACCCTAATTTCGTCTTTTTGCAAGTGCATTATCTTTGCTCATTGAGGGGAGAGGAACCGTGTTCCCTTGGTCCATTATTTAGATTTTGGGCTTTAGATACAAAAATAAAGAGAAGAGAAGATCTAGATGATTTTGTGGTAATTCTATTTGAAACAATAAAAAGAAGAAGTTCGGTGAAGTGATTCTTGAACTACTGCATGAGAGTGGAACACTGAGAGCCCAAGTAATTAACCAATTGTTATATAACATGCTGTTGGTAAATAAATCGCGAGATTTGGTGCGATATCTGTCAGTTACATCACGCTTGGTTATTTAGAGCTCAATCTTCAAATTATTGATTCTCGAGAAAGAAATTTGAGGGTGGGGGGAATTTTTAGAGCAGAAAGATTTAGGCAACGCTTTGTGGCTGAATGTATCATTATGAGTGAAGAAATTTTCCATTTTGTTTTAGTCATGAATTCTTCTAAATTTTATTGATTGTTCTGATTTTTCAAAAATCAGTCGAAATGGAGTATCTTCAAGAAAGGAAAGGATGGGCGATAAATTCATCATCGCAACAAGCAAAAAACAGGTAGGTAATCTAGTTATCTCTCCAAACATGAACATGTTAAACTCCTTGTAAGACAATACAAATATGGTAAAAACACTTTCATTAAGTTGTACGCCAAAACAATTTTGCTGTATATCTCAGCGCAATATTTGTTCTTCGTGTTTCTATTTTCATCTTAAGTGTGTACGATTTAATCTCTTTCAAAATATCTGCTTGAAAAGGTTTTTGCAAATTTTTTCTGTTTGATTTTCTGTACAACGTGCAGACGCACAAATGAGCGCTCATAACAACAAGTTATTGCGTAGCAATCTATCATATAGTAAGCTTAGTAACTTGAATAATTAATTTGTATAGGTAATAGCATTTGCACGAGAAGCTATATGCTTATTCAATTTCTCAATTGAATTCTGTTGATTTTTAACTTTTTTAGCAACGTACGTACATTTTAGCCGGCAAGTTATTAATATCGACGGGATTGTATTTTTCAATTCCATCAAATGTTACAGTTTATAACACCGTAGCTTGCAACACATCGCTAGCACAAGGTATCTACTGTTAGCAGTGTTCATATTTTCATGCAGAAACACTTTGTAAACAGTGAACTGTAAACTCGTCAGCCATAGAAAATCTACTTAAAACTCACGCCAGCCGTTGTAATTGCTTTGTTTACAATACTTTAACTTTCCCGCCTTCAAAATGTTTTATTATGATTGGCTCTTAGATCACTTCTTTGTCTGACTAACCTATCCGGAGCACAGTTTTCAAAATTAAATTGCACTGTATTTCCTTTATTTTGTACTGTGTTTCACATTTTTACACTACTGTTTACGATATATTCAGGGGCGGATCTAGAGTATGTCAAATCCGTCGCGCGACTGATGTTTGAAATTCAAAAATTACCTATTCATATTAATTAAAAAAATCACTAATTATTCTTACTTTATTATCGCATTTACTTCGTGATAAAAATCCAGCTTTATTTATTATTGAAAACTAATGACTAATGCAACGAATATCTCCTTGGTAACCAGATCAGTTGAATTTTAATTGACCTGGAATAACCGACTGATAAGCGGGGTGGCTTGACTGGTTCGACTTATAAAGGAGTCTATGAACGCCAGAAACGCTATTTTATTGGTCAATGGCCAGATCAGTGGACAGTCTGGAATAATCTCGACCGATAATAGGGTGGCCGGACCTATAAGGGAGTCCAATTGCTATCTTACAATTGGTTCATTTGAATTTTGTCTTACTGTGATTGGTTTGACCGATTTCGACTGATAGCCAACTGAACTAACATAGTCAAGCTCACTGTCTGAATTGAATGTTTGATCGTTTCATAGTAATTTTCTAAGCATGATAGAAACTAAACTACAATCAGATGGAATTTATGGAAATCTTTACAAATTCATATATTGACATGAATGCTGCTTTCCAAACTGGGAATTTTTCAAGAGGGTGAAAAATTTATGGATGAATTGTAAATGCTTGGCAAAGACGATCTCGCGAGCGACATTTCAGTCATTGATGTTCAAAAGCAAGCCAACATTGTTTTGAGTTTTATCAGCAGAAATTTACATCCAAAATCGTAAGTAAAGGACAAGTGAAGTGTATGCATGAATGTAATATATCAAAGTCAATTTATGCGAGTGTGTGATGCGATTTATGTTAATATGGCGTATGGTAAGCAGATTGATGCTTCTAAAATTGTTGTTGCCGAAGGACTTTTAGCTATGATTTCTTTAATGCTTGGGGAATCGTGGCCGTTATATGGCAGCGAAATCCTACATTTCTGCAAATATATTTCAATGGACAAAAAATCTGTAGCCATAAGGCGCCATACTATTATTTACTTTATCATAAACAAATGTTTGGGGCTTTTCAGTTTATGATCATTGATCATTCAATCATTGGACAGTTATACTACATATTGTTTAAGATTTGAGAAAACTAACATTGATTACATGAGAAGCTGTTTACTATAACCTGTGATTTTGAGTCTTCTGATCCATGAAGCTTTTATTTTGACAATTTGACTGGAATGGTATTAAACCTGAGTATTTCACATACATGAAATGTTGTCCCATGTCACATATTGTCCCTTTTCTAACTGAACACCTCATGTAGAGATGTAAAGGTGTGTTAATCTACGGCTCATACCAGATTGTTTGCCATAAATTCCAAAGGGCTATTGATGTATGAAAAGCATTTTCTATAAAGTAAAAATGTCTTCCTATGTATGCAGATAAACCTTGAAATTTGGCAAAACAGCAAAGTATTTTTCATGATCACTAGGTAATTTTTCTGATGATCATTATAATTTCTAAACTAAATTATTTCAGATTTACATTTAAACGAGCTTTGATCATATGAAAAGATATTTATCATAACCAGTAAGCATGACACATGAACCAATTTTAACATTCATGTAATTATATAATTAAAGACATGTTGGTTACATTCTGTTTGTATTTGCAAATACAATGCTACTAGTGATTGCTATATAGCACACCTTGCATATACTTACAGAAGATAATAGTCTAGTGAAATGCCTAATAAACATTTATGGCATTAAGCTGTCCTTAACTGCAAATTTTCACTCTGATAATTTTCTTAATCTTTGGCAGAAAAAATTTTGAGTTTTTCTCAAAAGTGAATTTGCTGGCACTGATGTGGAGATGGGTAAAGGGTTACAATAAACTTGCATGGTTTGAAGTCTGAGCTTTTCTATATCTATGAACTGTCACTTGTAGTACCAAATTTCTAACTTAACTTATTACATAGAGGTTTGAATGGGGGTCTCTAGGGGGTCTATGCCTGACAACTTGGTAGAAATTTTAAAGACTATATCTGTTTTGAATAGCATTATTGTAAAATAAATTTTACGTTCCTAGACATGCTAATGAGCCATATATTTGGCATGATAATGAGCCTAAATATTTGGCAAAACATTCAAGTATTGTTCACTTCTTTTTTTGAAAAACGTAAGCAAAATGTGTTGTTTTTACGAAAACGATGCCCACAAAATACATTTTGTATTGCTCTAAAACGCTGAAAATGGCATTTTAGAGGTTCTGAAATTCAAAATTTCTCAGGGGAGAATGCCTCAGACCCCCCACGGCGCGGAGTGCCTCCGACGTTTTATGACTGATGTTTGAAAAATCCTAGATCGGCCCCTGGATATATTGCACTGGTCTTAACCAATCAAAATTGGGAACTTTTTTCATGCATATTTTTAGAACGGTAATTGACACAAATTTTTGCTTTGTCTAAGGAAAGTTTCGTTCAGAATCAATCGAGCGAATGAAATGGGAATACGCACATGCGCAGTGCCTACCCACAATAAAACACAAACTGTCGTTTATACGTGCTCAGTTAACTACGTGACAACTCATTAACATACTGATTAAGTGTTCTCAAAAAATTCCTGAAAGTTGCAATTTTCAACATTCGTAAAATCATTTCAGCAAATTAAATTTGTATATGTAAACAAACAATCAGCAGGGCAGAGCTGAATAATTAATATATATACCCCCACCCCCCAATTAGCGTTCTAGTTTCGCGCCTGGATGCTTACTTCTAAAGTCTAGGGATGGGACACAGATCACACGTTAAAATCGAAGAATCATGTTAGATATTAACTGCCACAAAAATGTCATTATTAAATCATCAACTTCGATGTGCTTACAACGATTTGCAAAAATAAATGATTCTGAGCATAATCTGATCCCGAAATCTCTAATTTGTGCCAAAAGACTCGTCGAGATTACAATCTGAATTCGGTGCAGGTACTGGCAAATTTACAAGAGCCGTTCTAAAAGCGTTGAAACAACATAGTGTGGAAAATTTCAAAACCATCGTGCTGAAATTACTAAAGTTGATGTGTAATATATTAAACCAAATGGTACGTGAAGTTGAAATAATGCAATGCTTTGCAAGTGATTTATCAGGTATGTCTCCCCCTCCGCTCAGCACGAGTACACGCGATATTAAAGGATGTCCCACTAATTTATAACAAAAATTGTGAAATTAATACCCAACATGCCTATATTGAAAAATTTTGTATATCTCTTCATAGGTAAAGTTGATATATTTAAGCCTATATGATCAGGGGTTTTTGTCATTGAGTTCTATAGAGTTATTATAGAACTCAATGGTTTTTGTGCATTGGTTTTGTGGGTAGCCGCTGCGCTTGCGCGTTCTTCTGTCCGTCGTAATCGTCGGTGATAGTCGGATATACGAACGATGGCGAACGATATAAGTAATTGCGTTGAAAAGCACGAAAAAAGCGCAAATCTGGCCGTTGACTGAATACGGAAATTTTTGAATACGCTTTCAGACTGTATATTTCTGAAAACGTTGTCTGAGTTGAATACGTGTTCATTGGCAATCAGTTGCAGTCTCCTCAAATATATACAGTGACCATTGACGATGACCGTTGACATCAAAACTAGGCTCCAGGCTATAAACCTCGTGATTTGTGCTCTTTCTTTCATACTTGTCACTCATTGGTATCAGACCATATCAGACTTTATTTCAGTGATTGCACAGTTCAAGTCATATACTTTTCTCCTATATAATATTTTATGGACGTTGAGAAAAATTTGCTATCCAGTGGATAACGCTATCCAGGCTTCGTGCAACCGGCCCCTGGTATTTTGGCGATTTAACGTTTCGTGTGGACCTTTGCGTCAGTGATTGTGTGGACCAGTAAATGCGATTTAGAAATTTGAAAACGATACGCCTGTTGTGGACGCATTTTTTGTTAAAAAAACGGGAAAAAATCTTCGCATTTTAAAAAATCCTGAAATACATGTGAAAAAGGCCGGAGTTTCATCATCACTGTTCAAGGAGACTTAGGACTTAGCGGTATTAAGACTGAAGTTAATAGGATTTTTAACGATCATTTCATTCAAATCCTAATGGAAAATGTTAACGATGCTGCTAAGTCATGGTCTGAACCGCGAAACCACTAGTTTGTACGAAAAGACTCGTCCAGATTACAATCTGGATTCGGTGAAATATCTTTTGGAAAAAGTAGGCGCTTTAAAGAAACATTCTGGTCCTGAACCTTTCACCATTGTTGAACTTGGTGCAGGTACTGGCAAATTTACAAGAGCCGTTCTCAAAGTGTTGAAACAACATAGTGTCGAAAATTTAAAAATCATCGCGACGGAACCAATATAGTCAATGTGTGATAAATTCAAAGAAATGGTACCTGAAGTTGAAATAATACAATGCTCTGCAAGTGATTTATCAGGTATGTGTGCCCCTCCCCCCTGCACGTGTGCGTCATAATATATTGTTTTTTCTTTAAAGCAGTAACCACCATGCCAGCCATCCTGACTTTTTAGTTTTAAATCACCAACACAACAATCAGTAAGTACAAGGACCGCTAACACTTCCTTTTGTGGGAGAAGGGGGTTGAAATGTTCTGTGATTTAGCCCCCCTCCCCCCCCCCACCTTTACCTTACAGCACACAAATATGTCATGTTTGTACAGTTCAGGGCAAAAAACTAAACCTTGAACAGTTCAAAAATAAGCTCTTCCAGTTGCAATTTGTTACTAGATTTAGTAATCATGTATTGTTAAAATACTAATATAATTGACAGCAACCAGAAAAATTGAGAAACTTGTATAAAGTAAGCAAATGAACTGATATAAAACTTTCGACCCACTTTAACTGCCATAATTAATTATGATAGATTATGAAATTCATGCATGAACTCTGAACTTCAACTCAGTGCAACTGGAGAAATAGCATGTCAAAATTCCCATATTTTCTGGGAAAGACACAAATCATAAATCATTGGCAGTCTCTATCCTTAATATTAAAGCAAGTTAATAAGTCTGAAACTTATTTCACTTTGGCAAATAGCAGGCCTGCCAAGTGGTGGGTGGATGGGACAAGGGGTTTATTTTGTCTGGGTATCTAATATACGTAATAAAGCACACCATCTGGACAAATGAAACTTGCCAATAAGATATCTTGTGCAATATTCAAACAATTTTTACATCATCACATCATGCAGAGGAGATTGACCACATTGTTAAGTTTTTTATTGGTTTTCTGCTTCAGCATCTTCAAACCAAATCAAGTTTTAAGCATTAACCATATTGGCAAAAGAAAAGCCAGCCCCTTTTTTACTCCTACAATAATTGATTTAATTTTCTAAAGAAATGAATAATAATTTTGCAGAAAAATTTGTAAGGTAGGAGTAAAAGATCAGACTGGCTTTGCTGCTGCATATTGTGAGAAAAACATTAAAGTGTTTGTTTTTGTATCGATCTGTGAATATTCTTATTCATTCCAGGTTGAAGACTCTCTGGAGGGTTGTCTTTTATCAAGTTTTCCTTCATTTACATGTCTTAATGCTTCTCTTAAATAAATTGTCAAGATTGCTAGGTTTAGGGGATTGGATTGACTAGTTTTGTACAAAGACAAGAAATAACAAACTATAAATATTGGGCAAATGTTTTCGATGTTAAATTGATGAGTGTCTAAGGAGTCAAAGTTCAGACTTTGGCATAAATTTGCTTATTTTTATTTCATAATGTTCCCTGTTGTTCAAAATTGTTCACTGACTTTTGAAAGAGTTTTTTGTCACAATGTTTGACAAAAATTACTGCATTGGGCACCCCCTAAAGGAAATCTGCAAAATCAACTGACACAAATCAGATTTTTTTTGTACGTACATATAGCAATTGTATTTGTATATATAGCAATTAATCTTTGTGTGGTAATTAACATACTACTTATTGTTTGAAACCTGCAGCTATAGTTACGTTTGTTCAAATAATTTCTAGGTTTGCCAAATAAATGTACAGCAGATGCAGTTTTAGCAGCACAATGCTTTCACTGGTTTGGAATGGAGGGAAGAGCCCTTGATGAGATTCATCAATTAATTAAACCTCAGGGTACTTTGGGTATAATCTGGAATTTACCAGATCGTTCAGTTTCTTGGATCAAGACTTTTGAGGAGTGGCTTGATCCTAAATTTGAGGCGACTAAACTTCCTCGTCCGGCAGATGCTGTCATGTTTGTTCCCTTACGAAATCATGGAGGTTTTGATAATGAGCTTATTGATGAAACAACATTTAAGTATTCTATGGATTTTGACATGAAAAGCTTGATTAATCGTTATGAATCCAACAGTGTATGAGCGAGGTATAAATCATAAAATATTTAAAGTATTGATCTTCTAATGAATCTTTCACCATTAAGATTATAACATTCCTTTTTTTATTTAGAAATTAGACGGTATTCCACCATCACATGTTGTCAACATTGAAACAAATATGGCGATAAGTTGTTTGTTTTATTTTTCATCCTTGAAAAGTTTCTTGTACAGCTACAGGAGCGATGCACTAGGACTTATAAGTGAAGATTTTAAATCGGATGTGAAGAAATTCATGGATATAAAATTTGAAAAAACTCAGAGCAACATAACTTGGGTTTTTTCCCTGATACAAAATGGGTCGTTTCCTCGGACGGTTCCAAGTTTAGTTGCAAGTTCAGCGTTCTTTTGTCGTCTTTCACATATTATTATCCACTTTGCTGTGATTATTTTTGCCACCCCAAAACATAAGGTCGGTCACTTACCCAAACCGTTATATTGCATAAACTGTGAAGACGCTTGCCCCTCTGATATTTAGTTTTTCCCAGACGGAAAGAGAATTGCCGTCACTGTTTGTATAGATCCTGAATTTCCCATTTATTATTTGGATTGTTTTTGGTTTCGTGTGTACAAACTACCACATGGTTTGTGGAACGTAGAAGAATCTTTAAAAGACGGACCAGACCAGTGGATCTATCTTAAAGTTGAATTTAATGGAGTTGATTGCATGAAGTTAGGTTGCCTTTTTTCTAGATACGATTTTAAGTCGTATAAACGTGACTTTCAAGTGACAAAAGAAAGAAAAGAATGTGGGAATGAAGGTGGTGTCAAGGAGTATTTAGATTTGCAGATGATGGATCATGATGATGGCTTTCGTTGTTTGGCTATGTCTCCTGATGCCAGCCGTCTCTTAGCAGGAAGCTTTGATAGTGAACTGTTGTATTTTGATGCTGACAGTTTAAAACTGCTGCATCGTGTTCGTGTTTATGATTATTGTACAACAATTGACAGTTGCTGTTACAATCCAGCGTTTGACCATAAGGAATTTGCAATATGTGATCTTTACGGGCTGTTTTGCGTGTTGCGGGTCATAAGTCTTTCTGACAATTCTGATAATTTTCATTTAGCCCATAGCATAAGATTTACTGTTTACCCACAACATCACAATTACTATAGTTGGCTAAATTGTATAAGTTATTCTCCTGACGGGAAACATATTGCTGTTACTGTAGCTTGTCCTATTGATTACATTGTTAAGACGTTCATTATTGGCTCACGTTCTGGTGAAATTTGTTACACGTTGGATTGCGTGGATGAACCAGATCGACAGTGTTCGAAAACTGAGTGTCTGACCTCGTTCTTTGGTAATTTGTGTCAAGTTGCTTCAGTTACAAGTGTTCATCCTCGCGTTTTTTTCTGGAAGTTACCTGTTGTCTACGATTTAAAAACATTGTGTTTACTCAAAATCAAAGCGTTTGTGTCTTATAATAACGTTGAAAAACTCAACATACCTTTTTGTTTAAAGCAAGAGTTGAAGTATATTTATTCTTAATGTACTTTAAAAAGTCAATAAATAACAATATTCCGTTGAGCGTTCTATCGCAACAGTGATGTTTAAAACTGGACTTCTATTGGTTATATAAGTTGTAAACTTGTGCACTTATTGACACAACGAGATATAGAAAATCACAATTATACTATTAAATATTAAATTATTATACAATGTTGGTTCAATCATGATTGTGATTTTTGTGAGGTCGTACAAATAAGTCTTATTGTCTTTCTACGTACAAAACAATAAAGTTTTCTGTAGTTGACGTCATTTTTAATGTGACAACTGTAAGCAGGAGATGTATTTTGACGAAATATTCCTTGAGATTTGCAAACGTTTTCAAAACTAATTTTGCTCGAATTCATGAGAACAAGACGTGATTAAGCAAGTAAACTGTCAGTTAAGAAAATTTTCATTCAGAATTTACCGGAAAAAGACAAAAGCTTACCGTAAGAAGAGTTAATGTCGAAGCACGGAAAATTTACCAACTCATTGTAAAGCTTCAGCATCTGTAAATGTATAACAAAACAATTATTGAGTTTGTCTTTTGCTTGATGTGAAGAATCATTCTGATCTGGGTCTGACTACTTCTTATTATCATGATGAATCTCCTATAATAACTGTTAATATTAAGTGGCAAGCCTCACTTCGGGTGAAATAGTGCACTTTGATTTGCTTGGAACCATTTTTGCCAGCCACACAAACACAGGAACAATTTTTGCCAATATAAAAAAGCTTCCATACAAACGATGTTTTTTAAATGAAAGAGAACTATTTCAGTGCAGCACTTGAAAACTGCTTTAATTGCTGGCGAGAGGGGGTGGGAGGCTAGTGCTAATCTGACCTAGCTCGAGTTGACAACAAGATTTATGATAGAGAACATGGACGCAGGATTGTGATAAGGAAATGAATTTGGTCCTTACTTGGCAAATAATGGTAATACAAATCATTACGCATGCGAGAATATAAAACGATGACGTTTTAGATGCTTTTCATCTCTGGCGCAGTCCTACTCTAGTTACTTACCCCACAACAGTGTCACAGGTTGTGTCACACAACTGAACGATCTTATCGGGGTGGTTGCGAAATGTTTGAAGCTTAGTTAGGGAGCTTTCATTCATGGCTATGGCTTGACAAATGTCAACATTAATACTTTATAAATAGCAACTCAAAGGCACAGTAATTACAAAACTTGTTGAAAGAGAACTGCTGTTACCAACAACTGTTTAGACTGAAACTGTGCAAGCAGGCCATTTGCAGTAGCTCTCTGTTCTGCTGTAAAGGAACTATCAAAGGCAACTTTTTCGAGAAGTTCGATGACACAATGATATCGCGGGAGGAAGACTTTCAAACTAAATTCATACGAATTCCAGCGAACTGTGTTGATGCGTTTCAGCGAGGGGACTTTAAGCTATTGATCTTTCTGTATCGTTTCAAAAAGAGTATGGACATTTTCAGACAGGCTGAACAGGGAGTACACTTTCTCCAGATTATCAAACAAACAACTCGCATCAATAGCTGAGCTAGCTGAATCAGACAGGACAAAGTTGAGCGTATGAGCGTAGCAATGCGTATAAACTACATGTTTACCGATTTCATCTCTAATAATTGCCTGAAGACCATTGTAGCAACCACTCATATTTTATGTGGTTATTTACCACGCTATGCTGTTTCTTCCAGTTACAAAACCCAGATGAAACAAACGCTTTCCCTTGATTACTACGAGCTAATTTATCATGTGATGATCTGTCAGTAAATAAGAGGCAAGATATACGGAAAAGACTGTCGTTGGACAAGAATACGCAACACATCTTTGTCTTTTTCCATTCTTATGAATGAAAACTTTTTGGGAGCAATATCTAGAACGCTTACAAAACATAGTTTTCCTTAACTGCAAGTTTAACTGGTTTGGTTGGCAAGGATCCATTTTTATCAATGTTATTTTGTCCTGAGTACACAGCACCAAGCCAACAAGTGATGCAGGGACAACTGTTGCATTTATATCGATGACTAATTTGGGATGGAAAAGAGTCTATATTGGATAGTGAACAGCTTTAGTGTTATCAGTGCTTATTTGCACCTTTTCTTACATTGGAACCTTTCCTGTTTTCTCCACAGCTTTCATCACTTTTAGCTCGTCAATATCACTTTATGCATCATTTTTCGAACACGGTTGTACATTTAGCTTTATTATTAAACTATCAAACAAAGCTCTGGTTCCTACATGTTCCATAACTGCACAAGATTGGTCTAATTTATCATGATCCTCTTCGGGAGCATCAACGAATTTAGTCCAACTGGCGGAATTGCATTTATTTCCATTCTGCCGTACGTTGAAATAATTTGTCGTAAAGGATCTGAGCTGTTTGTTTTCATTTCTCTGGTCTTTTTTGCTCGTCTAAATTCAGCTCAAGACTTCTTCCATTTATGTGGTTGGTTCTCAGCCATGTCATCTGCAAAATAAGGATCAGTGTGTAATTAAAATTGCATAGTATTTATTATAATCATGTATGGACAGGGGCGTAACTGTTGGGGGTGTGTGGGGGGTGTGACACCCCCCCAATTGCTGAAAACAGTGTTTTTGCAGGGCATATTGCCGTCAAGTGGCAGGGCAGTGTTCAGGAAGTAGAAAAATTGACATACCATCGAAAACAACTAATTGATTACTAAGTGGAAATAATTCGATCATGGGATAAGATGAGAAGCGTGGGTAAAGATAAAAAAGGAAAGATGCAACAGCATTTCTCTTCCGAATCCCACAAATTGCTTTGAGTGATTTGGCACACTTTGCCTGCAATATGAAAAACGTCGATGTAATGTTGGAAAAGAAGTTAAGAGAAGTAAGAATACAAGAAGAAGAAAACAATTTGCGAAACCAAGAAGCCATAAAGATCCTTTTAGACATCGCAAGAACATTGGCACGACAACAGCTAGCTTTCAGAGGGCATAATGAAAAGCACGAGGGAAACTTTATCCAAATATCAAATCTTGTTGCCAGGCATAACCCTAGACTTCAGTCATGGCTGTCAGACAAGAACATGAAACCTTATTCAGTAAAATACCTATCACCTATTTCACAAAATGAGTTTATTAGCCTTTTGACTGAAGACGTAAGGAATCGCATCGTAAAAGATATCGTTTCATCTGAAATATACTCAGTCATGGCCGACACGTCTCCTGACACTTCAAATACGGACCGCCTCGTAGTGGCAGTGCGCTACGTTGACGAAAACAACGTGCCCAACGAGAGAATACTGGAGATGAAAGAAACAAGGAATAAAACAGGTGAAGGCCAAGCAAAAGAGATTCCTGATTCCCTTAAATCACGATTACCTATTTGTCACGGTGGGTTAGTGTATCAGTCTTGCGACTACACTGCTTCAATGTCTGGGACTTTTAATGGAGTTCAACAACATTTGCAGGAAATGGTTGGACGCAACATTCCATACATCCCATGTCAAGGCCATAGGTATGTGTCAAATGCACAGCAGTAAATATTGCCGTGTAAATTACTTAGGCATTAACTATATCTTTTTAAATATTTTTAAGACTAGTCTCTGCGTTGAATAATTTTTCAATTATATGTTTTTAGATCAAACACTTTCAATGAGCAGTGCTCAAAAGCCTCTACATTTGTTGAGATGTATAGCTTGCTCGAAGAGCTGTATGTTTTTTTCAGCAGAAGTTGTAAACGAGATTCTATGTTGCAAGAACATATGGAAAAAATTGAAAATGCTCTTAAATTGCGCAATCTCTCAAAGACGAGATGGGTGTATAGAAGTGAATCAATTGAAGCGGTGTGGAGATCTTTTGAAGCCATACGAAATGCCTTAGCGGACATAGCAAAAATTGACAACAACTCATTAACCAGAACCAAAGCAACCTCGCTCTGTAAGAAAATGGTCAAATTTGAGTTTGTTTTTGCAGTTATGTTTATGAGGTTTATCATGAGAAAGACCAAGATCCTGACAGTACAGATGCAGAAGCCAGAGCTCAATATCCTTGATTGTCTTCAACTGATTGATGAAACTGTTAGATCACTGGAAAGAATACGGCACAATGAGTCGGAATTGAATGACCAAATAGATGCGAGTGTTGAGTTTGCGAAGACTCTAGTCTCTAATCCCGAGGAAGAGTTTGCTAGAAAGAGTAATAAAAGATCAAGTAGACGTTTGGAAAACAACCCTGACACTTTGGCAATTATGTCACTAAAAACTAACTATCGAAAATGCATGATTGAGGTCCTCGATTCCCTCATCAGAGAATATAGAGATAACATAAAAAGTTGTTTGAAAAAAATAAAACCCTTAGCTGTTATCCTTCAGCCTCCACTGACTAAACCAAATTTTGAACAAGTTGAAAAGGTCACCGAACTTTTTCCTCCATCAATTAGCGTAGATTGTATGTCACTGTATGCAGAACTTGAGATTTTTGTTAACTTTGTAAATGAGACAGAGAAAGAATGTAAGACAGTCCACGACGCCGGAAACAGTGCTTTCAAAAATAAAGAAATTTTCCCAAACGTTTATAAATGTTACAAACTTCTGTTTACTGCTCCAGTAAGTGTGGCTGATATTGAAAGATCATTCAGCAAAATGAAAATTGTCAAGAACTATTTGCGCTCAACAATAAAATGTGAAAGGCTGGAAGAACTCATTGTCCTCTCAACCGAGAAGGATTTAACAGATACAATTCATCTGGATGTAGTACTAAAATCTTGGGCAGCCAGAAAAAACCGTAAACTCAGAATAAAATTTAAGTAAAAGCAACATCTCAAGAGTACGTTGAGATGATTCTCACTTAAGACTCTTGATATGAGAACAAATATACATTGTTTTACTGTTATGTCCGAAACGGTTAAGGTTTATATTTCAAAAACAGGTTTTGTAATAATGTATGTGTTAGAAACCTAATCTTCGATAATGTTTACTAATAAACAACGTATGCAATAATAGAAATGATTATAATTTGCTAGCCATAATGATTTAAGGGGTTTTTGTGGGCAACGCCCTTTTGCAGGGCAAATTTTCTCCACAACCCCCCATTACTTCAAGTCTAGTTACGCCCCTGTGTATGGAGTGCGATGCAGATGTACGCAACTTTATCATTAACAATTTTTGCCAGACACGGGGAGTTCTTTATTTTCTTGATTGAAAAACCCTAGTGACACATTTTAATTGGGATTAGAAATTTCAAAATTAGATAACAACAACGTTTATCTATAGCATAGTTTTGACACCGTCTTCGCTTTCGCTTTCGCTGGCTGTTATACTCAACAGATAATCCGAAACATCAAAATGATCAAGTAACAGTCTTGTAATAGGGTTTCTATTGGAAGTCTTTACATTCCAATTAATGATTTTAGCGTTGTATTGTATTTTAATATTGTGTCCAAGAGTAGGAAATAAACTGAAACGCTATTTTGTTTTTGTGTATTATATTTACCGATTAGAGAAGATATTATTTACACCATTTGTGAGTATTCTGTTATTTACTATTTATTTGCAAGCTTTTATAGTTTTCTTAAACTAGGTGCAGTTATTGTGAGGCTGATAAAGTACTGGAAATTTAAGTATACTTAAGTAATTATAATTTAAAGTGCGTAAGTTTAAGTAGCAGGTTTGTACATAGGACAAACATCAAAGAAAATCGAAACAAGACTCACAGAACACAAAAACGCCATAAAACGACGAGATCCGAACTCACTACCAGCAGAACATACCCATGGAAACAACCACACATTCGACTGGACAAAAACTAAAGTACTCGGACGCGCAAAGACTAAACGCGCATGTGAATTTAAAGAAACTTGGTACAGTAACGACAACGACACAATCAACAGACATATCGACATAGCCATCATATACTCCCAACTAAAGAAAAAGGACAACAAAACTAAAAAACAACACCAAAAGTACAACATCACTCTCTAATAATATTAACACCGATCATATTCACAATATACCAAAAGCCATGGCAACGCAATTCAATCACATTACTCCACCCGCTAATCCAATTAGACGCTCTATGCGTCTACAAGCTAAAAGCAAGTGTAAATAGATAAATTCCCTTTCCGAGGAAGGTTCGAAGCAACGAGTCAAAAGCTCAATAAAATTATTTGTGAAATCCTGAGAGACCTTTATTTTTGAGCAATATTAACTGGATTATCAATCTTTAAACATAATTATTCACATGTATATGCTCTTCTCAACTTCTTACATAAAAACAACATAGTATGCACAGTCTCGGCGTTGGAAGATCGTGAGCCATCTTGTCTGCGATTGTTATTTTGCTACTTTTGACATTGTATGACAAATAATGGACGACATACTTCTTTCACATGAAAACTGGCTGGATTCATGATCGATTTTAACGATCATTGCTAAGCATATTTAAACAATTCGAGCAGTTTTACACATATTTGACGCTTCAGTGAATTTAGAGTAAGATAGCTTTTACTAGATTTTGCCGGATTTTTCAACAAACCTAATTCATATGGCATTTTCGCAAGTACTTGTATATATATGTACATATATACATACTTTGTTGGAGTGTTCGAGTACGACATTCACAATCGATGCAAAATTTATCAATTCGTACAATATTTGACATGCCACGTTAGCTATGTTTGTGACCCCTGTCGTTCGTGGGGATATTATGTGGAAGAATGAAAAAATATTTTATTTTGGAGTTAAAGTCTTATAGCATCATTCCATATGATGCAATGTCTAGTAAAGTTAAAAGTCTAAATATGAAATTTTGAATTATCTGGCTTGCAGTGATGTACTGTGCAACCACAGGCATAGGTATGTTTGTTATTTTCAGATAACATCTCTAATTGCCGCTTAACATAATTAAATCACAAATACAAAACAATTTCTAAGTATTCTTACGTCTTAATAAAATTAAAACAATGATTAAACAAGTCACGTCTTGTTATTTTTCTAGCGCAAAGCGAAAATTTTGCCGGTGAAAATTGCTAGTCGAATAGTTTATATAATTCAACTGTCTTACTACAGTCAACTGTCTTACTACAGTTTTAAACAAACTTATAGAGGAAAGTAATTTAAAGTGAAAAAGGATTCTTTAACAGTTGGAGACTTTTGAAAACCAGCAGGATGTTGAATTTTTTTAAATAAAACACATTTAAATGTTAAAGAAGTTTTGTTGTATTATTCTTTCATCTGAATGTCAATCATGATGGAATCGACTCCTTCAACTTCATCGGAAAGCAACGAATCAAATCAAATGAGCAAACAAATCCAGCCAGCTCTTGTTACGTTCGATGATGTGTCAAACGCTTAGTCAAGAATCCGAGATAGCGTTCCTCGAACTCTTTGTCAGGTAGCATGATACAGTAAAAGGTTTAAACCCGAGGGTATCGTTACATGTTTATAGATGTAGATCGTCCAGGTTGGTACAGTTTTTTTGTTGTTGACTGACGTTTCGACAACCTTTTTCAACATACTAAAGTAAGTTGACAGTGAAGTTTTGTTTAAATTTTTATTTTACAAAAATTCGCAACATTATATTACCTGTTACCTGGAGATTTGAAGAGAATGGCAACTTTGGATGATTACTTTTCATTTGGATTAGTGTTCTATTTCATGTTGGTTTTATGGTGACTTCTTTACAGTTCATACATATAAATTCTAGATTCGCAATTGAAAATAAGTTCATCTGACTATAGATATGAGAGACAACTTTTTACAGGGTTTAGTAGTTTGCTAAGTAAACAAAATGCAACTAAACATTTCCATCTTTTGATGTCGCAGAGCCTTATCCTTCAATCACATAGTTTTGTATTTGACCATCACAATCGATGCAAAACGTAAATATTCATAAAATATTTGACATAAAGCGTTATCTTTGTGACTGCATGACGTATGTGTGGGAAAATTATTTGAAAAATGAGAAAAATGTTTTATTTTCGTTTCAAGTCTAAGTAGCACCATTCTACACACCAATTTGGTCTCGTGAAGTTAAAAGTCTAAGATATGAAAACTTTGGCATTGCAGATAAACAGTGCAGCTACAGATCTAGAGATGTTTTTTATGTTCAGATTACATTTCTAGTTGCCATGTAATATAATTACTTTACAATTACAAAGCAATCTTTCACTATTCCTAAATAGCTTACGCAACGTTAAATCTTGTGTGTGAAAACTACCGGTCGAATAATTATCATTCAACAGTCTTACCGCAGTTTTCGACAAACTCTGAGAGGAAAGCCACCGAAAGTGAACAATGATTTTTCAAAAGTTAGAGACAATTTTAAAAATTCGTGATACGTTTGCTGATGTGTGAACAACAGCTCAAATTAAAATCAGAGTTGCGCGGCCCAAACTATTAAGGCCGATTTCCATTCACTGCAAATTGTCGCGAGATCGTATTTATGAGATCACTTTCTTTTCAATTGCAAGCTCTCAACCGGAACAGTTTTACATAGCTGAACACTTTGCACTGAATGGAAATCGGCCTTTAGGTTTTGTAATGTAACCACCTACCTTCTTCATTATATATCGACTTACACTAGCAATTAGAGACATCACAGAAACAAAACATTTAATGTTCAACGTCAATGTGTACGTTCTACGATCTCTCAAACTACTTTAATTTATACAAGATGTTTTTTAAGGATATATTTGTTTTTTTTGTATATAAGGTTACTTTATAAATAACAGAAAACGCTATTAGAAATTCACAGTAAAAAGAAAAGGGTTGTTTCAGCCCACAAAATTGGGCCAAATTATTGACCCCAGAACGGCCCCATAAAATTTAGTGTCGAATTTATCCCTTTAAGGTGGAGGCATATGTGCCAAGTTTCCCCAAAGCGTAGCTAAAACAACCCCAGGTAACAGGGCACTTGTGATATCTAACATTTTTTCGATTATTTTATTTTTTCGATTAAAAATAGAATAAGTGATTTCATTTAGTTCAAATTGAACCATTATATTCAACATTACTGTGTGATTTATGTGGTTGTATACTGTACACTTTAAACGAAACCTTTTTTAACGAAAAACTGTTCTTTGCCTCTTGCTCCTTTTTTAGACTAAAGTACTACCTACGAGTTGGTTTTCATTATTTTTGCGATGAGTGTAGTCTCCCCAATCCCTCCTCGTCCGACACACAACGACAGACTGAGGATAGTAAGACTCAAATGTGCATTGACATTATTATAGTATTTCTTATATTAAAGAATATGACAACATTCAGGTTTCATATAACAATTTGATCTGGTCTTCGTAAGAAGTTTCCGAATGCGCTTACTTTTGCTAGATGTCCGAGTGTGAATTCCGGTATCATGGTATTCATGTCCTTTCCTTGAAAAAATTTTGTGTTCATTCTTGGAACAATGGAGGAAGAAATTAATTTTTTAAGGAAGTATATAATTGTATAAATGTGTCCTTATTCATTGTCATTGCTGTAATTGATTCATTCCTTTGCAGTGCACATGACTTAATGTTAAGTTGAAACATGTGTTTCTGTAATAAAACATTTTTGTCATTTATCATGAATGTTTGGCTAATCTTAATCTGTAAAGATGATATTGAAATTAATGTTTTTACTTTTCAATCTAATGTTGACATGATTGCTGTAGTTAAGTAGGCCGGGTGCTGATTGATTCTCATTTGACAGGAGGGGTGCAGATTTTTCAAGGGGGGTGCATCATTGTTCTAGCTAAAAGTGCCAGGGCTTTAGGCATGGGCTTACAGATGAGTGAACCTTGTGAAATGAAAGTGGCACTGGCTTTTAAGTATTTTTTATAAAGTTAAATAAATTATAAATCCTGGTTATATAGCTGTACAGTACTTCCTTAAATAATGAACAGAGCTTCATAAATTATGTAATAAAATATTACCAACGACAAGTGAAACACAAATACAACAGTTGCTTTCACACATGGTAAAAAAGGGACAAGAAAATAAAAGGGCAAACTAAGTTGACATGACAAAGTAACTCAATGATAGTAATTCAATTGCAAATGGTGGTGGTATAAAATATGTAATTGCCTTTAAAATGATAAGCTCTGCTTTTTCCTTAGTGTCTTACTGTAAAATTTCCTAGTCTATAATTCTATTATAAAAATGGTCTGCACTATGTATAATACATTTCAGCATTTTTTGGCAATGCTAGAAAATTTATTGTTCACCCCATCTTGCAACCCCCGGAAAATCCATATCTAAAGGAGGCAATTCCACGTTTTAAGATATTGTATGAAGCTCTCTGAGATCTCGACAATTCCATGACAACCCCCAAGAAATTCTTTTCCGGTCAAAACAGGCACACTCAGAAAGCAGCATGCAAAATATTATATTACAACATACTAGCCTGGATGATCTACATCAAGAAACATGTAGTCATTATGGAATTGGTCATAGATGTATTTGTATTTTGATGTATTTATGTTGGTCATGTATTTGTATTCCTGGCAATTGAGCCTCATTCATGTGTTTGTCTTTTTATTACATTTTAAAGATAAACGTCTCAAGGCAGTAATCCTAACCAAAAGAATCCAACATGTCATATATGTACGTCGGCGACGAGTTTCGGCCAATAAGAGTCACTGATGATGCAGGAATAAGAACGCCCGTTGTTGAAGGGACGAGGCCGGCAGATAGTGAAGATTACTACTTCACTGTTGAGCAAAACATGAACGATGTTAAATACAGTGATGTTGCTGATGTTGATGTTTCTAATCTTAAAGTACCACTGCCGCCGAGGCCGCCGCTGCCGCCTATACTAAAGCCTTATGCTACCAGATCGACAGAAAGCTTAAATGCAAACGGCGTGAAGATGAAGAAATCACCACCGTTGCATAGACGCTTTGGGATAACTTCCGGTATGTAGTTACATTTCATGGAAACACTCGTACTTAAGCTAATTTATGACAATCCATACTTAAGCTAATTTGTGACAAATTCTCGACCCTTTTCTACGCCAGTAGAATCGTAATATGGTTTTCATCGTAATTCTGTTAACAGTTAATTTAAACCCAAATTTGGTTTATATTAATTGGAATGTTTCTACTGTCGTGCTTTAAGTCATAACGAGTTATTTTTACCTTTGGTCTTACGTGAAGATGCTTTAATCAAGTGGACTTCAACGACTGAGTCTTTGGAGAGATGTGACGTCATACTGTGCGTGTGTACTCTTATAGATCTCAGCCCTAGACCAATAAAATTGCTTCACGCCTTTCTGTTATTATGTAAAGACGTCGAGATGCATATATTTTACCGCCTTTGAAGTCTTTTGCATTTTCGATTCGTTTCGTGTTAAGTTTGTCCATATCATGCCTACGTCTTCTTCTCTACCATTAAGAAATACAGTGATGTTGCTGACGTTGATGTTTCTAATCTTAAAGTACCGCCGCCGCTGCCGCCGCTGCCGCCGACGCCGCCACCGCCTATACTAAAGCCTTATGCTACCAGATCGACAGAAAGCTTAAATGCAAATGGCGTGAAAATGACGAAACCACCACCGTTGCCTAGACCACTTGGGAAACCTATCGGTATGTAGTTACATTTCATGGAAACACTCGTAAATCCATACTTAAGCTAATTCATGACAAATTCTCGACCCTTTTCTACGCCAGTAGAATCGTAATATGGTTTTCATCTTAACTCTGTTAACAGTTAATTTAAACCGAATTTAGTTTATATTAATTGGAACGTTTCTACTGTCGTGCTTTAAGTCATAACGAGTTATTTTTACCTTTGGTCTTACGTGAAGATGCTTTAATCAAGTGGTCTTCAACGACTGAGTCTTTGGAAAGATGTGACGTCATACTGTGCGTGTGTACTCTTATAGATCTCAGCCCTAGACCAATAAAATTGCTTCACGCCTTTCTGTTATTATGTAAAGACGTCGAGATGCATATATTTTACCACCTTTGAAGTCTTTTTGCATTTTCGATTAGTTTCGTGTTAAGTTTGTCCATATCATGCCTACGTCTTCTTCTCTACAATTAAGAAATAAAAGATGTTTACTGTGTTTGCACAGGCTTATGCAAACTGAGGCGACCTTCGGAGAACTCGAGAGCTGATCAGTGCACCGTTGAACTCAATCAAAACTCCAGCTCAATGAGCGCTATTACGAAACAGACTCGGAACAAACAGGTTGGAAAAAGTACTGACGAATCAAGGGTATTGAAAAACAGGCACACTGGCCATGCAGTAGTCGACGTCCTAAGCGCTCGAAAGGCGGGCAAAGTTACAGATATTGTCTCCCAACCGCAAACAAGAATGTTTGGAGAACCCGAAAGGTACAGTGAAAGAGAATCCAATGCACCCGAAAAAGACGAAACTGATGGAGAAGAAACAGATCTTCCTGACGGTTGGAAGGCAATTCCAGACTTAATGGCAACTTATTGCTGGCATAAGGTGACTGGCAGGCTTCAATATGAAAAACCTCAGGTACAATCCAGTTGATTACTCGAATGATCATTTTGTTGAATCTACGCGCTACATTCATGTGCATCCTTCACGTGTTTTTTTCTTAATCCATAATTGTTTTGCTTTGTTTCAATGCGGTTGGGCTCATTCAGTTGATGTTTTCAACTGAAATCGCCCTCTTTTGCTGTTTATTAAGCTCAATTAAATGGCCCAACAATGGCAGATTGGTAGTGTTGATTGAACGTTATTCCTGTTTAAGCGTAGATTAAATTATTTGATTGTGGATGCAACAGTATGGGTTGATTGTGTAGTTGGAGTATATTACTACGTAACATGGTGAATAGCTTGTGTAGCTTCCCTCAATTTTGAGAACATAATACTTCATCAAAGTATAAGATAAAACTTAACACGGAAAAAATTCATCTTATAAACTCAAATTCGAGTAAGTGTAAATAAGATACAATTAAGAGAGGCTTGATTTAACGGGATTCAAAACTCATCGAAAATGAAAGATAGTTTCTAACAGTGAAAGGCAAAGGTATATAAATGTAACATCACAGCAAGTTTATGTTCTTAATTACTTGTACGTGTGATGATAATATTATTTTTATTTATCAATAATAAAAATTTATTTTAATACATTTTTAGTTAGATCGTATAAATCGAAGATCAAAGTCATCTGTATCAGGTAAGAAATCAAGAAATATCAATACACGTCAATGATATAACTGCCATCGTCACTTATTTGTATCAATGTCAGCTTCATTACAATTACTAAATGATTTACAGTTTTTATTCAAGTAAATTTATAGTAATATTGCTGAGCAACATTATCTGTGTTTGTGCTGCATGCTGTAATGTCAAAGATTCACGATGCAAAATGGTATTTATATATGCAACATTTAAACTATATCTACTTACATGCTACATCCTCTCGCTTTCCTAACTATATACTTCATAATTTTGGCTTAGACGTAGTGTTGTAGCTCTTTTAAAACGTGATTTCATCAAAGTCTCTTGTTCTTTGTTTGTTTGTTTTTCATTCTCGTATATTTTTATATGCGCTGAATTTCTTCTTTATGATGCTTCCTTTTCTGATTAAACTGTAACTTCGTTGTTAAAACAGAGATATGTTGATCCGAATAAAGTTGCAAATGCACACATACACGAAATATTAGCCCTGCTAACTAATACTGATGTTTCAAAACATAAGAGATGTAGAAGAATCTTACATATACTCTTACGCACTCGAATGAGACCGATTGTTTTATCAGGCGATATCAAGCAAGCATTCTTACAAATAGCTATTAGAGAGATTGATCGAGACGTAATGAGAATCTTATGGATAAATTATCTGCAACAAAAAGAGATGGTCGTATATCGTATGACTCAAGCGATGTTCAGAGGTGGTCGAGCCCATTTTTACTTGGAGGAACTTTAAATGTTCAAATAGAGAAATTTGTACAATACTATTTGAAGTGTGTCGAAGAATTATCTGACGGGACTTACGTAGATTATATAAATATTGGTAGTGATTCAGTAGAAGAGACTATAGAGACCTCAAACAGCATTCAAAAGAGATTCTTAGCAACGAACAATTTGTTCTACACAATTGGCATTCCAGTGCAGTTGAACTTGAACAGGATATAGCAGAGGAAGGGGAGTCTACCTATGCTAAAGATACTTTAGGAACTAAATGTTCAGAAACTGAACTTCTCGGACTGGTATGAAACAAGCATGAAGATACTTTGTCTATCATCATCATCATCATCATCATCAGCCTGTCACGCCACTGCTGGCGGATGGCCTCCACATCTTTCTCCACTCTTCACGGTCTTGGGCTCTCTGGGTCCACATGCTGCCCGCTCTCTGCTCGATGTCATCTCTCCATCTCCTTTTTGGTCTTCCCTTGCCTCTTTTCTTGTCCCACGGGGCCATTCAGTTGTTTTCTTTGCCCATTCATGGTTTTTCATTCGGGCTAGATGTCCTGCCCAATTTCCTTTGGCTTCATTAACTTTCTCGATGACATCTTTCACTATATCACTACCAAAACAAAACGTTCAAATGACCAAGCGAACGGTTCTTCAAAGGATGGCAAAACTGTATTACCTGTTAGGTGTTGCAGCTCTGTACCTTCTCATAGCGAAAGTAATCCTTCGAGATATCTGTGATCGGAAAATCTCATGGGATGCACAGTTGCCGGAAGGTATCAGGCAGCGGTAGGAAAAATGGTTGAGGAGTTTGCCAAGTGAGTTAAATTTTCCAAGAAGCATTCCTCGGAAAAGAGTAGGGACTACAGAAATTTACATTCATGGGTTTTCCGATGCGAGTACCTTGGGATGTTGTGCAGCGGTGTATGTAGTGATAAAACAATGTGAAGAGGTTTCGCAAGGGCGGTTGGTATCAAAGGCAAGATTAGCAAAACGCTAATTAACTATTCCAAGATTGGAACTTGTAAGTTGTCATATGGTTTCCAACCTGGTGAACAAAACACAGAAAGTCCTCAGCTATCTCCCTGTCGAAGCTGTTTACGCGTGAACTGATTCAACCGTCTGTCTACAATGGATCAGCGGTGGCGGTAACTACAAGCAGTTTATTTCAAATCGTGTGAAAAAAATAATGAGAAACAAATTGAGTGGAAGTAAGTATCAACCTACGAAAATCAAAAGTAATGAAGATAACCATTCCAAAAGAGATTGATTTCATTGATCATATGCTGGAAAAGTATGTCCCGTCCAAGTCTGTACGAGCTGTAGCATGGTGTAAGAGATTCATTGACAACTTAGTAAGTACTAAGAAAACAAGTGGTGCATTATTGACAGAAGATAATGAAGTTACTGATCAAACAAGCTCAAGCTGAAAACGAGTTGATGGAGAATTTCAAAGACAATTCTGTCAAATCTAATCTTAAAAGAAATAAGACCTAATATACATGTGTAAGGGAAGAATCCAAGGGGAATATCCGGGGTATCTTCCAGCAAAGCATTTATTATCTAAGAGCGTTGTTAGACGAGCTCATATACTTACCTTACACGGGGTAGTGGGACTTATCATGATGAAATATGAGATGAAATATGAAATAAATCTTATGATATATATTAATTACGTATACGTTTACGTGTTATAATTGTATTTTAATTATCTCAATTCTCTAAGTGTAATACTTTTATGTCATTGTAAGAATTGCAGTCGGAACTGTTGACAAACTGTGAACAGAAAGTCCTAGAAGACAACGGTTATGACAATCCTGAAAACAACGGTAAATAAAATTTTACTTTGTCACTTTTAGAAACAAAATTAAAACATCCATTATTAGAAAAATAACGTTTGAACCTAAGCAAAATGATGATAATCTAGGAGTTAAGACGAAACATGAGAGATGTGGCTCACATTATGAAGTGCCATATTTAGGTTTAGATTGATATTTTCATCAAGCTTTTTATATACCTTTTCTAGCTTAAACTTTTTAAAAATTTCAACTTTAATCTTGTTTTTTATGTCCATAAACTAGTATCAAAAACTAAAGACTCTTAAAGGAAAATATAATCTTTCTTTATTTTCAAATTTATGAAATAAATGATTGGTCAAATTGGAGAATTTTTGTCACCAAGAATTAGAGAAAATTTCACATTATTTCCTTTTAATGTTCAATCCAAAATAACTCCAATTGGTTAATTTGACATTGGGATATTATTTTTAATTTCGAGAATGATGTTTTATATCATTTGTCACATGTACATTTTGCAATTATCTTTTGATCGAAAAAACCATAAAATCTGTCTTAAAAGTTAGAACAGAGTGAAGAAATTCTGTCGTCAAAATATGACTGTTTTGATGTATCTTACGTTGGAAGTTATAAATTTTAAACACAAGAAATGTGCTTCGGAAATTTTGACTCATTTTTGGTATCAGCTTTTAAATCTTACAAGATTTGAGTGCATTATGTAGTTATGAAGCTCTATATTTCAAGTTTAAACTTTAACAGCTTTACAATAAATTTTACGTAAGATAAAAAAACGACTATACGTTGACAACCAATATTTTTTACTCTGTTCCCATCTTTTATATACTCTTTATCATTTTTGCGATCATATGTCCACTAACAGGCTTGAAAACGTAAAGAAGTTTGAAGAAAAATTTAATCTTTCTTTAATTTTAAATTTTTGTTAACCAAGAAACAAAGCCGTCAGATTTTCTATCTTAAATAATTTGATTGCATTATTAAGTAATTTAGAAACATGTTTATTGTTTGCAAAAAGTTATTTTTACAAAATATACAGTTGTTATCGAAATCCTGTATGCATTAGGCGAGTTCAAGCTTTTTGTGTGTATTTTATTTTATTCGTTGCACTCATTGAGGAGTAAGGATTCAACCTAAGGAAAAACTAAGAAGAAAGGGGTAGATGAGGCAAAACACAATAGATTTTCTTCCCATTAATCGACAACAGTAAAATATTTCAAAAGTTCTTTGACGTTTGAACAAAATTATTCACTGCTGCTTTATTTACTATATGCCAACTTTAGATTCGAAAGATCTTACAATGGGAGTAGGTATTGAAAGCGTTGATGAAAAGAAAAGTGAAGACTTTAGTGGTTGTGGAAATGCTAAATTTAACGGTAATAATAGTATTTCTTTGTCAGATTAGGTTTCAACCTTAGCAAAATGCTGCAGTTATTTGGGGTAAGACGAAAAAAATAGCTGGCACTCATGTAAAAGGTTGTATGTGCAAGTTTACATGCATATATCATGAACTGAGTGTACACGTATAGATTGATCACATCCTAAACTTTAAATTGACCTGAGCTAGCTAATTTCTACCTTTTTATAACTTTAAAAAATAAGAATATAAAAAATAATATTGTACACTTTTTAGCAAATGATTCTGGCCAGTTAGGGTAAAGTGAAATTCCCTTTTCTAACACGAAGTTCCAGATTCAGATGAATCATTTTCAAAAACCTTCTGAATTGTTATTGTTATATTTTATATTGGATTTTTTTCTAAACGCAACCCACAATGTCCAAAACATATATTTCTAACATATTTCCGTTGGATAAAATATTCTCTATTGCATATTCTTCTGTTGAAGTGGCAGCCATCAGCTCGAGCCCATCAGAGTTACTAAATGTTGAATCTCTGCAGTCCTCACCAGGTAACATTTGTGTTTCTTCTCTGTCATCTTAATTATTTCATCTCCTACTACTTTACTTCAACGTCTTATGATAAATTAGTGATTATTGTAATTAAGTTTTAGGTATAATCTTAACATATTTTGATTTCATCATTAAGTAATTTATGATTATTTGATGGTTGATGAAAACTTCATTTTGCAAAATGAACATTCTGTATTCTAGTCCTTCGGGAATTAAAGGAATTTGTGCTATTTTTTTGTGTTTATTGTTTTTGTGTCACTCACCTCATGAAATTAATACTTTTGCAATTTTCAGAAAAACAGTCTTCGAAGTGGAAATGCACTGACGAATCAACAAAGCACAAAAAACTGTTGCTAAAGTTGATAGAATATGACCGTAATCCCAATGTCAAGGTTGAAAATGTGGCCGATGTACGTGTAATTTTCTCAGACGAGTTTTGCATCGGCAAAGGAAATAATGAAACCCGTGTTTATCTTGGACTGAGAAAGGATGGTTTCGGCAAAGCAGTGAAACGAATACGTCGAGATAACTGCCTCAATGATGCACTGCAAGAAAAGAAAGTTTTAAATGAATTCAACGCAAAAAAGTCAAAATATGTTGTAAATTATTCCAACATAGAAGATGAAATTGGATCAGAATATGTGTATTTGATATTAGACTTATGTGAAGAATCGCTTGAGAATTTTGTGAATTCTTCTTCTCAACCTGATCTTCAAAAAGCTCTTCCTGAAATTCTAAAGCAAATTTTAAAAGGATTGGCGGATCTTCATAGCAGTGTACAACCTATTCTTCATCGTGATTTAAAGCCATCCAATGTTCTCCGAGACTTTCAAAGCGAATTTCTCATAGCTGACTTTGGTATCAGTCGAATATTAAAGAATGATTCTAAGACATATAAAAGCATGGGTAACATGGGAACTGAGGATTGGATTGCTCCTGAATCATATTGTGAAGATAAAGATTCAGTCGATAAAGGACGATACAAAAAAGAGTCTGATGTATATGTAAGTGTAGGAATGTCAATATTTACAAATCACGCATAAATTGTATTGTGTTAAATTATTGTTTTTGCTATTAGCCGCGTTTTTCATTATTGTAGAATGCAGGAATGGTGGCTTATTATGTTGCAACAAAAGGTGAACATCCTTTTGGAAATAAACGGCATAGATTGAACAACATGTTGAATGGAAACCCTGTTGGCTTGGGAAAAATCAAGGATGAGACATTGAAAGATCTTCTTTCGTGGATGTTAAATCTAAAACCTGAAGATCGGCCATCTGCCATTCAAGCGTTAAAACACCCATTTCTTATGTCGGATGACGACAAGTTTGACTTTTTATGTAAAGTTGGAAACCAACAGCCAATAAAGACAAGAGATACCAAGTCAAGTGTAGTCAAACAATTAAATAGCAAGTATTCAAATTGGAAAAGTTTCATAGACACTGACGTATATGATTATTTAAGAACAGACGAGGTAAAGAAAAATGTTTAAGTATGGTCCTTCATTGACAGAATTCTTGAGACTTATTCGAAACATAGGCCAACATTGGTGCGATCTACCACGGCCAAGACCACAACCATTTTATAAGATTGGCGATCACAAGGCATTTTTTCTCAAAAATTCCCCAATCTCCTGTTTGGGTGCATGCTGCTGTGAGGTCAAATGAAGAATTTAGAAACAATACAGAACTCAAGAACTTTTTCAATGAAAGCAAACCACATCAATAAATAGTTTCAAACAGCAACATGGATCAACTAGTTCACGCAAATCTGCTTCCTATATTTTAATGAATATACAGATCATTTTAAATTAGCACATTATTTCACGTTATATACCAGTACCTGTGGCATAGCACAGGGATGACTTTTTTATGTGTTTGGGTGGGGGTGGGTGGGTGCTGACCCTTTATAGCCTTTTGCTAAAAGGAGACAAGAGAAGTACCAATTTCTTACAAACTGTTTATTTACTAACCTGATTTGTATGTAATAGAACATACTTCCACATATCTCAATAATTGGTATGAAAGTGACAGAGTCAATACTACAAAAAGTACCCACAGAAATATGATCGAAACTAAATCACGAACCCCTTCCACCTCCCTTTAAAATTTGTCCAAAATTGTAAATTTCAGGTTTTATATTGCAGGACTATGTCATTTAGGCTTTATCTTGTTCAGTCATTTAAATCTGCAAACTACTCAAAAAAATCAAATTTTTTACCTCGCTCTTTACTGAATGAAATACATGACCTCCACAACTGAGAGTTTTTAAGATAAATTGATCTTCTGTCTGTACTTTCTTTCCATTGTACAAATCTCTTTTTTATGATGCTGCAGCATCTTGCATTTTTTTCTTTGGTTTAATATCACCTGACTTGAAATCAACCTAAGCTAGAAAACGTATGATTTGAAAGAAATTGTTTAAGAAAAAAACTGCCTATGCAATGAATAACGTATCCTGTACTCTGGGAATTTCAATATCCGAGACATGTACACTTTACTTGGGCAGCCAAGTTTTTTTTAGTTTGAACATGTTTACGCCTTTTACGGGATGTGTGGTCATGGTGATGAATGATAATAAGTTTATTATGTAATAAATGATTGAATGCATACTATAGCGTCAGTTCGTAAAAATAAACACTGGTATAAATGATGATTTACAACCTCTTTTTCATCTCTTTCTTTTGCCCTCTTAGTTTTTATATTTACATCAACATCATTTGCCTGATGACATTGAATGTTTATTGTTCCAACACAAATGAATGAAATGCCATCAAAAAGTAATGAAATTCTATCTTTATTGCTTTGGGTCTGCTGCAGCCTGGTACATGGATTTCTACACTGTAAAATTTCATCAACTGTCTTGCCTTAATAATATCAATCAAAAGCTTTATATAAAATGTAAATTTATACTTTATATTGTGAGTTTGTTTAAGGTTAGGGGATTAAGTAGAGATGACATTAATACTTTATATGGTGATGTAAGTTAAAAGATTAATGATATAATTTAGATGGCGATGATGTAATTGAATGGTGATATAATTTAGAAGATTGCATAAAGTTCAATGAGAAAACAGTAAGCTTGTTATAAAGCTAAGAGAATAAAGATTATCTAAGAAAACACTCTCTTTATTTAAAAGGTCCAGGTGAGGTAAGGTCAGAATTAATGCATAGTAGCAGCAGCTTATAAATGGAAAATATCACTGCGACAACATCAATTGTTAAACATTTTTATGCTTACAAATAAGATAAAATTGTATGATATTTCTAATTGGAAATTTAGTGATGGGATCTGACCAACCTTGGATCATTATTGCACATGATATATAGCTTCAATCTCCTTCCCACTACCCCCAAACTACCCCTGTTCCATGGAATCTTCATTACGAAAAGTAATAGCGCATAAAGTATTTTTTTATTTTGGTTGTAAGGCAATCAACTTGCAAAGTGTCTTTATACACCATGTGCAATGTTTGCTTATTTATCAGGATAGACACCCTGCTTGTTTACGTTTTGCTTGTAGCTAGGCAGATACTGTCCTGCTTAAATACGTATTTCAAAACGTAAATGATTGTTATCGTGGTTATTACCAAAAAGCGCATTCGTTTTCACACATCTCCATCCAGTACGTGTTTCTCTTTTACAGGACTCGAAATCTTGCAATACTTCTTCCCATGAATAAAACGTTTCGGTAGAAGCCATCAACAAAACAGAAATAGAATAGAGTAATATGAATAGCGTAAATCTTCTTAGTTTGGCGCACAAAATTACCGCTGACTGAAACATTAAGCAGTCTTGGATTTGTTCCTACGCTGACTATGATCTAACGCCGACCAACAATGAAATATAGTAATTTAGATGAGGATTTCCGTCCAGGTAACTACTATACACTCCAGTGACTACACGTGACTAACTGCTGCGTGCAATTATCATTGAGTTAAACCAATTTACTTACCATTGTAGCACTGTAATTACCACTGTCATTATCATTGAGCTAAAGGAGTAACGTCGGGAAATTTCTACTCAAAAGTCGGGCAATATTTAGTGATTTTCGTCTTTTGGTGTCAAAACATTAGAGAAATTATTACTTTAATTAACAAAACTAATATTAGCAAGCTAATAGCAAGAAATTTTATTAAATTCTCTGTGAAGTTTTCCTTGCTATATATTTAAATAATACTATCAGATAAAAGCATTTGTGATTAGATTAAATATGTAAAAGAAATATTTTCTATCTAAATCATATTTGACATTCAATTTCATGGGTATTGGGGAATTAGGGCTTTGAAGTAACATGGCTTTAAAATTTTCCTGGAAATAATTGCCATCCGTAATTACGCCTTTCTGGCTTTCACGTTTCAATCGAATATATATTTGTCGAAAAAGTTGACAATTTAACGTCGCATAATGACCGAAAACTATAAAGACAATTATTCAAAGCGGTACATTAAAAAAGGGCTGTCTCTTTCGCTTTAAATAAATTCTCTTTTTAAGATCAAACTTTAATTCGATCCCTCTGCCCATCTTCAGTGAACTTTCAAGCAAAGGTCTCCTCATAATTTTTAAGGCTGAGGTGAAGATGAACATCCAGTAGTAAAAGGTGCCTCTAACATGTTGCATAGAAATGCAAAATACATTGAAATTGAAAGGATGGAATAATTTAAATATTGTACGAAATATTTACATTTTCCTAACTATTTCTTTTATAATCAGCTAATACAACTATAACAAATTCGTTCAGATCTCATTTGAATGATGTTTGACAGCTGACAAATGTTTTCATAGTCACATGTTGCATCATGTAACAAAATCTTTAAAAAAGCCCTGGCTCTCGGGCATTCCTTTTCCTACGTCACTGCTTATACCTGCTTATAGCTTTTTCCGTTCTTACATGCATTATTTTAGTTGCTTTTCTGTAAAATTTCCCACCAAATAGAAATGAGCACAAATCGGTATCATTAAGCTTATTATAAATGCACAAAATAGATTATCTACAAATAACTTTGTAAGGTACGATATCAGTTGGTAAAAGCTAAAGTACTCAAGCAATATATACACAAATGTGAAGTGTAAAAACAGTTTAGCAATATTTTGACCTTAATATTATGCATCAGCCATACAATCCAGGTTTATAGTGTTTCTTATATCAATGAATTTAATGTAGGGCAGTTTTCGTTTTCGTCAGGCAAGAATGTGTCAGCACCCCCAATTTTTTTGGTCCCGTATGCCCATGATATTAAGACTGGAGGGAGCATGTCATCGAATTAACAAATAAATAACATTTAACCGTTGTCTATACAGTTATAGATACACGGGTATGACGTCAATTGTGATAAAAACTAAAAACTGGCCAGGATCCACCGGGGAGAGTGATTCCTTGTTTTTATCACAAATGACGTCTTTCCTGTGTATCTATAATAGTATAGACAACGGTTAAATGTTATATATTTGTTTTGTATAATAAATTCAAAAAAGTTCCCAAACTAAACGGTGAAACAGTTTGTTTTCTTTGCACCCAACACTTGGAACATTGAAAAGTCTTGATTTTGCAACTATCATGCTTACGTGATCTATAGGATTGAAGAAATGCCTTTGGCTAGATTAATCACGTGATAAAATGTGATTGGCTACCAAAACAAACAAGCAATGGCTTAACATTTGGTTAAAATTTTATTATCGAAGGCGAAGTACAAATGAATGCTTGAAAACCGTGTTATTTCTTTTTTTGCTCAAATACATCCACTGTTTCAACTAGATAATTTTAAATTCTTTACTTTCCCATTCAGGGATGAATTCAGGTAAATGTTCAAGTAAATTCGCCGCTGGTTTATCATTTGAAAACAAGAAATTTCCTGTGACGTCAATTCCGTGCGTTTGTCCTCTTACAGATCATAGCTATCGACCAATGAAATTGCTCAAATTCTTCAGGTTATTTTATAAATTACTATAAATTATTAGCGCGTGGCCTGTGGTCAAAAACATGGCGGGTTTTGGTTGTCAAAGTCAGCGGAAAGATGCGGTCCCATGAAATAAAAATTTTGTCTCCCTCCCGGATTTAACCACCACGATTGCGAACTATTTATAAAAAAAACACTTTTTAAAATTTTGTTTATTAAACAATCTGCACACTTCCGTGGTATGCGAATGCCAAAATAGCGACAGAAAAAGGAAACATTTTATGACTCCGCTAAGTAGCATGGTATTGTTTATCATTTAAAGTGTTCAGTAGTATGCTATTTTGTTTTTAACACGATACTTGAGTAGTGTTACTACTACTAGGTTATAATTTAAGGTATGTTCGTCCAGTCTTGTTTGTTCTTTACTTTATCGCTTACCAGACGAGGCAAAGCAGCCAATTCTTATCGAGTTTCACATCTATCTTGCATCATGATCAAGCTATACTCTCTTGATGTAAATTGAGTTTACCTCCCAAATTTGTTCGTATTGTTTTTGGAAAATCTGAAGGAAAAGTTTAAAACCGAACTGTGTTGAAATTGAATGCAGTGTCATGCAAAATTAATGAACACTGTGGTATATGCCTTATAATAAAAATAATTGAATTAAACTGCTTGCCTGCTCAAATTAGTTGACTGTAGACGATCATATTAATGAGATTGCAAAGTTGGATTTATGCAAACAGTTTTATTAGTGTTTCTGTAAATGAAGTATTTATTGTTATAGTAAACAGGATAATACTTCAAAATCAAGATAAAAGAAGTGTGTTGAGCAATGTGCTAAGATTTGCTCCTACCTTGAAATTTTTGTTCAATAATAATTTATGATTCACATGGGATGCATTGGTTGCAGTGAAGTTGAATGTGGAAGAAGCAAAAATAGATGGCAAAGAACTTCTTTGTGTCTTATAAAGAATTAGTAGAAATTAATAAAAAGAATACTCAAAACACATTTAAATTGCTCATGGTCAAGCAATCTAGTCAAAGAAGCAAACTCTGCCTTCAATATTTCACCTTTCCAATTATGTTTAGTTAAACTAAATTAGTTTCTTTGTACAAAATACTATTTTAGAGAAACTTGATTATTTCGTCTTTCATGAATATTTTTTACCAAGAGATAAAAGGAACAGAATCAAGACATGATGTAAAATACAAATATTCATTAAGTTGTTTGTCATTTAATTTCTCATTGTTAGTTTGTACATAAAAATATTAAATATTGGTAGCTGTAAATTGTTCGAGCATAAGAGAAGAGTAATAGTACTTGAAGAGGTTAGCACTTTTGAAAAATTACATCTTGTTCTTGACATACATTACACAATCCCAAAAGATTACAAGTAATGCACAATAATACCTAAATTTCTTTACCTACACTACCAACTATTTTTGCCTTCGTGCAACAATAGACAGAATGTTTTTGTCAACAAAACAATGTACTTTAATTTCCAAGTTTGTAATTTCAATGGAAAGTTAATGTAGTTCTTTTCATTAGTGGATACAATCATCCAAGGTTGTGCCAAGTAGTTTACAAACAAATCAGAAATTTCCAATCAACAGCATCATAGTATTTTGATTTTTTCTTCTTTTTTGTAACTCTTTTAGTTAAAAAGTTTTCACTAGATTTGTCAGGTAATGAATACATACTTATCCACGGTATATTTTCAGTTGACTTATGTCGTAGGACTAAAGCAAACATTTCCTCGCTACTTTTGAGGACTTTAACAAAAATTTGTCCATTCGAGCAAAAAAAATACTTGCATCAAACTATTTTCAAACAGTGAAACACACAGTACCACAGCTATATATTACTTTTATCATGTTTATTGTCATTAGCTTATAGTAGTTTGGTCGCTGATTACGAAGTGATGTAAAGTTGCTAGGTGATTAGACTATGACGCTGTATTTTAGAACTTAGTCTTCATCAGCTGTGTATTGCGAGTTATGAGGAATAAAGCATTGTTATATCTCACTTCTGTGTCTTCATATAATCTCAACTTTACTGCGCGCGCTGCGCGCCCTTGCAAAATTTCGAATTGTGGCCTGATTTTGGTGCTAAATTCACATTAGTATAATAAAGAGCATACGCATACGCGTGTCAGCAATAAGGTACGCGCGTGGAATTGTCGCGAAAGAAACAAAGTTTTGCCGTGAGATATAAAAGTTTTGCCGTGAGATATAAAAGTTTTGCCGTGAGATATAAAAGTTTTGCCGTGAGATATAAAAGTTTTGCCGTGAGATATAAAGTTTTGCGTGAGAGGTAAAAGTTTTGCCGTAAAGGATGAAAGATTTGTAGTCGGTAAAATAGTTTCACTGCAAGAAGAAACTTTTGCCGTCACACGTGTGGGCCACCGTACGCATGCGCATGGCTTCGCTTACTCATGGTCAGGGAATCAAAAATAATTTCCAAATCAAACGTCATTGGTACACTGATGTAGATTGAATAGCTGTTCTCAGTCTACATTTGTATTGGCAAAAATTGGCAAAGCAACCGAGGAGAAGCTAAGTTGAGAGAAAAATGGAAGAAGAAATTGTTCTTGTCACTGGAACATCCGCTGGTCTTGGTCTTTCGACTGTTCAGGTGCTTGCAAAGCAAACAGACAAGAAATTTAAAGTGTACGCATCAATGAGAAAGACGAGCAAGAGAGACGAATTGTTAGAGAAAACTGCTGGTTGTCGCAATGTTGTTGTAATCGAAATGGATGTTTGTTCAGAAGATTCTGTGAACGCTGCTGTAAAAGAAATTCTGGAGAAGGAGGGAAGAATCGATGTTGTTGGTACGATTTCAATTAATGTCATTTTGAATTTTAATTACTTGCCGGACCATTTGTGCTATTTTGATGTTAGATTTAAGTTTACAAAGGAAATTTGTTTTTATTGCATTCATATGAGAATAATATTTTCACATGGGCGAACAGCAAGTGCAAGGTATGGCACATTTTTAGTACGGCACTGTGTTGTTGAACAAAATCAATATGTTGACGCGTATGTCAAACCCTAACATCAGCATTATCTAAATGCAAATTTGTCAACTTTCAAACCACCAAAGCGTACAGCCATTTATACAGATGACTTTACAAGTATTTAAATTTGTTCAAATGTTTATACTATTTACCACGTGCCTCACTTTGTCACCTTTTGCAGTCTTATGTCTATTAAAATACGGGAATGAAAGGTTTGATTGATCTTAGACAATGTGAATAGACGACTTATCAGCCTTGGGATGTATCTGCCTGCCCGCTAAACATAAACAAGCTACGTCATTAATGACGTCTAAGGTCACTGTCAGTGGATGAAATTACGATGAATGGCAGTAAAAACTCTGTGCCTGTCATATATCCACCGTCGTATTTTTCATAGTTTTAGCAAGATTAAGTAAATCAGTCAATTTTGGTGGAGTTAAAAGTACTGAATAATATTTTGTTTCAGCAAATGGCCTTGTTTCCTTCCCCCCGCCCTTCCGCAGCAGTCTATTAAATGATGTTTACAAAGGAAATTTGTTTGATCGCATTCATATGACAAGAATATTTCATTAAATGTAGATACGATCAAACACCGCACTGCATAAAACAATCTTTCATAAGAATATTTCACATGGGCAAAATGCAAGTGCGAGAAAGGGCGTTTTAGTGCGGCGCTGTGTTGTTGAACAAATGAAAATGACAAAATATGCCTAACCCAAACAACAGGATAATCTTTTACGTAAATGCAAATTAGTCTAACTTAAAATCAGCAAAGCGTACTACGATTAATACAGATGACTTCGGGTGTAGATGGAAAACGGACGCGGATGGCGGACGCGGACGGCGGACGTCTGTTTGTTGTGGGCGACAATTTGCCAATGATTTATTATAGGAGTTTGACAGTAATTTAAACGAGCTTTATCTTTCAGGATAAATTTTTTATGACCTCATTATTTAAAGCATGCATATTTCAATTTTCAGTCAGTCATATAGAGTGTAACACAATGAAACCTCATAGTTATGTATAAACCATCTCAACACTTTTAAAATAAAAAATTTAGCCATAGTTGTCTTTTCAGACTTCACACAATCCAAATAGTTTTGTATTTTTTTCGTGTTTTTTTTCAATGGCCTTTCACTCATGTTGGCCTTACATAGGTGAGCTTGTTCATTTTTACTTCACTTATAATGATTTCCGTCAACTTGTCATTTGCCAAAGCAGTACGTATACTGCAGTTTTCAACTTGAACTTCCTTTTGAAAGCTGATGTTTGAAGCCGTTGCAAGTTAGTTAGTGCGTCAGTTACAACTTAAAAGTATACTTTAATCACATTAATTGTACATCATGTCCAAATGTTTGTACTTGGAGATTGTAAAAATTGGCTATATGAATCGACTGACTCAAGCGAAGATGAAAATGGATGTCGCGCACAGGTACCTAAATTTAATATAGGAGCACTGATATTTAGTAAGAAAATATATTAAAAGATTTTTATTTGTATTTTTTCATTTTATGTGACTTTGTAGAACAAACCTTGCAAAGTGGAATCTATCACTTCCGCAATTTATAAGTGGTAAAGAAGTCCTCTCGCCAGAAGAGAGAGTCAAAGTTTTACTTGTACCCCATCCTCCTGAGCGAGTATTGGTCGCCGAGTATGTAAGATTGCACCCACCATTGTATCAAATAATGTTACATTCTTGATTGACGCCTCTTCCTCAAAGAAGGGGATGATTGGAAATGTGACGATATGGGAGCTTGGGAATACAATGGGGTGAAAAAGACTCTATTTTGTATTTCTGAGGGGAGGATAAGCGAAGTAAGTCAATGTAAAACCAAAAAAAAATGAAGGTTTCTATACATTAGTGAGAATGTATTCTAAAAGCAAGACATCTCCTGACATCAAGAAGTACGAGGCATATCTAGAAGGTACAGGCATTTGTAAACGTTTTGGACCCAATTATTAAATGAGTTTACAAGATCCATATTTTACTGGCATTGATTTTTGACCATGACCAATTTTAATTCTTGATTGAGGACAGAACTTAGATTGTAATTTTTTATTTATTTTGCTTGTAAATGCTCACTTTCTTTGTTGCGACACACATGTAGAAAACTAAGCATTATTAATGGTTCAGTATATCTTCGATGGGAAAGAACACGAAATTACGCCCAGTCCTCATAGTAACTCGCGGCAGAAACAATCAGGTGGATATATTTGGACAAAAACAAGCATATAAAAAAGAGTAAAAGAAGTTGCTGAAACATCTGGACCTAGAGGAACCTTTCATCGTGTGAGCGAAGAAAGTGGTGGTTTCTTAGGTGCCAGTGCAGCAAGTGACCTTCCCAGAAACAGAACGCAAGCCAAAAATTGCCGAGCCAAAACAAAGCAAATCACGAGTATTAAAAAAGTTGACTCTCTTGCTGTTCTTCTCCAGGAGTGCAAGAGGCAGCAATTAAGCAAAAGAAAAGATCCTTTTATTCGTGACGTATCAGCTGCTCCTGAACTCAGATGTGTTACGACGCATCGCAATTTGAAAGTTGTAACAAGAAGAGAAGGTCATTATCCTTTAATAATAGGGCCTCTTCTAATTAGCCAAACCAAAACAGCCGAATCGTATGATTACTTCTTTGGTAAATTGACTTCCCTTAATAAAAACATAAAAAACATTCTCGCCATTGTGACAGATGGGAAAGAGACTTTGATCAGTGCCATGAAGAACAGTAAGTGCTATGCATTTCATTTACGATGCTTTGGGCACCGTAAATGGCTAAACCTAAAACTTTAAATTACAGTTGAGAAAATCAAATGTGTCAGACACAGCACAAAATACTTTTCTTGATGACATATTTGGAAAAAGATCAGGGGAAATTTATGAGAAGGGTATGTTTGCAAAAACATATTAGTAAAGTGCCACGTGTTATTACATTGCACATTTTAAAATTTCTTTTAGTCTTACTATACTCCCTCAATGAAAGTGAATTTCTCTCCAATCTCAATGCGCTGAAAGAGATATGGGTTGAAAGAGAACGTTGTTTTTCAGTGCAAATCAAGAGCCATCTTTCTTCAAATTTATAAGTGAGAAAGTATTTATATCCTAAAAAATAGAATTTTGTACAATTTATTGCATGAGTTTCTTTTTCAAGAAACCATTGTGTTTATAGTGACTGAACAGTTTATTCTTCTTAAATTTACATTTCAACTAAATGTATCTAAATAAATTTTCTAATAGACGCAGAAAGTATGCTGACTGAAGTTCGAAGGAATTGTGGAATGGGAGATCCACCCACACCATTCTACACAAATGTACCCGAATCTGCCATAAGAGCAGTGAACTTTCAAGAAAATGACATGTCAACATTTGCGATAAAAATGCGACAACTGATCAAGCAACAACGTGAAGATGTAAGAGGTGCTTTACTTAATAGCGGTCCCTACAGGCTAATCGAGAAGCATTTTCATCTTCAACTCACAAAACAACAATGGTTTGCTAATAGCGCTGCCCAACGTAAGACTCACGAAAGAAAACTGGACCAGACCTTTTGCGTAGAGGATAAGCAAACTAAGATGACGAATCTTTTTCTCTATCCTTATCACTAACACCCGAGGACGCTAACCTATCGAGTGTACCAGTCCAAACTGTGGAAAGAGTTTTCAGAAAAGCTCAGAAAGTGTTAATGTAGGATGGAGCTATAGTTTCAGCCACAGGAGGAAACAGTAAATCTTTTCTCGTTTTAAGCGAAACATCCCAAAGACCTCACTATGTATTCATTGAAAATAGTGGGAAAATTATTTGCGAAATATGTCTTAGATGCGTCGCTGCACACTTTGCAAGAATGCTGCTGCTATAGCAGAAAAAAACAAAAAGCTTAAAAGAATATGTTGAATGGCTAGAACGTAAACAAAATCCCACTAACCTTACAACTCTTGTCAACTTTGACTCCAGTAAAAGTGTTGGAAAAAAGGGAAATAAGCCAGCAACCAAGCGAAGAAAGGGATATAGAAAAAAGAAAGACGATGATGTGATAATGATTGTCGATCGAATAAGTCAAAGTAATTTGCAATCACAGCAACATCAGGTTCTTATTTATTATTTTGCTGATCTCTGATGTTTTTAAGTTTGACTTAAATGCAGTGCAAGCAAAAAGGTCACCTCAAAATTAAGTTTCAAGTAAATATTGTTGAAAAATATGAACGTATAACATTAAATATACAATTCCAAACGCTTCACATAGTTGGGTGCATTGCCTATTCATTTCTGCATAATTAAGTCTTTCAAAATTTAGTCGTAAATATCATCGTACAATCATTAAAATCAGAGCTGCACGGATCTTCCACTGTTTGCCTATACCTATAACAGACTTCTCCTACAGACTTTCATTTACTTGAAGTACTGATAGTTGATTATAGGGAAAAAATCATTTATTGAATTGCAATCATTTAACTTTCAGCGTTTACAACTGCAGTAGACAATCGCTGGCTCCATATACATGATTTTCAGTGTAACTTTTAGTCAGCGTGACAAGTACGAGACAAAATCACGACGTAAAACAAAAATCAGAAAATCAAGATTTCACATTAGACACACGTGTGTAGTGTGCGGAAAAAATCGCGCCAAATTTGTTATTAGAACATGTATGGCGTACATACAATGGCAATATGGCGATGTCTAAAATAAATAGCTTTTCCAATATTCTGAGACGGAAGCAAAAAAAGAGCAGAAAGGATATTAGTTGTGAGTTCAACAAGTACAACTACAAAAGTCAAATTGCCACGCCCCTACCAAGGCATTTTTTGTTATTCCGCTCCCCTCCCCCCCTCCCAATGCCAAACATCTTCCGACGCGCCACTGTTTCATACTTCTCTTTGACGAAGTCCTATAAAATGTTTGCTAAATCATAAATACTTTACAACGTGTTGGCGTCCTAGACCCCAAAAAACTGAACTCGCACAAATAATTACGTATGAAAATGAAATCTGCATAAGTTGTCCATGTTCTTTGCAACTTATGGAAAATATGAATCACTTTTGCGGCTATTATAACTCAGTTAATGTTGTTTTGCCCATACTAAGGTCTTGCGTGATAAAATTTGAGATAAAAAATCAGTGTATGACCGTAATTTTAAGTTTAAACTTGTTTTTCATTAACTAGTACTTTATAAGCTCTAATAAATCCCAGAGGCCCAGAACTGTCAAGTTCATTGAACAAGTTTGAATCTAGTTTCGTTATTTTGCATAACTTTAGCGAATACATATAATTATTTATGTGGGCTCCGCTATTTTGGGACATTGTATTTACTCTTTTCAATAAGATATAGAGTCTATTGAAATCATTATCAGTTCTGCAGGGTGTATAAAAAACGTAAACAGTCAGTTGTTTTCAATTCTCGCGCTTTGATGAAGTTAGCAACGAAAAACTTTGCAAAATTTGTCAGAGCGCAAGAATTGAAAAAAATTGGGGGGAATAAATAAGTGGACATCTGATGGTTCATAGTACATTAAATTACATAGTTCATACATAGTGACAGTAAATACTTTTCATGCAGTTTGCGCACAAAATCAACGTAGCTAAAAAATCAATGGAAAACATGGGGTTAAAATATGACACATCTTGCTCAAACTTTAAAAGTTTCAGTAGGTTTTGCTAATGAGCACGCGAATGCTCTGCTGCCAAATGACAAATCGATTTGTCATGTGTTGAAAAAAATGATAAAGCACACTCCAAAAAATATCATCTTGTAAACTCAAGAACTGAGTTATGTTTTTTGTGTTTATTTTATCGTTTATTTCATACAATCGAGCCTTAGTTGTTTTAGAGTCAGATGAGTGGGTGAGGCATGTAGTAGTAAAAATTGAACTATGGTCTGTAAGAAAGTGATTTTACAAGAGATCGAAGTCTAAAAACTAAGAAATATAGACATTACATAATCAAACTCATGTCCCTGACATTTTTTCTTCAAATTTCAAAGTTCCTGTATAATGCCATTGAATGCTTTTGTTAAATTTGTTGACAGTATTGTCAAATTAAATGATATATTATCATCATAATACTCCATATTTAGTGAACAACGCTGGTATTGGTTGGTCTGGTATACTCGAAGTGCAGCCTTGGGAAAGTATCACAAGCATCTATGATACGAACGTCTATGGCGTACTGCGCGTCATCCGTGCTGTTGTCCCGTCTATGAAGAAAAACAAAAAAGGGCGCATCATTAACATCAGCTCAGTTGCTGGATTACATAACAATCCGTTCATGACTGTGTATGGCTCAGCAAACTGTGCTGTAGAAGGAATTACGGATTCTTTGGCGCCTGAGCTTGCATCGTTTAATGTTCAGTAAGTAACTATCAGTAGAGAGCTACATGTTTTGTACAAAAAAAACGTTATTAAAATGACATTCACGTTTCATACCCTCTCAGATATGGCACAAATGCTACAATGAAAAAGTGTCTGTCCGTGTGTTTGTGTGTGCACAGGAAGTGATATCATATATCTGAATATGTGAAATTTTAATATTTTTAGTGACGATAGTCAAAACTTAGCAGCTGAAGATATAATTTAATAAATGCTTTACTGGTGACGTCAAATATATCTCGTTTTGGCGAAAAATACAAGGAGCTTGATACACTGTGCAGTGTAGACAAATAAGATATAATATTTATTTAAGAAAATCATTTCCATTTAAAATGGCGAGAACTTATCGTTCTAACGTTGAAATTTATAAGATTTTATGAGGACATTGCTACTAAATTGTTTTTTTGCAAGCTTCCTCTGCACAATACAAGCACCTGAAAAAAGGAACTCATAACATGCACTGAGAGTACGGAGAGCAATAAAAAAACGAAAGACAATTACTGGGCATTTTTTTAAGCATTGAGCACCGAGAATGTTTTGTACCAAACACGGTCGTGAAAAGACTTGGTGGCATATTTAAACAACACATTGTTATAAAATCCAATCCGTAAAATACTGAAATGCGATATCTGACAATTGCAAAATCTTTTAAGTTGAATGCTGTGTTTGTTGAAGCTGAAAAATATCTTTGACGAGTTGACAAAAGTTTGTTCAATCTACGTATAAAACGCATGGATATGCTCTTCATCATCTTTATGGGCTATATTCATAGATCCATATGTTATAATCCGTAAACACAATACATTTCAAATGAAATTAATAAAGTAAAACATGCATTTATGAATAATACCCTCCCCAATTATCATTGTTCCGCCGTCCTTGAACCAGGTTGTCCCTTGCGTCATATGAAATAATTTATTTAAGGAACATTTTAGTCATATTTTACATGGGATAAGTCATATCATGTTGGAACGCACAAAATCCGATATATTTTATATGCTTTCATTTCTAAAGATTATGCACACACCAAGGTATGATGACCCTTCGTTATTAAATATTGCATTGTGTCTTTAAGTAACTATATAACTTATAAGAGAGCGGGTACTTTTGTTAGTCCACCGATTATATTTTTAACACACGATTGCAGTTTACACCGAAAAAAATAATTGCGAACAATGTAGATGTTCAACAAGTAAGTTCCCTGAGGTGCACTGGCTTAAAAATATAGCCCCATTCGAAAATAGCTAATTACTCGTTGCTTACGGTCCAGTGAAAAGTCCAGAATCCAATGTATGATGGATCTTGACTTTTATAATCGACTTTGAGAATGTATAGTGCCTTAGTTTAATTAAATTACCTCGAAAGTGTATACGTTTGATAGGAATACTGCACTAAAATGCATTGAAAAACATGAACTTCAGAAGGAAATAGTAAGCGAGATCACTTTATTAAAACCATTGAGTTTACATGGTTTAAAATTGGCTCTTTTTTATCTTTTCCGAAGTATACGTTAACCATACTCAGAAATGTAAACAAATTACATATATATGTTTCATGTAAGCGTTTTATTCAATTTTGTAACATACAATAAAACATTTTAAATTATCATTGCCACATAGCAAGTACAATGTACTTAAAACTCTATTATTTAAACGTTATTTTATTTCGCTAATGTACTAATATCTCTTTATAAAAGCTCACTGTGCACTGTTGTTTGTAAAAACAGCCTACAGTTGCATTTATTTATAAGTTTGCCGTATGACACAAGTAAACTTTTGCACAACAGATATAACTAGAACCTATTAAAGTAGGGTAATAATGCTAACCCTAACTGTAACATTAAATTTCACACACCACTAGGCAGACGTTTTGGAGCGGTGATCAATGTCGCGGTGTAGCCCTGTGAGGGAAGCTAGCCTATTTTTGTCTTACATTTTTTCTAATTATAGATCAAGCTCAACATGGGAACTGCTTATCGTTCTAAGATGTAATTGTTTTATGCGTTTATACATATATGTAGCACAAAATCTTTTTGCTATCTTGTCTATCTCAAAAATATAACACATACTTCTTTAAGACCCATCTACAGCAAAGTAACTTACAACGTTGTATCCAAGCGATGTTGCAACACCTCGCCTGTGTCTTTTAACAATGTTATGTCTTTGTTTTCTTTTATGACAGAACATTTGTCAAAAACTCTAGATTGAAAATTTGTAAATTGGAAATCACGTCAATGCTAGTGTCGCAAATAACTTATGACGTCACTGCACGTCCGTCAAAAGAAACCGGAAGAAATTTCAGCGAAGCAAAATTTTTTGCACAATCAATGCACAAAATATGCATTTCATTCTTTTTTCTTTGCAGTATTGCAACCATTCAACCAGGCGTTATAAAAACACGAGCGCTATCTCAATTCGCCTTCAACAGTGGGCAACTAGCAGATGATGACCCTTCGAAATTGCTTGGAGAAAAATATCTTAAAGCCCGTGGTGCCCTAATATTAAATCAAGCTCAAACTCCTGAAGAAGTGGCAGAATACATCCTAAAAGCGATTACAGACGAAAATCCACAGCCGCATTATATGACTTCTGAAGCGTTTGAAGAGTTTGTCAAATCAAAGTATCGTGATCTAACTGGTAGAATTCCTTTTGAAATGAGCAAAACATTTTTGCAATAATTTTTGTTATGATGTAATCACTGCTAAATAAATCTCACAATATAACCTTGCATAATCATTGCCTCTTATGTTTATATGAAAGAAACAGTTTGGGATTAAGCAGTGAATATTTTTTTAAAAGAAAAGGATGATGGTGAATGATATAAGAATGAGTTAAGTTTTAAAATTATTGAGAATTTATTAAGAATTTTTGTGAGGAAATTATAAAAATTATGATAAGATAGAAGCATATCGAAAAATTAGAACCAAGTGGAGGCGCAAATGGTCGCGTTGTCTTGTGTAGCTCTTCCTTACAAATTTTCTAAAATTTCTAGAAATATCGATATGTGCATGTATTTGTCAGCAGTCGAAACAAATAACTAGTTTCATTAATTTTACTCCTAGAAACTTGGAGAAATATAACCTTGCAAAATCTGTTAGGTGTGGGTAGATGTTAGGGTGCATGAGGAGAGTCCAAAACGTTTTACAGTTGAATTTTTGTTAAAGGAAAACACCTACGTTACATTGCTTTTCATAAGATATCACGAAGTCTTGTACCACAAATGTCTTGGGCATGTCTTTTCATGCTTTCACTGGCTGCAATACGATTTCATGTTTTGCAGGTAAGAGCAAAGACTTCTTTTGAAATGTGAAAAGTTTTCCGGAAGTTACTAGTGCATTACAAATTTTAAGTCAAATTACTGATGAGTCCAAGAGGTTACTAGAAATGTACATGGTTGTTGTGTACGATAGAATATGCGAATGTTGTGGTGTTAACGAAGTGAGAAAGCTTCTATTCTCCAAGAAGGGAAAATCAATTGTGTCAATAATCCTTACGAAATCAGCCTTGATTGAGCACGCATATAGGGTAACCTACCAAGCAGGTCACTGTTGTGGTCAAGCTTTGATCTTAGCCGCAAAGCGCCTTGTTCATGCTTATGTACTTCGTGATTGCGAGACATTCCTTCAAGAGGTTTTGCTATAATTAGTTTGGAAATGGTTTAAAAGGTGCCCCTGTCACTCCACTAACTTAATTAAAGACCTGGGACATTTTGTTGCGTTTTTAAATCATGGTTCGTGCATGAAGGTGAAACATAAAATTTGTTATGGACTTTGTACTAGTTAGACACAATCGACCACTGCTCTTAAGAACAAAAATTACTGGATTTTAGAACCAAATCAAGATGTTGAGCTGATAGAACTACATAATAATACAAAATATATTAAAATTAAAAGGGAAATACTTCCATTATGGGATTATGGTAATTCCCAGGTAAGGATAATTCAAGCCATTCACTTAACTACGGTGTTTATAATGTCATCAAGAGTATTTCAAACAAAATTGTAAAAACAAATCTTGCTTTACTAATTTCTAATAGTCAAAGCCTTATCAAAGAAACGATGGAAAGAAAAAAATACTTTTTCACTATAAATGTCCATGTTTCCTATATTTCTTTTTCATTTCTTTTAAGAGACTTTCTTTTAACAGTCTTGTAGGCAAAAAATTCGAAATTTGTAATCTTTATTTTGTGAGCTGTAGTTTCAAATTTCGATGATTGAACAACTGTTGCAAGTTCAAGTTCTGCGTAACTTAAAGTTTTGACGTTGTAACTCAAAATATGGGACGATACACCAGTGTTCAAACATTTCATATGAAGTTATTATGAGTATATTGAACAAAAGCATATAAAAAAATCGTGCAAATGGACATTTATAGAGAAAAAATAATTTTTTATTTGAGTTAATTCTTTGATAATGCTGGCATTTCTAATAGTCTAAGCCTTATCAAAGAAACAATGAAAAGAAAAAAATTTTTTTTTTCTAAAATTTTCTATATTTCCTATGTTTCTTTTTTTATTTCTCGCATGATCAGAAGAGGCTTTTCTTTTAACATTATGTCTTGTTGTTATTTCTGTAGCAATAAATTTTATTTCGATTATTGAAAAACTGTTGCAAGTTTAAGCTGTTTCGCTAAAGTTGTCAAGTTACGACTCGTCATTTTGTGGCAAAACATATCATGATATACATTAAACGAATGGAAGATACATAGTTATTGATTAGAAACTTAGCAAGCGTGCCTGAATGAATGTATTAATCAGGGGTCGCAATTTGAAATAATCTTAGGTAATTGTTAATTTCAAATAGAACACCTCCCTGTGGCGTCCTAGTTACGGCCACAAAACTATAAATTTCGCATTCCAAAGTGCAAGTTTAACAGCTCAAAGTAATAACTTTCGAATGACAAACAGGCATTCTACTTATAACTTTGTAAAATGATGATTAGAATGCACGGTAAGTGATAGCATGATCGTGCAAATGGTTGTAAAAGAAATCCTTAAAATGATAAAAGGGAATATAAGGTTATTTTTACTGAATTATGGGATAGAACAGACTCAGATCACTTCCTCTATTCTTTGCCCTTGTGGTCATTCATTAAAACACAGTATAGGGAATGTACAGTAGGTTCTCTTCGTGTACAACTGGCTGTTGTATAATTAATTAGATTAATGGCATTGCGATTTTTAATTTTTTCCAGTTTTTCGACATGCAAGCGACTCCTAGGATACACGGCAATTCTCAAAACAATCCATTTTTCAAATTTACTTAAATGGTGGCTCTGCGCTTGCCCCAGACCCGTTGTCCCAACTCTCCCAATAGAGGTCTCTGAGAGCTCTGGAGTTTACTGGTAGCGAGTGGCGTGGCGGTCACTGTTTTCAATTTGTCAACTTCATTTGCATTGTACGAGTCGACTCCCTTACAATGTATGAGTCACTTACTCACTATTGTGAATAAGTCGTTTATAAGGTGCCGGTAATTGCTGTGATCTGTTCAAGGGGGTTTGTTCCAAGATAGTATACCAACTTTCTAATGTAAGCCGTTGTCTATAGTCAGTACTGTAAGTAATGCATTTTTCCGAGTCCCAGTCAATGTTGTGCTTTGTGATTCGGTGATGTTCGGCAATGTGATTAGTTTTGTCTTGTTTCTTAGTAGCTCGTTTGTGTTCAGTAAGTCTTATGTTTAAGTTCCTGCCAGTTTCCCCGATATAGGAGGCGTGGCAGTCGGAGCAGTTTATTTTGTAAACTGCACCTTGTCGTTCGTTGGGTTGTTCTTTGTCCTTTATGTTTGTTAATACTTGTCGTAACGTTGTGATTGGTTTATGCGCGACACGTATGTTGTATGGTCGTAAGATACGCGAGATAGTCTCAGACGTACCTTTGATGTAAGGTATCGTTGCTGTTGTCACTGAGTTGTTCGTTTCGTTGGGTTCGTTGGGTTTGTAAGTGTTGCGTTTGATAAAGTCATAGTTATAGTTGTTTTTGTCAAAAACACGTTTGAGATAGTTGTTTTCGTTGTGTAGAGCGTACCGTGAATCACATATGATTTGTGCACATCTTGTTAATGTTCTGATTGTGGTGGCTTTGTGTGATGTAGGGTTGTAAGATGATTGGTCTAGTAGTCGGTCAGTATGTGTTGACTATACCAACCTGGACGATCTACATTTACAAACATGTAACGATACTCCCGGATTCAAACCATTTACTTCATGACAAGTATTGCTAATATAACCTGCTCTACATTAATGCCAAAAAGCAACCCTGGTGGTTTGAACCAGGGTTTTAAAATGATTATAAAGCAAGCAAAGCTATATCATGTATCAAAATTTTATAGTATATCATATTGATTGTAAAATTAGTTTTTTTCTTGTAATACAGATGACGATAAATGTATATGTAATATATTATATTTTAGGATTAGTGTTTAAAATGTTTGGTCATATTTGTGAATATATATGATGATTCTATAATATTAGACTAATAATCTTTTTCATACTTGTATTACATTACAATTTTTGTCTAAGTGTTTCAAAAGTTATGAATATGGAGTGTCATTTGTGTTTTTGTCTTTTTTTTAAGTGGGTATTGACCCTTTTTTAATATTGTCTCTTTAATGGTGCAATTAATAATAATACAATAATATGGCTTAACATTTTTTTAAAATATTTTTTTTGCTAACTTTTTGAAATAATTTGCTAAGTGTTTTTCTTTTTGTTTACGCTCTGAACTTTCAAAAAGGACTGGGGCGAGCAAATCTTGCTCGGAAATACAAAAATTTTCAAAGAACATCGTTTTTTGCCCTGACAGCTTTATTTTCAAAGATCCAAACAATATTATAAGGATGGAAAAGTGTATTTTACATCCTTTTATTTAAAAAAAAACGAGGGGTGTCAGTTTTGTTTTCAAGTTATAAGGCATGTTTTCACGTGCCAAAACAAAGTTCGCTTTTCATCCTTCTAAAAAGAAGCTTAAACATGTACAAATGTCGTTCAAACTTATTTTTTATCAAAGTCGAAACTTTGTTTAAGGTTTTTAGACATTAAGCTGGCTCGAAGACCACTGTTTTTTGCAAAAAATCCGGCAATTTCGAAGTGATGTATTTCGCCTCCGTACCCTCAATGGCGTCGATCATGCAGGTTTCAAAGATGGCGGCCAAGTTAGCCTTCCAGTTCTTACAGAGTTCACTGGAGTGAATATTTTCTGTTGCAAACTCAATATAGGCAGCTTCAAAAGTCAGAAAGAAACTATTTAGTGAGATTTATCATGGGGAACATTGTTTCCCAAGACCGGAACAACTCGTCTTTTTTAAAGGTTGAGGAGAAGTTGCCGGTCTTTTATCAGGATTCAAAAATTATAAGCCGAAACGACAATGGACAGGAAACATTTAGACTTTATTACGTTTCATTAAACCATTACGAAGCTGTGCTGTACCATGCAGAGGAAAGAGCGGATTGTCTAAGTTTATTCAGGATTGAAGATGAGGAAAAAGCAAAAGAAATGTTTGGGTATGTTGAAGTGTAGAAATGCGGGTATTGAGTTGATGCACTTTTCAGTTTTCACTTCCCTTTCAAAGTTTTCACTAATAAAGTAAATGGTTTGACTCTGAAGATGACTACCGCTAAGATTGTCGAAACGTCAGTCAATAACAACAAAAACAGTCCTTCTCAGGACTATACCAACCTGGACGATCAACATTTACAAACATGTAAAGTTTTCACTATTAACAAAGTTTTATGTTAAATACCGTAACCCATTCTTTGAGGAATTTTTAATTGATACACGTTGGCTATTGCCATTTTGTACATTATATACTTTCATACAGTGAAATTATATTGTAGAAATGTTCCAGTAATCAAGTATGTTACTTAAGAGTTACGATAGTAAATATTGGACAGTTTCAATTTGAAAAAGTAAGTTAACACTTCAATGAATCCCCAGATACCACGGAGCAAATTTTTATACTGAGGGCTTATTAACCCATTAAGTGTCAAAGTTGTGTGTCAGAGGGGTCTAGGAAAAAATTTCAAAATTTCAAAATGGCTGCAAATATCAATGGCCCCTTTTCTGCAGTCCCCTGATTCACTGCTTTACATCTTATATGTTTAAACTATAAAATACTGATTGACAAAGTCCACGAACTATTACTTCTGCAAAAGATAATTGTTTTCTTTTTTTAATGAAGCATATTTTTTTAATATGTCTTTTTTGTTTTTAATCACAGGAAGCTATGTGAGAAACTCACACCTTTCTATCAATCATCATCAAAGTGTTACGACACTCAGACACTGCAATCCTTGCTCAACTGCCTTGAGGAAAATCCTGGTATGAATCTTTCAGTTGTTGCAAGGAAAACTGGTCTCACAGAATGTCTAAAGCATGAGAAAATTAGAGCAAGTATGGAGATTGTTGATGCCACAGATTCAGGTGATAATGGTGATAAGACTCTCTTGCAATGGGCTAAGGTAATTGTAAATACAAGCCACATGAGCTAAGGGGTTAGTTATGTAAATCAAGATGTCCATCCAGCTGAGTTAGAATGTGCACAGCAAGATCAAATGATTACCTATGCTTTATTATACCGATTTTTAACTTGGCTTGTTTGGACAATTTGGTTCACAAAATGAAGTTATCATTCACTTGTGAGATGTGATTATAACAAAATACCATAAATAAAAAAACATAAATATAAAATTCCTTGTTTGAACATCTTATGTTCTTCAAGGTCTAAGTAAGTAAAGCTAAGCCAAATAAATGTTTTGTTGTGTTTGGTCTATGTATTCATCATTTCTATTCAGAAATACATTACTTTGAGTGCTGATTTAAATTTAACACACTCTGACTTTAACTTAATCAACGATTTGTTCCAAAATAATTAAAATGAGAATAATTTGGCTAATTTAGGCAAATATGTCCAATCTTTGCAAATATAATATACACAGCAAATACTATAAAACATTAATTTTTCTTTCTTTGTTTCACTTAAAGTACATAAGTTACCTGTGGAGGATAATAAAAAGTTCATATATTCTCTCAACTCTTAAGGCATTATTAAAACATGTTGTTTCAAGGTAGACATTATCGTATGGTAGCCTTACTATTTGTATGTTAAAAATTGCAGATTCTGTCTTTAAACTTGTGTTGATTATTTGTAATACCAGGTATTACCAAGGCTTTCAACACATGTATGTAAAAATTTTTTTGCCACAAGTCACAGGCTTTACTGCCTACAAGTATTAACATCAAAATATTTTGTTTTATAGTTTGGTTTCAAGGGACAGATTGACAACGTTGTGGAAGGAGTAGGCGTAAGCTCACTTACTCAAGAAGATGATAAAGGCAACACAGTTATGCATTATGCTGTAAGCCAACCAGAATTACTTGATAAATTATTGCTTCGAGCAACTGAGCTAGGTAAGTAGTATAGCGCTAAATTGTAGCATTTGTTGTGTGTTAAGGTTTGGAGGTTTCATGTTCTTTTCAATAGAATACATACATACATGAACTTTCTTTAAATTCAAAATGAACACAGGCTTCAGCAAACACACTGCATGATGCGGCTTTTGTTTAAATTTTCCTTCAAGAACATATTTCACACTTACCATACCAAACCATTAAAATAACAAGTTTCATGTATGAGGTTCATATTCGTTCATCTATTCTTATGAAGTTCTTATTCTTTTGCAGTTGCTCAGGTAGTGAACAGTGTGAACAGTTCAGAGGAGACACCACTACATTTTGCATGTGTGATTAATAATGGAAAAGGTCTACAGGTATGTATATATACAATTTTATTTATCTCAGATGAACAGAAACCTCAATAATATGTAAGAATGAGAATGTTGAAGTATGGCATTAATTGGCAGTCTGTCTATTTGGTTGTGCTTTGTATTATGAAATTGTTCTATAAATGGGCATAGCAGGACAGAAACTTGATGACCAGCTATAGCACTGCATGGGTTGTAAGTTTGATAAACCACTGCATAGAATGACTAAAGCTTGTAGGATGGCTATCCAACTGCATAACAGGACTAAAGCATGCAGGCTTGCTAAACCACTGCATAACAGGATAATTCAAAGAGCATTACTGACATTTGAGGCTTTCTAATATAATATTGCTAAGCAGAACTGCAATTGGTTTCAGGCTTTACACTTCAAATCATGACTCAAACTTGCTGGCCAGCTGCTGCACTGCATAACAGGACTAAAATTTGTAGGTTGGCTATACCACTGCCTACTATCTTGCTGGCCGAGTATACAAAGAGCAATACTAATGCTTGAGGCTGGCTATACAATTTCAAAGCAATAGTCAAACTTGCTTTACCCTTTATTGCAGGACTAAATCTTGCTGGCCTGCTTTACAAATGCATAACTAGACTGAAACTTGCTGACTTTGCTAAAGGAGAAAATATGCATGTAGGAAGCTTACTCAGAACCAAACTTATGGCCTGTTTACATGCAAATAGGGTAACACTAGCCGAAGGGATATCCCAGTAAGCGAGTTACCCTACGACAATATATCTCATAAGTAGCGTTTTACATGTGCGCTATGGTAACCCTTGGGGTAGGTTTCCCTACCAAAATGTTAGCTTTACGTTTACCCTAGCAGTAGGGCTAATGTTCACTTCTCTTCTCCGGAGTATATTCACTTATGTATAGCAACATTGAGGGGAAAAATCGCTTGCGGAGGATATATTTACACTCTAGGTGAACAACATCACTTAACAGAGTAAAAAATGAAATGCGAGTAGAAAGCGCAATGACTAAGGAACTTTTTCCTACGCCAATGCAGACGTTGATCGTTTAAATGTCTTTTCTTTGTTATAAAAAACTAAGTTTAAATGGAATAATATTTTATAAATCCCCCGTATTTTATTACATATATGTCCTAAATGGACGACTCCTGTACCTCCTTTTCTCTTTTTCAACTAAAGTTAACGCTTAATAAGATATATGGCATATCTATGTATCCTCACTGACTGAAGCTGTGTAGCTTTAGATTGTCCGGATATTTAAAACATTTTTCATTGAATGTAGTTTTTACTTGAACATGGTGCTGATTTTTAAAACATTTTTCATTGAATGTAGTTTTTACTTGAACATGATGCTGATTTTTAAAACATTTTTCATTGAATGTAGTTGTTACTTGAACATGATGCTGATTTTTATAACATTTTTCATTGAATGTAGTTGTTACTTGAACATGGTGCTGAGTTTTATAACATTTTTCATTGAATGTAGTTGTTACTTGAACATGGTGCTGAGTTTTATAACATTTTTCATTGAATGTAGTTGTTACTTGAACATGGTGCTGATTTTTAGAACATTTTTCATTGAATGTAGTTGTTACTTGAACATGGTGCTGATTTTTAAAACATTTTTCATTGAATGTAGTTTTTACTTGAACATGATGCTGATTTTTAGAACATTTTTCATTGAATGTAGTTGTTACTTGAACATGGTGCTGATTTTTAAAACATTTTTCATTGAATGTAGTTGTTACTTGAACATGGTGCTGATTTTAAAACATTTTTCATTGAATGTAGTTGTTACTTGAACATGGTGCTGATTTTTATAACATTTTTCATTGAATGTAGTTTTTACTTGAACATGGTGCTGATTTTTAAAACATTTTTCATTGAATGTAGTTGTTACTTGAACATGGTGCTGATTTTTAAAACATTTTTCATTGAATGTAGTTTTACTTGAACATGGTGCTGATTTTTAAAACATTTTCATTGAATGTAGTTTTACTTGAACATGATGCTGATTTTAAAACATTTTTCATTGAATGTAGTTGTTACTTGAACATGGTGCTGAGTTTTATAACATTTTCATTGAATGTAGTTGTTACTTGAACATGGTGCTGATTTTAGAACATTTTTCATTGAATGTAGTTGTTACTTGAACATGGTGCTGATTTTAAAACATTTTCATTGAATGTAGTTTTACTTGAACATGGTGCTGATTTTAAAACATTTTTCATTGAATGTAGTTTTTACTTGAACATGATGCTGATTTTTAAAACATTTTTCATTGAATGTAGTTGTTACTTGAACATGGTGCTGAGTTTTATAACATTTTTCATTGAATGTAGTTGTTACTTGAACATGGTGCTGATTTTTAGAACATTTTTCATTGAATGTAGTTGTTACTTGAACATGGTGCTGATTTTAAAACATTTTCATTGAATGTAGTTTTACTTGAACATGGTGCTGATTTTTAAAACATTTTTCATTGAATGTAGTTTTTACTTGAACATGATGCTGATTTTTAAAACATTTTTCATTGAATGTAGTTGTTACTTGAACATGGTGCTGAGTTTTATAACATTTTCATTGAATGTAGTTGTTACTTGAACATGGTGCTGATTTTAGAACATTTTCATTGAATGTAGTTGTTACTTGAACATGGTGCTGATTTTAAAACATTTTTCATTGAATGTAGTTGTTACTTGAACATGGTGCTGATTTTATAACATTTTTCATTGAATGTAGTTTTACTTGAACATGGTGCTGATTTTAAAACATTTTTCATTGAATGTAGTTGTTACTTGAACATGGTGCTGATTTTTAAAACATTTTCATTGAATGTAGTTTTACTTGAACATGGTGCTGATTTTTAAAACATTTTCATTGAATGTAGTTTTTACTTGAACATGATGCTGATTTTAAAACATTTTCATTGAATGTAGTTGTTACTTGAACATGGTGCTGAGTTTTATAACATTTTTCATTGAATGTAGTTGTTACTTGAACATGGTGCTGATTTTAGAACATTTTCATTGAATGTAGTTGTTACTTGAACATGGTGCTGATTTTTAAAACATTTTTCATTGAATGTAGTTTTTACTTGAACATGATGCTGATTTTTAAAACATTTTTCATTGAATGTAGTTGTTACTTGAACATGGTGCTGATTTTATAACATTTTCATTGAATGTAGTTGTTACTTGAACATGGTGCTGATTTTTAAAACATTTTTCATTGAATGTAGTTGTTACTTGAACATGGTGCTGATTTTAAAACATTTTCATTGAATGTAGTTGTTACTTGAACATGGTGCTGAGTTTTATAACATTTTTCATTGAATGTAGTTGTTACTTGAACATGGTGCTGATTTTTAGAACATTTTTCATTGAATGTAGTTGTTACTTGAACATGGTGCTGATTTTTAAAACATTTTTCATTGAATGTAGTTGTTACTTGAACATGGTGCTGATTTTTAACATTTTCATTGAATGTAGTTGTTACTTGAACATGGTGCTGATTTTATAACATTTTTCATTGAATGTAGTTGTTACTTGAACATGGTGCTGATTTTTAAAACATTTTTCATTGAATGTAGTTGTTACTTGAACATGGTGCTGATTTTTATAACATTTTTCATTGAATGTAATTGTTACTTGAACATGGTGCTGATTTTTAAAACATTTTTCATTGAATGTAGTTGTTACTTGAACATGGTGCTGATCTGAAAGTTAAGAGTAAACACATGTTTCCTATTCATGCTGCAGTGAAGTTCAATAGTGATGAGTGCATTAAGGCGATACTCAAGTTTCATAAAGATTGCACAACTTTTAAAGATTCTAAATATGGAGGAACACCCTTACATTGGGTTAAAACTAGAAAGGTATGACCTCATAAAAATAAGATAACGTGTGTTAGTGTAGGTAGTGACGAATGAAGAGAAAACGAGAACCGTCTTTACACTATCTAAAATATATAAGAAATAAGATAACGTGTGTCAGTGTAGGTAGTGATGAATGAACAACAGAGAACAAGAACAGTCTTTACACTATCTAAAATATTTAAGAAAAAAGATAACGTGTGTCAGTTTAGGTAGTGATGAATAAACAACAGAGAACAAGAACAGTCTTTACACTAACGAAAATAAATAAGGAATAAGATAACGTGTGTCAGTGTGGGTAGTGATGAATGAACAACAGAGAACAAGAACAATCTTTACACTAACTAAAATATATAAGAAATACGATGAGTTGAGTCAGTGTAGGTAGTGATGAATGAACAACAGAGAACAAGAACAATCATTACACTAACTAAAATGTATAAGAAATACGATGAGTTGTGTCTGTGTACGTAGTGAATAACAAGTAAAATTGTTTTCTTTTTTGTCTTTGTAAAGATTGCAGAATTATTAATTATGAGTGAAGATATTGAAGCCGAGAACAACGAAGGTGAGACTCCTCTCCACATCATGGTGAAAAGAAAAAGACAATCTTCAGTTGTATGTTTGTTGTCACATGGAGCAGATGTGAATGCTCTAGGAATGAGCAATGAAACGCCATTGCATATCGCCGTAAAGGTACTGAAAATTAATAAAAGTTAAACTCTTTATGAAAAAAGAGATACTAAAGAAAAACTATCAATGAATCGAGACACTAGATTGGAGTATATAAAAAGTCAGTTTCAACGTACATCAGATCACTTTTGATGAAAGCACTTCACTGGAGTGTATAAGGACTCAAGTTTCAACATCAGATCACTCCTGATGAAGACACTAGACTGGAGTATATAAGAACTCAAATTTCAACATCAGATCACTTCTGATGAAGACACTAGACTGGAGTATGTAAGAACTTAAGTTCATCATTAGATCACTCCTTATGACGTCATTAGACCAGAGTATATAAGAACTCATGTTTCAACATAAGATCACTCCTGATCAAGACATTAGACTGGAGTATATAAGGACTCAAATTTCAACATAAGATCGTTCCTGATGAAGACACCAAAATGGAGTATGTAAAAGCGCAAGTTTCGACATTAGATCACTTCTGATGAAGACACTGGACTTGAGTATATGAGAACTCAACTTTCAACATCAGATTATTTCTTATGAACACTGTAAAGTGCAGTATATAAAGTCTCAAGATTGAACATCAGATCAATCCTAATCGATAAAGACACAAGACTGGAGTAGAAGTCATGTTTCAACAACAATCATTCTCTCACTCCTAATTTATAAAAACTATTGATTTTTTTTAGGTTGGAGATGTACATATTGTAAAAACATTGATAGTATTTGGTGCTGACATAAATGCCGTGAACAGCAAGGGTGAAACACCACTTCATATAGCGACAGCATCAAAAAGTCTTTTCAGAAATGCTATTATACATTCTCTATGTCTCGTAGGAGCTGCTCCTTGCGATGCTCCTTTCATACCTTCAAAATATCCAGTCGGTAGGTTAATAATGAAGTATTTCTTAACACTTATACCTGTCATATCACACAGAGTTATGCCATCTTGGTAATAATTCTGTGGTTTAAAAATACTCGGATTTCAACCGACTAACATGTGTGCCATAGCTTAGTGCTTTAAGATTAAAGTGCTTATATAGTGTATCACATTTTTTACTACATTTAAGTAGAGGACAAAAAATTAGTTATTAAATTCTTTAACATTTTTTGGTTCGCTCTTTTCATTCGCCAGATATTCGGCTCTAAACTATAGTTTTATAAAAATGTTGCGTAGAAACTAGAGTTTGCGCGAGCAAAGTGTGACGTAGCTTCCGACTATTTCTGTTGTTTCGAGCCGAATATATGGCGAATGAAAAGAGCAAACCAAAAATTGTTAAAGAACTTAATAACTAATTTTTTGTCCTTTTCCCCAATGCATCAAAAAATTGTGATATTATCATTTTAGGAATTGTTGAACAATTTTGTCGATTTGTGAAACACGGAAATGTTTACATTAATAATCGTTTCTCTACGCAGGTAAAAAGCCTGGGAACGAACTGTCTCAGGCTCGTGATGACACCCCCATTATACTGGACGACATCGCGAAAATTATGGCATCTGGTGCCCAGGCCAACGTGAAATACAAACGGTCTGGATCAGGCAAGAATGAAAACGATGGAGAATCGATGATGAAGAAGAAAAGGAAAGGTGATAGTGCATTGTGCTTAGGTGAGGTACGTCATTTGAATGAAGAGGATTGCAACATGGTTGTCTTACGTGAAGTACATCATGTGCTCACAGGGGATATCTACATGGTTGTCTTGTGTGAGGTACATCTTGTGCTCACAGGGGATATAAACATGGTTGTCTTACGTGAAGTACATCATGTGCTCACAGGGTATTGCAACATGGTTTGTCTTATGTGAGGTACATCATGTGCTCACAGGGGATATAAACATGGTTGTCTTACGTGAAGTACATCATGTGCTCACAGGGGATTGCAACATGGTTGTCTTACGTGAGGTACATCATGTGCTCACAGGGGATATCTACATGGTTGTCTTGTGTGAGGTACATCATGTGCTCACAGGGGATATCAACATGGTTGTCTTACGTGAGGTACATCATGTGCTCACAGGGGATTGCAACATGGTTGTCTTGTGTGAGGTACATCATGTGCTCACTGGGGATATCAACATGGTTGTCTTATGTGAGGTGCATCATGTGCTTACAGGGGATTGCAACATGGTTGTCTTGTGAGGTACATCATGTGCTCACAGGGGATTGCAACATGGTTGTCTTATGTGAAGTACATCATGTGCTCACAGGGGATATGAACATGGTTGTCTTACGTGAAGTACATCATGTGCTCACAGGGGATTGCAACATGGTTGTCTTACGTGAAGTACATCATGTGCTCACAGGGATAGCAACATGGTTGTCTTACTTGAGGTACATCATGTGCTCACAGGGGATTGCAACATGGTTGGCTTACGTGAGGTACATCATGTGCTCACAGGGGATTGCAACATGGTTGTCTTACGTGAAGTACATCGTGCTCACAGGGGATTGCAACATGGTTGTCTTACGTGAAGTACATCATGTGCTCATAGGGGATTGCAACATGGTTGTCTTACGTGAAGTACATCATGTGCTCACAAGGGATAGCAACATGGTTGTCTTACTTGAGGTACATCATGTGCTCACAGAGGATTGCAACATGGTTGGCTTACGTGAGGTACATTATGTGCTCACAGGGGATAGTATCATGGTTGTCTTATGTGAGTACATCATATGCTCACAGGTGATTGCAACATGGTTGTCTTACAATTAAATGAAGATATGATCTTCGCACTTTGCTGGACAATTCAAGCAATTGTCTCATAAGCAATAAGCAATAAGCAATCGAATCATATCTTCATTTAGTTTCAAACACCGCACTGCATAAAACATTCATGGTTGTCTTACGTGAAGTACATCATGTGCTCACAGGGGATTGCAACATGGTTGTCTTACAATTAAATGAAGATATGATCTTCGCACTTTGCTGGACAATTCAAGCAATTGTCTCATAAGCAATAAGCAATTGAATCATATCTTCATTTAATTTCAAACACCGCACTGCATAAAACATTCATGGTTGTCTTACTTGAGGTACTTCATGTGCTCACAGGGGATTGCAACATGGTTGGCTTACGTGAGGTACATTATGTGCTCACAGGGGATTGCAACATGGTTGTCTTATGTGAAGTACATCATGTGCTCACAGGGGATTGTAACATGGTTGTCTTGTGTGAGGTACATCATGTGCTCACAGGGATTGCAACATGGTTGTCTTATGTGAAGTACATCATGTGCTCGCAGGGTATTGCAACATGGTTGTCTTGTGTGAGGTACATCATGTGCTCACAGGGGATTGCAACATGGTTGTCTTATGTAGTACATCATGTGCTCACAGGGGATTGCAACATGGTTGTCTTATGTGAGGTACGTCATGTGCTCACAGGGAATTGCAACATGGTTGTTTACGTGAGGTACATCATGTGCTCACAGGGGATAGTAACATGGTTGTCTTACGTGAGGTACATCATGTGAGTTTAGGGGATAGCCACAATGCTGTCTTAGGTGAGGTACATCATGTGCTCACAGGGGATAGCAACATGGTTGTCTTAAGTGAGGTACATCATGTGAGTTAAGGGGATAGCCACAATGCTGTCTTAGGTGAGGTACATCATGTGCTCACATGGGATAGTGACATGGTTGTTATATGTGAGGTACATCATGGGCTCACAGGGGATAGCAACATGGTTGTCTTACGTGAGGTACATCATGTGAGTTAAGGGGATAGCCACAATGCTGTCTTAGGTGAGGTACATCATGTGCTCACAGGGGTAGCAACATGGTTGTCTTAAGTGAGGTACATCATGTGAGTTAAGGGGATAGCCACAATGCTGTCTTAGGTGAGGTACATCATGTGAGTTAAGGGGATAGCAACAATGCTGTCTTAGGTGAGGTACTTCATGTGAGAGAATATAAACTTGACTGACTATTGTAAGCAAAGCAATAGTACGTTTACTCATGTATATTTAAATATGTTTGAGGCTATTGCGAGGATGGTTCTACGTAGATAAAATAACTGCTTTCAATGAGGCATGACTTGGTAATAGGAATATAGGATGGGAATATTTATCTCTTATCCGTTATTGTTGTTTGATTCACACGTGAAACACGGATAGCCTGTCTCATAAAGCTTGCTCAATTTGTTAACGAGGCTTTTCAAATAAGATGTTTGTCTAAAGTACGTATTCATTGCACGAGTAGTTTAGCGGTATGCGTTGTATTTGCGATGTTTATATAATTCAACATTATCTGCACTATTCTATCCGACAAAAAATTTTTTTCATTACTCTATCTTTTTTATTTCCTTTTGAAGATGGTGGCGGTATTCGCGGCCTCATTCTCATTCAAGTCTTGTTGAATCTTGAACGTGTTGCTATGCAACCGATTGTTAAGCTGTTCGATTGGATAGCGGGTACAAGTACCGGTGGTATACTTGCATTGGGGTTGTTAAATGGTAGGCCAATGTAATGTGGAAGTTAACTTTTGTTCTTGTATATATTTTGAAATACTTCTTATCAATTATTGTTTTTGCGATAGGTAGTTCGATGGCATATCTACAGCAACTTTACTTTCGTTTCAAAGACGAAGTGTTCGTCGGCTCTCGTCCTTATCCATCTGAGCCGCTCGAGAAATTCCTTCGGCAGGAATTTGGCGTCGATACTAAAATGACAAGCGTCAACTACCCAAGGTATTTTATCGTCATTTTTTGAGCAAGTAGCTAGGACAATACAGCATTTTATATAATGAAAAACGTTTTTTTAGGAATAAGGATTTTGTGATTAATATAGTTAATTGCTCTTGTTTAGAGTCCTTGCAACTGCTGCTGTTTCTGACAGAATACCACCAGCTCTTCATCTGTTTCGTAATTTTTCCATTCCCGAAGACGACGAAGAAGAACAAAAACCAAACTCTCCGTTTCCCCCTGTATCAAAACCTGCAGGTCAGTGAATGTGTAAATATTGCGTTTATTCAGTGTGTTTTGAAATGCTGTATATTGAAGGTTATGCTTTTCTTACCCTACTAAAGAGTAGTTCTAGCTATAAACTAAAATGCGTGCAATCGACTATTTGGTATCCTTGTTGAATGTATTGTATACAGTTCTAGGTCTAGTTGTAAACAGCTGAGAGTACGAGGTCTACCGGTCTAGGATTGAATTGCATTGTATCCAGCAGAGTACTGGGTATAGCTGTGAATATTAATGTATCCGTACTGGGAACACATATTTAGCGAACTCCATTTCATTCGTTTTTAGATCAACTGATGTGGCGTGCGGCGCGTGGGACTGGTGCTGCTCCGACTTACTTTCGGGCCATGGGACGCATGCTTGATGGAGGCTTAATCGCCAACAATCCGACACTTGATCTAATATCATTCCTGCATTCTTTCTATAAGAGAGCGGAGCCACAGAAACCAGATCACGAAACTTGTCACAAAATCGGTCTCGTGTTCTCGGTGGGAACCGGTAAGCCACCGGATGTGCCCGTCAAAAACATCGACGTGCTTCGGCCGACGTCTATGAGTGACTTGGCGAAAGTTGCCTTCGGAGCTCAAGCTTTGGCTGAAATTCTTGTTGAACAAGTTCGTAATTAAACTAAATACAAACGATTGTGTTGTTGTTGTTATAAAATTTGTTGCAAACATTTGTAAGGTGTCATAACTTTTTAGAATGTTGAATATTTTATTTATAAATGCAATTTTTAGTGTCCTTAAGTATTTTGTTCTGGCCACTCTAACTTTTATCTATTATTTTACAGGCAACCTCGTGCGTTGGTGCTGTAGTTGACCGCGCAGCGGCATGGTGCGAGATGATAAATGTGTTCTACCATCGCTTAAATCCAAGGATATTCTCAGATGTTCCCCTGGATACGAAAGACGATCAACTACTGGTTAACATGTTGTGGGAATGTCAAGTTTACATATTCGAACACAGACATATCATCAAAGAACTTGCAGATCACCTGACGTGATGTTTAGACGGAATATATTTAGAGTTTTTATTACTACAGAATAATTATAGATATAGTTACCAAATTTTATAACAGGGGAGGATTTAAATGACCCCTGCTGCTGGTTCTCAAATATATATTGCTACTACTAACACGGAACATAGAATTTTAACAAAGGAGGCTGTCCCACCCCTCCCCCTCTACAATGAACTCCTAAAAAGAAGCCTGAATTCCTTACTTGTCAAATCTGCTTATAGCCATTATTTTTTCCGTTGTGTTGTGCCACAAAAGGTGATTGCCACAGGTATTCGCGCGGAATAACTGATAACCCGCTTGATTGGTAGGTGATGTCGTCATTTAACGACAACCGATCACATTGCAAATTTAATGTAGCCAATAAAAAATCGAACATAGGCTTATTGTTAATCAATATCTTATTGTATTAGATGTACCAAAAAGATTTTAGCCCAGTGTTCAAAATACTAAAAATATGAAAAACACCTTATATATCGTAAAAGTTTCCAAAATGAATCAGTAGTTGTTTATCGTAAAGGAGATACTTCATGTATTACACTAGTGTGAGGAAGTATACAAGTGTGACTACTTCCTAGAGGTAAGACACGGACCACGAAAAGAATCATGTTACTGCAACCAAAATGTAATGTGGTGGCAAAATGCTTCATTTAAAGCTACTAAGATGCGTTTCTGACGGCCCACACCCGAGATGCGTTGTCAGACGAGTGAACTTTCGACAAGTTAAATCATCAACTTCAATGTACTTAAAATGGTTGCAGAATGTGAATGATGCTTCTAAGGCATGGTCTCATCCCAAGATCTCTAGTTTGTACGAAAAGACTCGTCCAGATTACAATCTGGATTCGGTGAAATATCTTTTGGAAAAAGTAGGCGCTTTAAAGCAATATTCTGGTCTTGAACCCTTTACCATTGTTGAACTTGGTGCAGGTACTGGCAAATTTACAAGAGCCGTTCTCAAAGTGTTAAAACAACATAGTGTTCAAAATTTCAAAATCATCGCGACGGAACCACTAAAATCAATGTGTGATATATTCAAAGAAATGGTACCTGAAGTTGAAATAATACAATGCTCTGCAAGTGATTTATCAGGTATGTGTGCCCCTACCCCCTGCACAAGTTTCAACAATGTTCTGTATATATGATCAGGATTTTTTATTGCTTCAAAGTACAACAAAGTCCCATAACAGAAATAGTAAATCTATTTTTTGTTGGGCGTTTTTATTCCTATTGTCACAGTGTTTTAATCAAAAAATCCATTCATATTAGGTAATTACCAATGTTAAAATTTCAATATGACTGCCTAAGGAAAATTAGGTTTTCTTTGCTCTTGAGTCATGTAAAGTGAAACTTTTTGTTAAGGTTAGTATGTTGAATGCAGCACCATTCTTGATGTTTATACACTTTAAATGTAATGGCATATTTGATTGTACATCTACGAACAACATATTTGATTGTACATCTACTAACAACATATTTGATTGTACATCTACGAACAACATATTTGATTGTACATCTACTAACAACATATTTGATTGTACATCCCAAGTATGATTGGCCTAATGTAGACTGTAGTCAACTTACAGTTTTAAACATATTGAACATGAGCATTTCAGTAATGACTTCCCAACTTCTCTACGTACTTAAAACTTAAAATGCAATTTTATTATTGTGTACCATTATCAGTACGTATGTTGATAAAGCCAGCATAAGAAAGATTTTATTCATTGTGATAGTGGTGACAAATATTGATTCTCCCTGAGCATCATAGGATATGGAAATGTTGTATTTTGCTATCAATTCTATCAACAGTCTTGTTTTGATCTGGCAAATTATAACATTTGGTTTTATAAGGCATAGAAATTTGAACTACATTTTAAGTTAAAGAAGACAGCATCTAGGCTAATCTTGGGCTTATACAACAAACATGAATCCCATTTAATGTTGAAGTGACTTGAATATTATATATGGTGAAAATGGCTACACTAAATTGTTCTTTTAATCAGAGCTCAAGAATTGTGGTATTTTAATATTATTGGAAGTTTTATGTTTGTCACATGAAATTGGACAAAGTTGATTTCAACCTTTCTATCTTGAGACCAGGGCCATTTTTAACTGGTGTTTGCCCTGCCACCCAGGCCCTTATTCTGCCTCCCACCGACGGATTTTCGCCCCCCCCCCCCTTTCCGCGAGTAAGACATTTTGATTTTACAAAATAATAAAGAGTTAAGGAAACATGTGAATTGTGAAACAAGTATTTGCTAGATGACGTCAATGCAACATGAGGTGTCCGTATACAGTTGGTTTTCGTTAGTAGAGGTCTGGTTCACTTGACTCTGAAAATGACAACGAGATTATTGTTGAAACGTCAGTCAACATGAACACCAACAGTTCATTCTCAAGACTACTAACTTGGACAATCAACATCTAAAACACCGAGTTTAGACCATTCAGTGTATATGTATCATAACACTAGACTTTTTGTCATTCTCACTCCACACACCCTACACCCCACCCCACCCCCACCCTGAGAAAGTTTTAACGTGCATGCGTGAAAGCAGTCACGACCATAAAACAATGGAATGCGTAAGGTTGTCATGCAAGTACGTGAAAAGGAATTGTTGGCATTGTTTTTACATAGCACGAAATTGCTTTTCAAGAAAGCTGCAAAAATTTTAATTATTTTATCATATGATTTTGTTCGCATCGTAAATGTACGTGAAAATTTTTCTTCTATCAATGCTAGAACTTTAGCATAGTGAGTGCCACAAATTTCTCAGTGTTTTTAGTTTTTACAGTTTACTCGCACGTGTATCCTCTTGTTAAATAAAGTCTTCTTTCACTAACTCGTTTATGACATATAAATATAAGCGAATCAAAGTGTGATTTTAACATACACTCGCATAATTATGAAATACAAAATATAGCTAACACAACTGACAAGCATCCACTGTGCGCAAGTTAATAAAGAGAGCAAAACTTCACTAGAATCACGACCGCCTATAATTGAAACTTCCAGTTGAGCTTTTAATGTGCGCTCCCCCCTTTCGCTCGCGATCTTAGTTTGTGATCGATTTGCGTTTGATCTGTTTGAAACTTTATAAGTGATGCCTTTTTGTTGGATATAAATTGACGGCTGGTGTATGTCTTTCTCTTCATCATTCTGACATTTCAACTTTCTACAACCCCATAGATTTTCCTGATCACATGATAGATACAGTATTAGCAGCTCAATGCTTCCATTGGTTTTACTCTGAAGAAAAAGCAATCAAGGAAATCCACCGAATTTTGAAGCCACTTGGAACTTTGGGTCTCATATTTTATTATCCTGATCGATCCGTTCCATGGATCAGAAGTATTGAAGAAATGCTCGATCCCAAATATACGGCGGTCGGACAAATTAATACTTACGATGAAAAAATCCTTACTCCTTTGCTCAATGTTGGGTTTTGTGAGGTAGCATCTGATGTTTCTGCATTTATGTGTTTTCAAGAGCTCGACAGAAAAGACCTTATGGAGAGATACAAAACAAAGAGTGTTGTTTCTGCTTCAAATCAAGATGAAAAAATGAGAATACTCGAAGCCATCGAAGAAATATTGACAACAAATGCGAACACGAAGTATGATGGGAAATATTTTTTTGATTATGTGATGAAAATTCACTGCTTTCAAAAGTTTTGAAAAAAAGTGAATTGCTCTTTAATACCATTGGATTAAAGTGACACGAGGGTCCATTTATTAAAAACCTCCATACATTTCCATTTTATCCCTAGTAGTGGAAATTACGTCTTGAAATCATTTTATAAAGCAATCATTTTGTGGTTTTGATGGCATGATGCACACACGTGGTATTGTTGATCGAGGTCAAGCATGTCCAGGAAAGTTCGTCTTTGGCTCATGTTTCGCTGGCTTTTGAGCATGGTTTTCATTTGTTTTCAGAAATGTGCAGTTAAAATGACACTTTTTGTCGCTTGTTAGAAAAAAAAAGTGCCGCAGACTCAGAAAATGTAAAAAGTTAATTATATGCGATCAAACTTAAAAAGCCTAACCCTGACCCTAACCCGAGTCTTTGGAAACAACAAACATTTTTAAGTGTTTGCCGGAAATATACTGAAGTGAAGTTCCGACGTAAGAAATGATGTCATGTCATTTGGTAGTTGGAAAAGAGTAACGACCGTCAAAATTCCTCGAAGCTTTGAACCATTTCTAACAGTAATGATGAAACGTCCTTCAAGGCTACAGAGGCTACGGCTCAGCAGTGGCAGATTACTCAGTAGGCTAAGTATAGGTTCGTCCGAAAAATTTAGTAAAATGGACAAAAAAAAGTATTGCGTAGCACAAACTATAGCGATTTGGATTTCATTTTTAAAATCTTTGGAAGATAAAAATTCCCTTATATTTTTACGTATAAACAATTAGTCCTTGTTGTTTTCAATTACTTTTCTGCTAATGACTTTTTCATGCAATCTATTAGCTATACCATTTCCAATTATTTATTACAGGAAATATATTGTAACTTCATATAGATTTTGACACTAATCTTTTCTAAATTATGTTAATCAGTCTTTCAGTAAGTATTTGCTCTGCTACTTAGCTGAAAATTTCAATCATGAAACGATCAATTGACCAAGAAGGACTTTTATTTGATTGAGTTATTGGTCATGTTACCAACATAAATACATTCATCTTGAAATCTGCACAAATGTCCACGACGACAGCACCCTAAAGTTATTACAACAAGTTGCAAAGTAAAAAGGGCAACAAAAAAACCGCCTAAAGTCCCGTCGCTTTCGTAGGGACAGCAAGTTGCATCTTCTTTGCAAGAATACCATTTATCTTTCGCGAATCCACAAGTTTTTCTACCCACGCCCTTGACGATGAATTTGATCATATACAAACATATAAATGTGTATGATTTAGACCAATGTAAATATTTTTGGTAAAAATTTAATATTTGCAACCTCTATCAATATTATTATGATACAACTTTGGAATTCTAATGGATTGTCAATGAAATAGATAAATGATTTTATGAATGTTTTATGAATTACGACTTTCAGCAATTTTTTTGAAACTTCTTTATCGGTATGTTGAAGTTGTGTGACTTAGATAACTGAACACGTATGAAGAACATTTTGTGTTTTATTACTAATTAAATACAATAGAAAAACGCACAAGAAAAGATTGTGCTGCTTGTAGAAATAAGTTAATTAGGCCAACAAACATACAGAATATCAATGTACCTGCTTCTTGATAAAAAAAAGCATGCAAGTCATATTTTGTTATTAACAGCAGGGGCGGCGGAAGAGGGGTTTGCTATTAAATTTTCAAAATGACTATGAAAGATAATGCTTACTAACAGTCTATTTTGATAATACAACATACTTATTTACATTGCAGTTGAGTGGACTTTAAAGAATCGCACAACAAACTGTAGCCTTCGACTGACGGTTGCATGGTAAATAATAATTATGAATTGTGAATAAAGTGATATGTATGATATGAAATTTAACACTATATTTCTGTAGGTGATGAATAAATTATTAAGAACTAGCATAAAGTAGGGAGTTACTGATCAAGCAAAAGATTATATTGTTTCGGCAAAATTACGGAATTGTTGTGAGGCGTCGAGGATATGTGACATGATTCTAAATTTTTTTTAAATACGGTATTTGTCTTTATCAACAACAATAGTATTCTCGGAATGAATTTCATGTTGTTAGTCCCATGCGTCGTTGGTGGATGAAAGCTTGTCATTAATTAATAAAAAAAATTAAAGAAAAAGCTAAAAAATCCAAAAATCAGAGAACGTTTATTCTATTAATGCATTATTATGTTTACAAGTGCATGGTTACACTTCTGCAATATTTTCTATGTTGTAGAATGGTACACTTATAGTTATCATATGTCAACATGGTATGGAACTCAATTTGTTAATTAATTTATAATTATCTGTTAAATTATAATAAATCACACACATCTTAAGATGATATTAGAACTACGAAGAATTTTAGCGCTAAAATATATTGTTAAAATTATGTGATTTAGAACTCAATGACCATGAAAGTGTGTCCACAATCTTTCTATCGTTTTACTGATTATTTAACATGTTCATGTTTGAAGAAATAAAGAGATTATTCACCTTTTTTCCAGTTTTTTGCAATGGTGAATTTATCGTCCATCCTTTCGTTTCTTGGAGATATTCCATTTTGACTGATTTTTGAAAAATCAGCACAATCAATAAAATGTGAAAGATATTCATGACTAAAACAAAATGTATAATTTTTTGGCGAGGGATCACGCCTCAATAAACGGATGTAATGCCCTTGCAAAATATCGAAATCAGGGTAGAAATTAGGGGGAAGGAAATACGTAGTCGACTACCTACTTTACAACAGATCCCTACTCAAAACCACATCTAGTTTCGCAAAACAAAAAAAAACTAACGTCTGCAGTGAATACAGTGGTTACTAAACTCTTGTTGACACTTTAAGTATTTACTGCGTGTTAACGTGCTTCGTTGTGTAAATGAAAATATTCCCACTAAATGAAGTATTACAAGTAAACGAATGCTTCATTTCAGTGATTAAATATTCAGCAAACCGAGGAGGTTTAAGTCTGTTTCAAACGTCGAGTTTTACATGCACCAAACGCATTAAAAACAAAAGAAGATGAGAGACAAAGAAGATGAACAAAAAAATATGAGATGAATTTCTCATTAGAGGGACTCTCGAGGTTTAAGAAGACATTTAATCACTAATCTCCATTGAAGCATTCGTTTACATACATTTGCTTTGTGATAACATGGTTGCGTAGGGAATAATCGATGCATTAAACTCTTTCGTTGGACAATAATTTAATCAATTTTTGAGCACACTTATATGAATAATGACAAACATTGATGGTGTTTGAAGCGAGCATTGTTTTTGTGGTCAGTGATGAAATAAAGAAATTTATTAAGCTATTTAAATGTAATTCTGTTATTGAATTGCTTCAATGAAACTGCATGTATATGAATTTGCTTTGCAAAACATATTGTAGTTTATTATTGTTGAAGCTATTGATGGTTCATCACTGGTTTTCGCAAGTTAGTGACAAGAAATTTTCTGATGCGACTGAAAGACGATTTCTGTCATATTTCAATGACATAAATTTTTAGGCACTGAGATAGCCTTAATGTAATAACGCAAGTTTGCATGGCGATTTTGAACTATAGGGCGAAATATTTAAAGAATTAGCAACAGTCGAGCAAAGGACTTTTGACTTGGTAGACTTGCCCTCGAAGTATTTTGGTTTTAAAGGACTTTCCAAAGACATCATGCTATGAACATTTTTCATTCAGTAGAACTGAACATGATTCAGCCATGGAAAAGGGAAAATGCAAGCTGAAGCAATTTCTACATGCAAACGTAAATAAAATGTGAAAACAAGACGTATCGTTTTTTTACTGATGAGGACATGATGAGGTATATTTAGTCTAAATGTCCCTATAAATATATGGATGAGAGATATTTAAAAGGGGCGGATTACATGGAGCAATTTCAGCAAGGGCCTGATATAATATCCTATCAAAATATAGCATATGCGATTACATGAGAACAATTCCAACCCGGGTTGAAGAGTTTGTCGTGTAATCGTTTCATCCAGGGCAATCTTCAACTGGAAATATTCACGTATGCGTGAAAATTAACGACAACTGGCGCATAACTGGCGATCATGACTCGGACGAAAATCGTAAAAGGCCGGACTAAAAATGACCATATAATTAGATATAATCACAAAAAATTGCTGAAATTGCTCCATGTAATCGGCCCCTAAACATCCCTCATCGCTATATAATTGAGGGAAATATGTCAGTAAACGTCCCTGTGATAACAAAAGATCCCGAGGCAACCATGTCATAACAATTGCTTATGAAACAAGAAATGCTACAAAGTCTATGTTTAGCTATCTGACATAATACAAGGATTATAGAAAACTTGGTTCAACATTTTCTTGACATGTCACCAAAAAGAATGAATTTCGCATGACAATACCATGCGTGTTGTAGACGGCCTCGAGATTCTGTTTGAAGTATTACTAATTGAGAATTTTTTTTATTATTTCATAAATGCTGGTTTCTTGCGATTATATCCTTTGAAAGTTGTCCTGTTTAAAGTAGGTGAATTTTTCTCACAAAGAAATTTTCAAATTGAATTTAGGCATTTTAGCAGTAGCCATGTTTAAGTAATAATTTTAGTTACGCTACTGTTTACTGTATAAAAACAGTCAGACAACACACATAAGAATTCTGGTGGCGCTGAATTAATATTTTGCTCAAAAAAATATTTCATAAAAATAGAAAATTCTTAACACTATCCATAAAAATTTGGCTAGAATTTGTTTAATATTTTTGCTTTAAAGTTCGCTTCAAGCATCGAATAACTGCCGTGATATCTACACAAATTACAGTCTTCTATATGCAGTGGCGCATTACTCAGTAAGCTAAGAAGGTTGAAGCTACAGCCCCGCCTTTTTGAGAGGCCCGTACGTTGTATTTAGACATAGCTTTTACTTTTGTCATTACGCACTTGGTGAATGTTCTAAAGTTCGACCATGTATGCTGTTTTAAACTGTACGATCTACTGTTTTAATACTTTATTTAGGGAAAATATCTTCATTATCACAACAAAAGATGTTAACTCGCAAGTAAATACTTAACTCAAAATGTCAAAATGAGTTTAGTAACCACTGTAGTCTCTATAGACGTTATTTCTTGTTGTTTGGCTTAGAAAACAAAAAATGTAGGTAGTGAACTATGTAATTCCTTCCTCCTAATGTCTACCCTAATTTCGTCTTTTTGCAAGTGCATTATCTTTGCTCATTGGGGAGGCAGGAACCGTGTTCCCTTGGTCCGTTATTTAGATTTTGGGCTTCAGATACAAAAATAAAGAGAAGATAAGATTTAGATGATATTGTGGTAATTCTATTTGAAACAATAAAAAGAAGAAGTTCGGTGAAGTGATTCTTGAATTACTGCATGAGAGTGGAACACTGAGAGCCCAAGTAATTAATCAATTTTCCTATAACATGCTGTAGGTAAATAAATCGCTAGACTTGGTGCGATATCTCTCCGTTACATCACGCTTGATTATTAAGAGCTCAATCTTCAAATTATTGATTCGTCGAGATAAAAGTTTGAGGGGAATTTTAGAGCAGAAAGATTTAGGCAACCCTTTGTGGCTGAATGTATTATTATGAGTGAAGAAACTTATAAAATAATACATTTTGTTTTAGTTATGAATTTCCTCTACATTTTGTTCATTGTGCTGATTTTTCAAAAATAAGTTGAAATGAAGTATCTTCAAGAAAGGAAAGGATGGGCGATAAACTCATCATCGCAACAAGCAAAAAAAAAGGTGGGTAATCTAATTATCTCTCCAAACATTAACATGTTAAATTCTTTGTAAGACAATACAAATATGGTAAAAACATTTTCATGGCAATTAAGTTGTACACTAAAACAATTTTTGCTGTATAACTCAG